TTTTGCGGACACAGAAGTAGTACATTGCAAAGCCGACGAAGGCGCAGGGTAGGAAGCGGCCTAGCGCTGTGGATACGACTTCGTAATAGTCGGGGGAGTAGGGCGGGTCAGATGACAGAGCGACCTGGAAGTAGACGATGAAGTAGATGGAGGCGTAGAATGCTGCGGGGGATGTGATGAACAGAGATAGTAACGTCGTGACGATGACTGAAAAGGTGAAGAGTGGCCAACGTAGGTCCTGACAGCTTGTTTCGGACGACTCTCCGCCAAAGGTAAAGGAGAGTGGAAAGTATGAGGCGTATCCAATGCTCTCGATCCCGTTCCTTGTCACTGACGGAAACTTGGTTCTTTCGCCCGTTCGACGCAAGACGCCACAGCCACCTTTCTGGCTGTCTATTAGACCAGCGTGTAGTGCTGCAGGACAGATAGCTGAGTCTCCGCGGTAGATGGAATCAGTATTATCACCATCTGCAGTTCCCCCGATAACAAGAGGACGGTAATTGTACTCTTCCGGGCCTACAAAGTACGGCTCTAGCAGCATCGCATCTGCACAACCTGCGGGGCAGCGAAAGGCAAATGCCCCATTGTCAAAGGGGCGGCAAGAATCCCCATTTAGGCCGCAGTCGGTGGAATTTGGCCTGCATAGAGAGATGAGTTTGAAAACATCCTAGAACCACAAGAGCAGCGACATACCATAGTCTAGCGTGGCATGATAGCTTGACAGGCACACCGTATCCGGATACCTGCTGGCCAGCTACAGAGGAATGCAGGATGGACAGGAATATGACACCCCAGGTGCATATGCATCCGAGCAATAGCCAAACTTTGGCACGGGTGCTCGGAAAATAACGCTCCACGAGGCGGCCCGGTGCCGTCTGCCAGTGCTGCAACCATGGGGTGATCTGATACCGGTGTGGGTATGGCGGGCCTTTAATCCACGCGCGGATCCCAGAAAGTGTACATGAAAATGGCTCCGGCGCTATGCGTCGGGGGTGGTGAGTTGAAGTTGGCAATAATGGTTCATTCGTGGTCTCTCGCTGGTCGGGCCGGGCGGAGTCGGAACTTTCCCGCCCAACCGTTATGAACTGACTGCTTTCGGAGTCATTCTCAATCGGATCAAAGACGGCCAACGGGTAGTCTTGGGATGTCTTTCCAAAGGAGGACGATGGAGATCTTGACCTGCTTCTCGAAGGGTGCTCCGGGCGCATTGTTGCTCCGTCGGTATTGTGAGGAAGAACCGCGGGAGAACTCAATCCAAAATCAAGAATGAACGGTTGCTTCGGAAGCTCGCCAGTTAGTCATCATGGACTGGATTAGGCAAAACCAACACATTTAGTATAGAACCCTTTCCAAGAGTATGGATTCTGAAGAGTTATACCGGTGCAACGATAACTGGCTAAAAGCCGTCATTAAGTGATGGTCGGTCCGTGTCAATTATACCACGATGTCCCATCCTCCGCAAACATTCTCTCTGCAGCCTCGGCGGCTTTCATTCTTGCCTAATGAACGCATTCATTGGAGAGGCATATATGTGATTCCTCCAGTCAATCATATGACAGATATCTGTATAGCAAATCATTATTCATATCTTCCCAGAGGCTCAGAAGCATTCGCTAATCAGAGCCATGGCAGTAGAAGTTCGCTCCTTACACTGATCTTCTCGCAGCCTTGCAACCGATGCATTGAATGATGTACATGTATTGATCGCATCGAGTTCACCGGACATGGCTAGCCTTGTTGTTTGTTAGCTTGGTAAGATAGAGCTTTTGTATCCTATGAGAAGGGAGCTACAGAACACTGATTGGTTCTGTCACAGAGCCTGACCATCACGCTTCTGCTAATTTGCTGCCTTTCTGTTGCCTTCCTTATACCATGACTTTCAGTGGATATGCTTTTTAGTCAGCTAAAATAATATTTCACGGAACAATTGCGCAAATACGAACTTGCCAAATTGACCGTGTTACCATGTGGTGACCGCAGCCATTAGCCACCTGACCACGGGTGAGCACGACCCAGCCTCACAGCCTCGTCTAGGATGCCTCTCGCAGCCTTGCTCTCTACACAGATGAGGTATATATTCAGTCACCGAACGTCGATATGAGCAAATCGGAGGATCTTCACTTCAAAGCATTTGGAAGCGTTTCTTCAAGCATGACTTCTTTCCTATTGAGTGATGTGTCGACATCGCCCTCTTCAGAGCCAAAATATGTCACCCAGAAGCAGTGTGTTACTCATCTCAAGCTTCTCTCAGCGTTTGCTGAATTGCGAGATGTAGTTAGCAACAATGACGGACTTTTCGGGCTTCACGGCACAGACGGACATGAAGAGGGTGATGCACAGGACAAATACCATGCCTTGGTTAAGGAGAAGCGCTGGGCTGTATATGTCGCACGGGCTGTGAAACGATACACAAATTGGTGGTTCCGTTGTCTCCCAAGCCCGGAACCGCTTCCTAAAATGGCAGATATTCGCAGAAATGCTTATGCCAATGTCGTCAAGCCTGAGAAAATAGTGCAGTGGCACCAAGATATCCTTCCACCCCTAGGTGGGTGATTCTGATCTCAAACTGACACACTGCTTGCTAAAACAAGACGTGGGATAGATGTTCTTATGGTATGGCACTCGCATATGCTGAATCCACGCAAGTATCTCGAAGACTGTATCCGGTATGGCAAGATGTGTGTTTGGGGTGCGGGTTTCCCTTGGGAGCTTCTTGACCAGCAGATCGATGGCACAACTTTTGATTACACGGCAACTGGGGAAGCGTGCCGGTATTTCGAGTCTCAGGTTGGTTCTAGTTGGGACAACCTTCTTGATCCGCTCACTACCATTGTTCAATGTCCGAACTGCGGCACCGAGGTCATCGTCAGCTGGACAGCGGGCCAAGACGTGACAGACGTCAACCTTCCTTTTGACAACTGCACAGGCTTAGCTGACAAAGGCTTCCGTGCTGTGTGCCACAATTGTGATTACCTTATAGACCATGACCGGCTGAAGCTGGCCAAGTGGCGTCAGGATGTGCGGGTAGTGCGGGATCAGAGTCGACCTATGCCCGGGTGCTTCTACAACTTACGTGGTGTCCCATTCCCAGTGTCCATGAGCTGGAAGGAAGCAGCATTCTTATATCCAAGCCAACTTATCCGGGTTGTGGCGGACGACATCCTGGAGTTTACTGATCCCAAGGCCAATCAATGCCACAGTATCGCCGCTGTGCGCGATTATCTCAGGAAAAGAGTCCAAGAACGCAGAGTCCTGCAGATGGCACACGAGTCACATTTCTCAAAGGTTCAGCCCACTCGGGTTGAGAAGATATGCATCCGTCGGATGATCTCTCGATACTGGGATAACTCTAGCCCATTCTCCTTGGACTTGCTCGGCGCTGTCATCAGACAGGGCAAGTTCATTCAACAAATGGACCGTATCAACTGGCTTAGGTCACCGACTCTCCACGCCACCTTAAACCGAATGATCAGAAAGTACAGTGTCTTCTTCGGGATCATGGCTGATAACCCCAAAGAAATGGCCGTGCCGACACTAGATGTGGATTTGGCATGGCACACACACCAACTTTCTCCCAGACAATATTACAACTATAGCGTGCGTTTAACCAATAGGCCAATGCAGTTCATCGACCACAATGACAAGGTTGATGAGCTAAAACTAACCAATGGATTCGAATGGACTTGCAAAACATACCGTGAGGTTACCGATGGGGAGATCTACAGCGAATGCGTCTGTTGGTTCTGCGAGGCGATCCGCTATCCCGATCTCTACGGTCACTTCCGCTCATCATTATTGTGGCTTTCCGATGCCCGCAAAGCCGTTGATGAGTTGCACAGACAGCATGATCAAGCCTCTAAGTCTGACAGTGGGCCGCACATCTCTATTCACAGTGCTGTCCGCCTTCAGAATAGTGAGGTCAACCGAATAATGAGAGAAACCAAAGCTTTGCAGCTTCTAGAAGCTTACAGAAAGTCACTCAGGCGGGCTCAAAAGCATTCCCGTTCATCCAAGGCGCTTGAATCTGCCATCGCAGCGGTCAACTCTCTTGTCTTGCCAACCAGTCTGACTACGGACTCAGTCGTTTCTCAGGACGAGACAAGCATGTTGTCATCCGAGGAAGATGAGGTCAACCATAAGAATAATCATGAGACCGTCGACGCCATTTCGAATTTCTTCGACGGCATCGAGAAACTTGTAGATGGACTTGAACAGCTGTTCCATGACGATCCTCACTGTACGGACGGATCGCTTAGTGGGCAAGGGAATTGTATTTCAGGAACGTGCGGCTCTTCTATCGCGGCTGGGAACTGTGTCTCTTGTGGGAATGCGTCTGCTTGTGGTGCTTCTGCAGGGTGCGGTGGTGGTGGCGCTGGAGGATGTGGTGGAGGGGGAGGGGGAGGGGGAGGGAGCTCAGGATGTGGTGGTAAGTTCTTCCATGTCTTTATATGAGTTGGTCTGATGTATCACACAGGCGGGGGCGGTGGATCCTGATCTCTTAAACTGCGCCACAGCAGTATCTCAGCTCAATCGCCGGAGAGATCTGCAGACTTGGTCCTGCGGTAGTAACTATATTAGAGAAAGCTCGATTAGTTCATGACCCTCTTCGATCCGTGATAACGAGAAGGAAGGGGAGGAACGAGTCTGTAAGGATGTTGCCTTGATCACCTGACACATGCGTGTATCTTCACATGATCGCTGTTTCCATATGAAGATATGTAGCGCAGATATTAGATGGGAGTTCAGTAAATTGGTATATAATTTAACTGTTTCAGTTCTGATATTATGATATAGTATATAGAAGTAAGTTATCCAAGTGAGCATGCTCGACATTAGATGTTTTGCTTAGCACTCAGACTCAGCTCCTGGGGTATAGTAACGAATGGACGCCTCAGTACCTCTAAAAGCAACCAGCTCAAACAGCTATAGGTGGGTATAAGCAAAGCAAAATCATGATATCATCTCATCTCATCTCCTCAGAGCCTCCACCATATATAGAAGCAAAATCTCGAGCAATATTAGTACTAGTGTCGGCGGTAATCATGTATTAGAAGCATTAATCAACGTTTCACGTGAAAAGAGCGTTGGAATCGAGAAAGTTGCGTGGCGCAAAGCACATGCGCGGCATTTCCAAGTCTCCGTTAGATGGGGTATTCGTAGTCCATGGTGCAATGGACCAATGGATTAGCACTGGAAATTTGTCATGTTTAGACGGCGGAGCGGCCGAAGAAGCGACGGCGACCACTGATGCGACATTGTTAGCATCGAGGTCCACACATTGACGATGATAATGTGACTTACTAGGTAGGAGCAGTGCTATCCTTCCTGACACGGAAAGTGAACCAAAGACCCTGTATCACGATCGTCAGTATGCATCAATAGCCAGCAGGGGGTGTAACAAAACATACCACAAGCGCTGAAGCAAGCCAGACAATAGCGGAGATGAAACTGAACGCTTCAGCAGCCTTCCAGCGACTGCAAGTATTGTTGCGGTAGAGACCACCCCAGTGCCAGATACTGCCACAGCTGAACTTGTGAATGGCGTTGACAAGGATACCAAATGCGGCAAACCACGCAAGGGAGATGATGACGTCAACTGCGGGAAAAGGAACGAGTCAGCAATTGCGGAGGAATAAAGAAGGGACATGTGACGACGTACATGGCCAGGAAAAGAATCCAGAGGAAAATGGTATGAGCCATATCAGGCCAAGGAGGATTGATAACCCGGCGACAACTTCGGTGTAGATCCAGCGGGCCTCAGGCCATGCGTCACCGCTGTATTGGGCAAGGTAGTGACCGATGATACCGGCGACGACCTATTGAAATCGATAACTATGTTAGCGTGAGAAATAGAGAGCAGAATGATTTTTCATTAATCATATTGAAATACATACCGCACCGCAAACAATTTGCGCAACGCGAAAGACAATGGAGATTAGGCGGGAGATAACAGGCATGTTGGCGATTAGATGAGTGGAGCCGAGGCAAATGCAGGGTCGCCAATAGTGTGATGTAGTAGCTGTTGGAGTAAGCACGAAGTAGATAGCTAGCGTCACTGAAGTAGGAACGAGAAGTAAATCGGTAGGATAACCAGCAAGAAGCGACGAGAGAAAAGAAGATGAGGTGGAGGTGTGATTTAAATAATCGAAATGACGATCAAGCAAGCTTCTCAGAGGAGCCGATGATCCGCAACACGAATTTTGCTGGGCGAGGGAACACCAAGAAAGACGAGGGGGGGGGGAATCAATTTCCCTTGCTCATCGACTCCTTTCTGGTAATTCTAGTCTGTTCTGATCACCGGGTCTGCCAGTGACATGACATCGCTTTTGAGACTACGATTGGCCAGCCCACAATCTTGCGTCCTGCCCAACGTTCAGTGCGCAACATTTCTCCTCAACCAGGCTGGGTAACTGATCGACCCGCTGGCAAGAAGTGGATGGGGATAGGGTGGGAAGTTTCTACAAAGTATAAAGTAAATTTTTTCTTCTTTTCAATTCGGTGTGAAGAAACTAAATTAATTAGTGGTCCTTTTTGATCGGGTGAGAGCGTCACAATGCTACGATGGGCTGTGTTTGCGCCGAGTCCGCAGCTCTAGGTACCAAGCTATCATCTTATGGTCCAACTCATAGGCAACCATCAAAGAAGTGCCACATATAGAATTACTCAGCCACATTCTATAACGTAATCGGACAACGAAGCGGCGCGACAACGAGCCGGCGCGGCAACCCTCAACCCTCACAAACAAGCCACCATTCTGCCTACCATATTGCAACGATCGCTTCAAATTGAAGCAATTGAATGCTATATAAATGACTTATATTCAAGCAAACTAGGCGTTGACTTTATCTGGACATTTGAGGCGATTATGGCCTTCCTTATTGCAATTACTGCAGCGTGGTGGCCGACGTTGAGCGTGTTTTGTTATCTGTATAGCCTCAACATCCTTTTTCTGAGCAATATGACGTGCAGTAGAGCCATCTAACGTGCCTCCTTCTTGTAGAAAGCGTTTCGAGGCCTTCTTCTTGTTCTTTTTATATTGATCTACTGCACGGAGTTGATCCAATTCCTGTTGAAGCAGTACAGCATTCTGCATTGCCATTTCTGCACCTTTATAGACCTTTTCGAGTGCTTGATCAGCAATAAGCGAGGATAACCCAGCTTCCTGTAGTGTTTCGATCTCCGCTTTTTGATGATTCAGTTGATAAAGAGTCAAAGGCGTTTTACCAAGATACATAGATTGATTAGATGATGATGTCGAAGGTGGTGGAGGTGTTTGATTCGAATCTTTGAGGTGTTGGAGCACTCTTTGAGGGTTGTACGGAGAAAGCCCTGTTGCAGCAAAACCTTGCTTTATATTCGCTGTGTTAAACGCTTTCGAATACACCTTTTTGAAATGATATAGGAAGTCTTCTTTCTGTATATGGTGGATGCCTTGATCAGCTGCATCTTTGATTCGACGGCCGTACAGGGTCTTTAGCGGTGCAAAACAAGTGACATCGAGCGGTTGAAGTTTATGGGAAGAATGAGGCGGCATGTATAGAGGAATAATTGATCTTTCTTTGCAATATTGGTCGAATTCAACAGTTGAATGGCTTCCATGGCCATCAAGGATAAGGAGACGATACTGGCCCATTGTTTTTGAGGCTGTATAGGCATCAAAGTATTGAAGCCAGTCAAATGCGAGTTTATCATTCGTCCATCCGTTATCACTAACACTGATCCGCCAGTCATTGGGAATAGCTTCAAACCACTTCTCTTGCTGCATCTTGCCTGCAAAGATAATCTGTGGAGGTAGTACACTCCCTCCAGCACTGATTGTAATGATCGAAGTAACCCATTCACGATTTCCAGGTTGTATAGATCTTGCATTCGTTTGACGTGATTCAGTGCCGCAGACAATCTTTGCAGTTGATGCTATTCCCATTTGAAAACCCGTTTCGTCTATATTATAAGTATCGTGTTCAAGAATCCCATATTTTTGTATGGTATTCTGCACTAATCTGAACCACTGACTTATGACCTCGACATTCTCGCACTTCGCACGTTGATAATCAAAACGTTGAGTATATTTAGACTTCAATTCAGCCTGGTGACGTTGAACGAATCGATTGACCCAGCGTTCACTAATAAAGGTGTTTTTTAACTTTGATTTCGATGCTAGAAGGACCTCTGCAAGATATCGTACTTTAGCAATAGTAAGCGGATAGCCTCGTGAATCTAATTCAAGGATCCTGCGCTTCAAGACTAATTCATCATTGTTAGATAACTTCCTTAAATTTGCCTCTACTTCCGTGCGAGGTTTGACGCCATTCAAACGATCTTTTAGAGTGCTTATCTTGACATCAAATGCTGCAGCACACGCCTTTTTGGTAGCAAATTGGCCGCGATTGAAGGCCTCGCAGGCAAGCGCTAGTCTCCTATCTCGAGAAAGACCCTCCATGCGTTTGAATAGCTTCAATATTGACTGAATTAAGCAAGGTTGAATATATCGCGTGTTGTGTTGTGTGGAGGTTCGAAGCGGTGAGGGTTGCCGCGCCGGCTCGTTGTCGCGCCGCTTCGTTGTCCGGTTACGTTACATTTCATCGTATAATCTGCAGAGCGACCTGCTTCAAGGCTGAACCACTCGCTCGCAAGAAAAAAAAGCTGTTGGAAAATCGTACCTATTGCTCTCCACTGGTCCCCATCACTAGGCTATTGTTCCTCTCCACCGCACATCCACCCGCTAACTTCAATAGCGCCCCGACTTTACCCCCTCCGGTTTAGGGGATCGTTGCCAGTCCCTTCTTTTCTCCTAGTGGGTGTGACTGACCCATGTTTATCCCGCCCTGTGGATGGAGTACTCGCTGGAGTCAGTCCATCCGACTGCTCATCTATCCGACCGGATGACCCAAGACTTAATAATCTGATCGGTCACCCATGGAAGGGAAATGGAAAAAAAGGGGAGGATAAAACAACTGAAAAATCAACACTCGAAAGAAACAACCAGAACCGTAAACAGTGGTAAACAGTGGCTGTGACGTCAGGGGAGCTGCGTGGCAGCCTAGAACACGTAGTTTTAATGTGGCGCTGCCAGTAAAGGTTGTTGTTGTTGTACAGGAACCAGTGGGCACGACGTAGTAGAAGCCATTAATTTGCAGATAGTCGGTGATATCTTGTTACTATAACTAAGCTGCCCTCGTAATTAGTAACACACCTACGTCATTTCTTCACATTCCGATCGTCTTGAGTGACAGCAGTCGGGATTCCAAAGCCTGGCCGGTAGTCGGGCCCTTCTCATTAGTGGTGGGTGTTGCCTGATCTATCTACTGCTACTAAAGAACTCCGTAGGGTAGTCTACGAAGTACGTGTTGGCAACAAAATCTGATGACGGAGAACTTAACACTGCTCTAGGCTTCTTTTATTGGTAATATCCTCCGGATTTCACCAACCAGGGGTGACCCTATAAATCGGACAGACCCCGAAGTTCTAGAGTTTTAGCGCGTGGAAACCTTAAGTTTACGGCAACCAAAAGGGGCGCAACGCCGGAGATTCTTTCCACGGGCTTTGGCTGTGTCACATGTCACAGCACGCCCTTGGACTAACTATTTAGAAGACGACATCCCATTTCCGCTTACCCGGCTGGCACATTTCCCAATTATGAATATATCCTAGTTAAATATTTTACAATAACTTCACTATGAGAAGTGCAGAATATACTCTCCTAACTTACCAGCTTATGTTACTATAAGTCATGTAGTATGCCCGCTCGACCTACCAAAATCTGCGCCCTTTATTATGCACCAGTATGAGTTCGACCCATAAACCTGGCTCCACTGGAAACTCCGGAGAACCATAACATCTAGACAGACTTTCTGAACGTGTGTGCTCCTTTAAGAACTGGGACTAGATCATGCATGCTATCACTATAAATCAGATTGATATGCCCCTGCAGGCCACTCCTATTTTGGGAGATCACAAGCACTAAATATGTACAAACTGCCCCTAGGTCGGCCCAGTCGCCTACCACCTCTTGAGAAGCCTATATGGATAACAACGTAACCAAGGCATTCTGAAAGACCTGGCTATCAGAAAAGACACTACCTCGGGGTCTCTACCGTCTTCTGCGAGCGAAGGGAAAGCCTTCTTTTGAGAACTGTATTAAGACCCCTGATTATGATGGGCCGAAGGCCGGTCTGACCTACCTAGCCCATACGTGAGGTTACTACTAGCCAGATGTCTACTGCTGACTGCTGAGTGACCTGAACCCGAGGCTCTCGACCCGCTTTTGGCAACAACGGTCACCAGCAACGTCAATACTGATACTATGAGCAGAATGCTCCGAAATTGTCAGATTCTGCTCCTCAGTGTCCCACAGACTCAATATTGATTGTGGATGGCCAGGGCTCATGGGTGATGTCGCATGTGAGACGGATGCCATCCTGCGGTAGATCTTTCGAGGCGGTTTATTATTAAAGGTGTGATTTTCAGATGTTCAATCCTACACATCATACGGCTGGCCGCAAAGATCTGGCTTTCAACGAGTGACTCTAACGTTAGCAAACATACCATCCGAATAGAACCCGCAAGTAATATCAGGACAACACTCAAACCAGGACCGCAGCGAACGCGAAGAGCAGACTGATATCGGCAGCTACTTGATCAGGGCTCAAGTGATCAATGGCATGCGCATGCTAAAAGAAAATCTTCCCAGGGTGTCAGACTGCCGGATATGGCGATAAAGAATTAATAGAGGTAATATGTATATGGAGGAAAGTCAATCGCGGGCTTCTTGCCGGCAGCCTTAGATCGAGCACATACTGCCATTGACGGAAAGCATAGCCGCAAGAGGGGAGAGACAAAGCCCGCCGCAATCCTGGAATCAGTATCCAATCGCCTCACGGCGAGCACAGCCTCCAGACTGGAAAGACTGTACAGCTGAGCTGCTAGACCGGGATCATTTGAAACCAGCCAATACTGTCCATCCAATGGCCATAATGATCGTCGACGTGCAGCTGTCGATGCCTGCCAGCGCCGCATGGATCATGGTTCGGGCCTAGTCTAACCCCCACTACAAGTGGATACTTGCGGGCAATTCCCCCTCATCACATCAAAGAATCGTCTACACTAACAACAATCCCAGCATGTTAGTGAGAGACAATTGTCACACGAACACGTAGTTGGCACAATGACAGAAACAGGGGATGCCTGTCACTTTGTCTACTTATTTCCACCGTCACCCCGCGCTGCTCCCCGTCCCTCCAAACACCCATCTATGTTTCTGGCCTATGCTAACAATCCCATTCCAGCCCAACCCCCATAAACATGTCCACTGAAAACCACGAAAGCACCTCACCATCCGGTGTCCTCCTACTAGGCAGCATCCCCCTCTCCTCAACAGAAGAAGTCTTCCACAAGATCCCTGCCGCACTACCAGACCGACTCTTCTCCATCCCCGACGGCGAAACAGGCATCCGCGACAACTACATCCGGTGGCAAGTCGACAGTTTCCCCAAAGAAGCCATCCACCAATTCCTCGGAGGAACCGACCTACCCACCAACCATCCCGGCTTCACCCTGAACGACATCAAGCCAACCCGATACGACACAGTCGCACTCGAATCCTACCAAACCTTCCTAAAGCTACTAGAGCAAGAAGTTATCCCACCGGGAGTCCGCTTCCAAGTCTCCCTCCCCCTACCCCTGAACTGCGTGCAGGGCCACACACGCACAGAATTCCACGCGCAGCTAGACCCCCTGTACGAGCAGCGCATGATCGAATCAGTCCAATCCATCATCCAGAACATCCCTGCCCACGACCTCGCCCTTCAATGGGACGTCTGCTTCGAGGTCACAGCGCTTGAGAACGAGCGCGGCCGGCTCCCAGACCCTTTCTTCAAGCCTCATTTCTCGCCAGTGATGGAGGGCGTGCTAGAGCGTATTCAACGCGTTAGCGACATCGCTCTCATCCCCGCTGAGGTTCCACTTGGATTCCACCTGTGCTACGGGGACCTAGGTCACAAGCATTTCGTCGAGCCAGAGGATCTCAGTCTTCTGGTCGAGCTGGCGAATAATATCTTCGAGTGTATTCAGCCTCGTCCGGTTGATTGGGTGCATATGCCTGTGCCTAAGGATCGGGATGATGTTGCTTACTATGAGCCGCTGAAGCAGTTGAAGATGGGCAAAGATTCCAGGTTGTATTTGGGGGTCGTGCATGCCTATGATGAGGAGGGTACTCGACGGAGAATACAGACGGCTAAGTCGGTGGTGTCGGATTTTGGGGTCGCGACTGAGTGTGGGATGGGACGGACTCCAGCTGAGGAGCTGAACAGCATCCTGGAGATATCTAGAAATGCTTCTTCGCCGCTGTGGTTATAGATTTGTGCCGTGCGGTGTGGTGTGTTTGTTGGTTTGGGGCTTTGGAGTACTGCGTATAGAGCAATGGAAAATATCGTCTATTTCTGTTTAGTATGCGGTGAACTATGCGATGAGCATACCTGGACATAAGGAATCTTTCGTGCTGAAACATCTGTGTCACCCGATTGCTGAGTGGCCAGCGGTATGGCGTTTTGATCTACTACTTGGCAACATGCTGTGTTAACAATTTTGCCGGATGGCCGCTAATCATTGCCGTAGCTGACTTTCACCCGATGTAAGGAAGGGCACAAGATCTACATAAATACAGGGAGTGTCCACCAAAGAGCGCACAATGTCCGCTTTTGTTCAGAGTCACAGCGCAGCTGTTCTCATGGCTATTTTCATATTAGGCTATTGGTACATTGAAAGCATGGCGTTAGAGAACACCACGGGACAGCACGCTGTCGTTTGCAGGATATCTCAATTCGCGTCCCTCGAAAGAAAACGAGACGAAAGATTAACGAGTAAGGGAATCCAGGAGGTAAGACATTAACGAATTAGACCGGCCATTCATCTGTCGTACTACACGTGCTTCCGATCAGCAAGAAACCATTCCATGACGGTGCGGAAAACCCCCTTCGCGCCGCTCTCAACCACGTCTCCATGGCAAGGAATCAGGCGATTGAAATCCCACTTGTCAATTCTGCGAATGGACTCGGTAAAAGCCTGCCGATCTCCACTGGACAGGACATACCAGACGAATCTCTTCTGCCAAGTCGCAGGTGAAGAAGCGGACATCAATGGAGAGACCATCTTGGTGAAAACACCTGACGTGGCGCTCTCCTGACTCCTGGAGTACTGCTCCCTCGCAGGCAGGTTGAACAAAAGATCCGCCTCAATGAGCGAGCGGGACGGGCGATGGTAGAAGACAAGTTCGCGCGAAGGGTGGCCATGCACATATTCCGTCTCGAATTCCGCGTCAAACTCTTCCGAGATCTTCTGTTTTCCATTGGCGTCCTTGCGGAAAACATGTTCGAAAGGTGCGGAATCCTTGGTTTTGGGGTTGGCCTGGCGCTTTTCCCAGAGCCCTTCGGGAGCGATAATGGCAGCATCAGGGAATGCCTCCTTCCAGGCGGTCAAGTGAATATGATGTTCCATATCCAGAGCTGCGATGTATTTGACGTTGCCTCCGAGACCGGTAATGGTTTCACGCACTTCTTGAGTCAAATTAACAGGAGAGAAGACGGCGACGGAACCGGTTTCCATTTTGACTATTTTCACCGACGTTGTAAGATACCATTAGCATGACATGCGCACATTAAATTTGAATCACAATGACACCGGGAAAGTGTGAGCCTGAGTAAGAAGAAAGGAAATGAAGTGCGAACCAAGTGTACCACGTCCACCAAACTTGAGCCGACCGAAACGCGCAAATGGCAAGCTTAAGGTAATGACGTTGGAAGTCACATTGCGGATCACCATGACCTCTGAAGAATTGGCGGGGAAGAGCTGGGGCGCCATGATGAATGTTGTGCGGCGGAGCAGCGTGTTGGTGAAACCAAGCTGCGGACAGGTGAAAGACCACGAGAGTCTAGTGATGTGAGAGTGTGTACAAAAGAAGATAAGGTCGCGATCGATCGGGGACGAGCAGTAGCTCTGCCTGGGGAATTCACTCGGGCGTAAAGCCTATGACGTAAGGCACCCAAGGCCCGTCCTCTTGTGTTCCCGCAACCAGCAGGAACAATCTGGTGTTACGTGCCGGGTGAATATTTCCGGAAGGTGCTAGCTATTATCATTTACTATTGTATTTAGCTAACTCCAACTTGCCAGTCCTCGAGGAAAGTCGGACCATTAACTCTTTTTGCATCTCCACATAAGCTGTCAACCACATGCCAATTGTAAGGTACTCAGCTTGGGTGGGGTTTGAATTGGAGATAGAGTTGGGAGCTTGGCTGTCTTTGAACCAATGACGATTTGGCCAGCAGCACTAGTTACCCTCCAGGGACCAGTTTTTATCCCTCTGCTGGATGCAAAACCTTGGGGACAAGCTCTGCCATGCTAGACTAGTTGTGGACCACACTCTGTATCTAGTTCATTCAGGACACCCATACGCCGTGACGAAATCCATGCTCAAAATTCAAACCAACACCGTTCACACCAAATGGGTATCACGTTATCCAGACACATAATCAAAGCACTCCCACAGAATATAAACAATACACAACGCACTTCTCCAAACCCAATCTAGTCCTCTGAAATTAGCCTTGCCAAGATTGTGCTGTATTTTGCGTCTCTTCCTCCCGATGAGGAATGATGGAGTCTTTGATGTCATAGACTTGGATCAACTCTTGCCAGGTCTCAAAGTCGAGTGTGAAAATGGCCTGACGCTTCTTAATGCCCTTTCTCTGGGCCTCACTAGGCGCATGAGGCTTTGCTGAATCTGTTTGGGGATGGTCAATTAAATGCTCAAATCATGTAGGGTACTGAGCAGGACTCACGCAAAGTGGGCATGCCCCGGCTATCCACCGCGATTCCAACCAAGCCGTCCCGGACCAAAAAGCTAACGTAGAATAGATTTTCCACACTTTGTCCGAAAGATTGCGGGTTAATGCAGAATTGGAACAGAGGAACACCTCCATCATCGGCCACATTGTTCCTTGCCATCACCTCTTGCACCGTATCTTCGTCGGGGTCATCTGGCAACTGCGACAATTCTGCCTCTACCACATCTTGTCCGTTGTTTTGGGTTCTAGCCAAAAGTCGATTGATGCTGGCACACATAGTCGTCAAATTCGATGTTTCTTGCCTGTCCAAGTCTTTTTCTTGCAATTCTTGCGGTGCAACGGCCCGTGCTGGGTCGATTCGTTCACGGGCTCTTCGTACAGGTTGCTGCCGGACGCGCTTCTGTACTGAAAGCGGTCCCAGTAGGAAGCCAGGAACTGACGGTCGGGCATTACTGCAGAAACAAGCAGCGCGCCCGAGCCAGTCCCAGTTCATCGCATCCCCTTGATCCTCGTCGCTGTCGTTGGGGTCCATCTGACTCCTTCCGATACCCGTGCGCCGCCGTTGGGTGCTGGAAGGCATCGAAACTTGGGAATCCGCAGGCGCCCGGCGCATGAAAGAGATACACTTAGAGACAAACTCATCCACATCTATTCCTGCACTAGCATCCCCCAGCACCAACTGTGCCGTCTTTTTGTATGACAGATCAGCCGCTTGAACAAGCAGGCGAGAATCGATGGTTGCGTCAGAAGTCTGCTTGACATTCTCAAAGATGTCGTTCGCTTTCTTGATGGTGTCACGCAGGCCATGGTTGCCAGCCTGTAAATATTCATTCCTAGAGTCTACCATAAACCATGTCAGACTCGGCGGTAAGATACAGAGCCACAGCCAGCCTTACCGTTGAGGTCCCGCGTCAAATCTCTGAGGCCCTTACGAACTTGTCGCCTTTCTCGGTGGTCTTGATCCGGATCGTAAAACTGATTGGCACTATTCCGTGTCGCCTGCGACACTTCTTGAGACTGGGTGGCTTGCACATTCGAGTCTCTTGCTGATAGTCGAGCTCGCTTAGCTCTACGGGCGTGTGCCATCGTTTGCGGCTGGTTTCTTTTGGTGTTCCCTGTTGCACTTGAACTATTCTCCTTATCGGATGGCGATCCTTGCGACACAGGGTGGTTCGGATATGTAGAGGAAAGAGGAGGTGCCATCTCTAGCCGCCGGGCAGATATTCTGCGACAACACACCGTTGGGGAGGAGGGGTTGACAAAGAACACGATTGGGGCCGCCTCAGGTCGAGTGGCTAAAGGGTAGTAAGACAAAGGACAGATACAAAGAAGGTCCTGAATGAAAAGGAGGCATAAGCAGATGCGTTGCAAACCAGCATGAGCTACGGGCTCATCGAGTCCTCGATAGCAACCCGTGATATCTTTCTCTCCGGGATATTTCTTTCTTGGTCGCCAAACACAGGCAAATCCACCGAAGCGCGCGTTGAACGCGTGGTGCACGTGATCCTAGAGGACCCCGCGTCATTGCTAGCTGTTGCCCCAGGCCTCCCGCCAATCAGCCGCTGCGGCTCCATTGGGTCTCCGGCCGGAGCTCCCCGTCCAATGTCACCCGCCGCTCACTTCCCCGGCAACCCAGTCCCTAGTCCTCATTTCATACTTGCAATGAAGGGTGTGTAGTTACATATACGGTGGACACAAATGGCCCTGAGCTAACGATGGAGGCCTTTACCTTTACCGTGTCCACTCAGGTGGATTTTCCAATTCATGTGAAGATGTATGTGTGCTTTGATTTCCCTTGATCCAATAACAATGGAGTAAGTTGGCTAACTTTGGATGGATGTAGTGGCTCGTTGGAAGGAAAGCAGAAACAAGCGCCTTTCTCCCTCCTTCTGAAGCATCCAGAATTGCGCCACATCGGTTCCGCGCAGAATCCCGTCTCCGACCTCTTCGTGACCATCCAACTATGGTCAGATTCCAAAGCCTTGGGAGTGCCTTTGCAGACCTCATATAAGGCCTTCAAGTCCGCTCGAGCCTGGAATGAATGGCTGCAGCTGCCGATATCAATAAAGGATGCTCCCCTCAAAAGTCAACTGGCGATTACCGTTTGGGATCTCTCCCCATTTCGCGGCGAAGGAGCGCTCGGACACTATGTGCCTTTTGGCGGAACGACTATACCGTTGTTTGACGGAGAAGGAAAATTGAAGATGGGCAGGCAGAAATGCAAGATATATCGTCACCGAGCTGCGGATGGTTTCTCCACAACGACAACGCCGTCAACAGCGCCTCCGAAACGTCGGAAGAACAACGCCCCAGATCCGCTAGGCCCATCGGAAGAGGAGATGGAGCTAGAACGCATCGAAGTTTTGATAAAGAAGCATGAGATGGGGGAAATACCACGCATTGACTGGATGGACCAACTGGTCTTTCGCCAGCTGGAAAGGCTCAAACTCAATGCGGAGGAAGCTGCAAGGAAACGGGCCTTACGTCTGAAGGCTACGAAACAGAAGCGCTCGGAGCATGGCGGGGATGAGGACGACTCAGATGATGACGAAGTGGACGATGAGAACTTCATTCTCTACGTTGAGTTCCCGCGCTTTGATCACCCCATCGTCTGGTCCGATCATGAGTACCCAGCTCCTCCAATGTCATTCTACTCCCAAGGTGCACCTGCAAATGCAAATCCCGCACTGAAGCCCGTACCGGAAGTTCGCTTTGGTCCGGGAATAGAGGGCGCGGATGGTGGCGGTGTCATCAGAATATACGACCCTGAAGTTGGTCAAACCGGTAATCCATGTGAAGACAAGCATCGGAGACTGATCCGTAGCCATCGGACGGGCATCATGGATCGTGATTTGAAACCAAACCCCAAGATTCGCGATGAACTCAACGTAATTCTGTCATACGAGCCCACGCAGGATCTCACCGCTGAGGAGAAAGACCTTGTTTGGCGATTCCGATACTACCTAACCCGTGAGAAGAGAGCGCTGACTAAGTTTGTCAAGTCGGTCAACTGGAGGGATGTTGGTGAAGCGCATCAAGCCGTCGAGATACTGCCCAAATGGACCGAAATTGATGTAGACGATGCTCTTGAGTTGCTTGGACCGACTTTCGATAATCCTGCAGTTCGTTCATATGCAGTTGAAAGACTGCGCAAGGCGGACGATGAAGAGCTACTTCTTTACCTGCTACAACTTGTACAGGCTCTGAAATATGAAGAACACTCTCACGGTGATGTTGATGACGCCGCCCACGATTCGTCTTTGGCCAACTTCCTTATAGCCCGCGCTGCGAACAATTTCAAATTGGGCAACTACCTACATTGGTACCTTATGGTTGAATGCGACGATGCAGGGCCAGGAACATTGTCAGCACAACGTAGACTCTTCGCACGCGTGGAATACTACTTCATGGCTGAGCTCGAGAAAGTCCACCCGGAGCATCGCAAGACCCTCCTGCGCCAAGGTGAACTAGTCACTATACTCACAAAGATCGCTAAAGACGTCCGGTTCTCGCGCGAGAACCGGGTCCTCAAGATCGAACGACTGAAGCAGTGCCTCAAGGATCCGAAGAACGACATGCTACACATCGACCCTCCACTGCCACTGCCCCTGGACCCGGAAATCCACGTCACCGGGTGCTACCCGGACGAAGCAAACGTCTTCAAATCCTCCCTCTCTCCTCTCCAAGTCATGTTCAAGACCTCCGACGGACGAAAATTCCCCATCCTTTTCAAAATTGGCGATGACCTCCGCCAAGACCAACTTGTCATCCAAATCATCATCCTAATGGACCGACTCCTCCAAAAGGAGAACCTCGACCTCAAACTTACCCCCTACCGTATCCTAGCCACCAATTCCACCGCTGGCGCCGTCCAATTCATTCCCTCGGCCTCCCTGTCCGCCATCTCCGCCAAATACAAATCCGTCCTCGCCTATCTCAAAGCCAACAATCCAGATGACAGTGAACCCCTCGGCGTTCGCAAAGAAACAATGGACACCTATATCAAATCTTGCGCCGGCTACTGCGTAATCACCTACCTCCTCGGCGTCGGCGACCGCCACCTCGAGAACCTCCTCCTCGCCCCCGATGGCCACTTCTTCCACGCCGACTTCGGCTTTATCCTCGGCCGAGATCCCAAGCCGTTCGCACCCATGATGAAACTCTGCAAGGAAATGGTCGAGGGCATGGGCGGGACTACTTCTCCCTTGTATCTCCAGTTCAAGCAGTATTGCTTCACGGCGTATACTACGCTACGCAAATCGGCGAACCTCATCCTTAACCTGTTCAGTCTGATGGTTGATGCGAATATCCCTGATATTCGGGTCGAGCCCGATAAGGCTGTCTTGAAGGTCAAGGAGAGGTTTCATCTGGAAATGTCGGAGGAAGAGGCCATTCGACATTTCGAGCAGCTTATTAGTGATAGTGTTAATGCTATCTTTGGTGTTGTGATTGATCGGTTGCATGAGTTTGTGCAGGGGTGGAGGGCTTAGGTGGCTGGCATTTTTAGTGGATTCCTAGCTCATTCTGCTGTTTCGTTGAAGGGGGTAAGGAGTTTATGGCGCATACCACCGATTAAATGGTTCACTGATGAATTGATTGATACCCTGCCTTTGAAGCGGTGGCCATGTCTATAATAATGATAATATATTGATAGATCTATAGACATTTTCCGTCCCTCATTGTATCTGTACTTTTATGACCAGCTTTCCATCTCATCGTAACCACCCTCTAAACCACAGTGTAACATTCACTTCTCCCCATGATGTCGTGCCGGACCTCCAGCCTCCTCATCATTACGATCCCAAACCCCCAACTCAACCCACTCATTCCCAGTTCCACAATCCCCACGTCTATCCCCGAGATCACCTCCCCCCAAGTCAACTCCCTGGGTTATCCGCATATCCTCAGTCACAGCAGTATCAGAACCGAACTGATCATGCGCAGCAAAAACCCCTCCGGTCTGTCCATGTTCACCGCGCAATTTCGCCTCGGCGTCTTCGTCATCCTCCGGCGTCCCCTCTTTACATGCCCATGCGTCTACGAACCTCAGGACCTCGCGGGGCCACCAGCGCTTCATGACGAGAAGACGGAAGGGGACTAATAGGACGATGAGCACGGGGAATGCGGGTGCGCCACGGGTGAGGGTGAGGATGAAGATGGCTACGGTTATGACGATTTGGAGGATGGTGTAGAGGTGGATGGGGATGTATGATGGTGTTGGGGGTTCTTCTTCGGAGGTGATTGGTTGTTGTAGTTGTTGTGGTGGTGGGGCAAGAGATGGTGGGAGGGGAGGGAGCTCGGAGGGTGGTGTGAGGAGGTAGAAGGTTCGGTAGAGGATTGGGCTGGTGTTGTTAGTGGGGTTGATTCTTTTAGTGTGGTATGGATGGTGGACGGCTTACTTGACTGATAGGCTCTGCTCGCCCATAAACATGAATAGCCCTGCTAGGACGCTTGTTGGGGTCAATCCGAGCACTTTCATGAAGGGCGGGCTGACGAAGAGGAGGATGACGGCTGAGTGGAGGAATGCTGACCAGCGCTGTTCGTAGACGCGCTTCACTTCGTATGTTTCGGTCTTCTCTTCTCCGTCGACTGTGATTGTGCGTTGCTCCTTCTCCGTGTGCATCAGGGATTCGGAGTGGAGGGGGGCTTGAGGGAGAAGTCCGTTGGCAGGTGGTATTCCTAGAATGCCGCATAGTGCTGTTGTGGTGCCTAGGAGGACGATGTCCCAAGCAAAGCCTCCTGGTTTCCTGGTGCCGTAGCGATCAATGGTGCAGATAATTGAGCTAACTTCGTGATCGAAGAAAAAGAGCACGGTGATGATGATTCCGGGAAGGATAGCGGCGAACACCCAAGATACAGGGAGATGCCAGAACTCGACGAGGAATCTATCCCGACTGGGGGATGTAGGCTTGAATGAGGTGCTGACTGGAAGTGTCATTTTGTCTAGATGGGCTAGTTCTCCGACGTGGGGAAGCCCGATGAAGATGATGATGGAAATCGCAGCAGCGTACTCGGTTAACCCCATTCGGATGTATCGATGGAACAGGGGGCGCCAGCTCTCGGCCGTGGATAGGAATATTGCGAGCAGCATCGTTCCCACTGCTCCTATGATAGCGTAGAGAAATGCTGCAAAGGATAGGCTATCTTGTGCTCTTTCAAGCTCTTGTATAGCTTTATGGAAGTAGATAATGCTGTTGAGAAGCGAGAATATCTCGGTTGCAAAAGTGGTAACGTAGCGCATCGTCCAATCGTGAGCGTTAACTATAGCCAGGACGTAGTGGAGCCAAGCAGAATGGATCAGAGACCAGGCCATGAATGGCAAGAAGGGTATCTATGGATAATCATCAGCCACTGCTGGAACATGCTTCTTGCTCGAGATCTAACCTTGAAGACATCCTCGCACAGTGAGTAGATATTCTCAGCAAGGACTGAGAAAGGACCAGTAACACCAAGGATGGTTAGCGGTTGGATTGAGAATCTGTGTGGTGTTATCAGTCTATATTGCTTAGTTCCCAATGCGAACAAGTCCTACAGTGAAAAGATGATGCCGCATAGGCCTGTACTAAACACAACCTCAATAGTTCCCCAATTCTGCCCAGTCAGAACATAGAGGTCACTGGCAAAGGTGATACCTGGCAGCAGGTTCGTAAAGAAGACATAGACCGCACTGGCAAAGATCAATTGATTGAAGACAGTCCAGTCTGATACGTATCTGCGGCGCAAGTTCAGAATGTCCTGCTTTATCAAACGAAAAGGCCGTAACGGGCCCCCTGACGACACAGAACCCCGTAGTACCCGGATGGCCCTGGGCGTATGCTTGGATGGCGTTATGATGGAATGTGCATCTTCATCTTCTTCGTCATCGTCCCGATCAACTTCCTGATTGTGTTGGACATCGTCACGTCGCGGAGACCTCCTTTGCCTACGGGGTCTACGCCGGAGAGAGGAGCTCCGCGTGGAGGGTGGTCGGAAGGCAGATATCAAGGGCATTGTTCAGTCATGGTAAAGAATAGCCTGGCAATGGTGATCTGGAGGGGGTTGAAAGTTGGTCTGGCGGGGAACCAGCGATGCCCGCCTTGGCCCTCATGACGTATCATATCCCGATAAGAGGCTCACAGCATACTCTCCGAACCGCACGGGTGAAGCCGCCCAAGAGCAGGCTAATTGATCATTTCAACTGGAATATTCAGTGTACCGCGATTATCGGAAGTAAATATCGAAGCATGGTAAGTGATAAATATGAATTCACTACTTGGACTAGGAGCCACTGTAAAGTAAGTGGATTCCAATCTTGTGGTGCTGTGATATAGCCAAGGCCTCCTGGCTCAACAGCCCATTCGAAAGTCATTAGCAAATTGGTATGTTTTCACATCATAAAGCAATGTCTACAGGGGTTCCTTTCGGCATTCTGGTACTTGTCGTGTTGGGAGTATGTAGATAGAGGCCGCAGTCTATCGTTACATAACAACGATCCGCCTTCTTCACCGCCTTTATCAGCCGACAGAATCTCTCCCGCGGAGGAATTTCCTCGCCTCCAATTCCAAGGCCATGCCCTCCATACGGCAACAACTTCGCTCAGCTCCTTGATGATGCCAGCTGGATAGGAAATCAAGTCGCTAAAGACACCTAAAACACACAGCAACTTTATGGACCGATGACAATGGCAGCCAAGTTCATTCCACGTCAGGTTTTCCCCAACTATGGGTCTATCCCGAGGTCCTATTTCCTGGGTCACCACAGGGCCGGGTTGAAGAAGATGCAGAACATGCTTTCTTCTATCGATTATGTAGTCGAGTGTCGCGATTACAGGGTCCCCGTCACCTCTATCAACCCTATGTTCGAAGAAGCACTGGGAAAGACACGACGGTTGACCGTCTATACAAAGAGAGATCTGGGCGCAGCATCAGGATCGAATGCGCAGAAATTGGTGGGTGGAATGCCCCAAGTCGAAGGAAATGCTATAAATCAAGAGCACTAATGTATTTGTTGCACTTTTAGGCGGAGAAAACCATTCGAACCTTCAATAAGAACGGCGCTACATTCTTCGTGAGTTCGTCTTCTAGGGCAGATGTGGGCACAATCTTAAAACACTTGCGGGACGATGCAGAAGGACCGGACAAGCTTGTTGGATGCCGGGTGATGATTGTTGGCATGCCTAATGTGGGCAAGTCGACTCTCATCAATCACCTGCGTAATCAGGGTGTGGGCAAGGCCAAGGCGGTGCGGACCGGTGGCCAGCCAGGTATCACAAGGAAGATCGGGACACCCGTGAAGATCATCGAAAGAGAAGGTGGCTCCCATGTCTACGTATTGGACACCCCAGGTGTATTCATGCCATATGTGCCGGATGCAGAGAACATGCTTAAACTAGCTCTGTGTGGCTGTGTGAAGGATTCGGTTATCTCCCCGGTCACGCTAGCCGACTACCTATTATATCACATCAACCTGAATGACGCCGAGGTATATAAGCGATGGTCTGAGCCAACAAACGAGATCGTACCTCTATTGAACAACTTTGCCCGACATGCTGGTCTCCTGGCCAAGGGTGGTATTCCAAACACCGACCTGGCAGCACTGCACTTCATCCAAAAGTGGCGCGCCGGCGACCTGGGCAGATTTATGCTTGATGACCTGAAGGAGGAAGAACGCCGTCTGCAAGAAGGCGGAGAGCGAGAGATACCCACCAGCTATACCCAGGCCTTGAAGGCTGAGAAGCTGGGCAGAAAGCAACCCAAGCTGTAAATAGATAAAGAATCATGTAACATAGATATTTATCCCATCCATTGTACAAAAGAACGAATCATGTTGGTATCATCAATGAGCTTTTGCCTCCCCTCAGATGCATAGTAGACTTGTTAGAACCGCAGAACGACGTAGGAGACAAAAATGAGACGATCGTAAACCCTAAACGCCCATGATAGAGACGAAAAGAAAAACAAAAAAGAAAAAGTGAGAACCCCCGAGTCAGCGCATAGCGCAACAACACGAGGACAAACGCCCCAACAACCGCACAACCTCATGAGATCTTATCCAACAACCTCCTCCTCCGTCGATCAACCAACTCCTCCTGAACCTCATCAAGTGTAGGCAACCTCCACTCAACCCCATCGCCAGCATCACCAGGCAACGGCTCCCACCCATCCTCAACATCCTCATCCTTCCTGCGCAATCTCTCAACAGCCTCCTTCTCCTTCTGCCTCTCATACGCCAGAAGCGTCCCATCCTCCTCATCCAACCCATACCCAAAGTAATTAGCATCGACCTTCTTCGTCGCAATCTCCCCACCTCTCCCCTTTCCACCTTCTTCATCCTCCTCCTCAGCCGGCCTCCTCCCGCGTCTCGCCGCCGCCTCAAACATCTCCTTCACACCCGGCAACTCTCTCGCTCGTCCAAAATACCGATACCCCTTCCCACCACCCGGTATCTCCCTCCCATCATCATCAAACACCCGTCCAGAGCCTCGCATATAGTTCGGCCCGCCCAGGTTCCGAATCTGCATCTCCCACGTCCACTTCTCCTTCATAAGCTTGTTGATCTCATCGTTCAGATCGCGGATCTGGTAATCGCTTAGACTGAGCTCCTGGATCCGAGAAACTTTGCGTGAGATTTCCTTCAGCACTTGGCCGCGCCATTTCTCGCACATCGGGATCGAGTCAACGGTCGTGATGGCTTTCGGGCGGCGCGTGCGCCCGATGTCGATGATTCCGAGATCCGCGGCTTGTTGGGCCCGGAAACGGAAGAGCATCGATTGGGCTTTTTCGCTGTTACGCGCCTGATCATTTTGTTAGTTTGGGGGAGTTCTGGTTGAGCTTGACGTTTGGGTGTGGTTGAAAGGCGAAGGGAGAAGGCGAGAAGGAGGATTTTTGGGGGATCGAGTTGAACAAGATTCGAGGGAACGGTTTGTTGCTTGATTTGAAGGGGCGATTTGAAGGGGGTTGAGTTGGTGATGAGGGCTTACCATTGTGAAGAGCGGCGCGGGGGATCCCCGTGGCTGATGGAGCTTGGTGGTTGAGAGGATTGAAGTGAAGAATGAGAGACTGGAACGCTGGCTCTCGCGCTCTCTCTTGATCCAAGCTCGGGTGGGTTCGTCCGCCCGTTGACAAGCGAGCGCTAACAGATGCAGCCGCGCGGCTACGGCACCCGTGGTTCTTGGCTGTCAGTCTACCGAGTTTATTGTCTCCCTTGCTGCCAATAATGCAGTGCGATGTCGTTTTGAGTTGTGGTGGCTTACGGCTTACATGGGAAGTTAATTTTGATTTTCTAATGTTGTCAGATAGTAGTTGATTAGAAAGGCAGGCATATTAAGAATTAAGGGCTGTGTATAGCACGTTTTCTGGTACTAGCGCTATTGTATATTTATGAACCGCTTCAGCAATGATGAATTCCAGGTATAATTGGTGAACGACCACATAAAACAATAACAGAGACTAGGAATGCCAACGGCTATCCGTTGCATATCGTCAAGATGCATCATGAAGCAATAAAACAGATCATATAGCATAGTACACATCAAAATCATTCAAAAGCATAATCCAAGCGCCGCCTTCCGTCAACACTCCGTAGCCATGCAGGGCTGCCATCAAGTCATAGTCGTAATTGGTCGCTCAGGCCCTAAATGAATGTTTAGCGCCTGAGTGTAGTTAGAGCAATGTGCTCAGCAGGGTCAACCTGCTAGGTCGTCATAGTCTTACAAGAAGCCTTTGGTGTTGCTAGGCATCCGCTGCGGTATATCGCCTGCTCCGTACACGCTGCTCCCTCTCCTGCTTCCGGCGTCACTGAAAGCGCCGACGTGGCTACGTCCGAGGACGCTGCCCCTCTCAACACGGAGCGCTCGCCATCCCTCTAGTTCACGCTCCAACCTGAGAGACTTCTCCCGCTCTTCCCGGAGTTCTCGCTCTGCTCGGCGCACTTGCAGCTGCGTCTCCGAGTCGGCATGTTGAAGCTCCTCAATGTTTCGAAGAAGCCGCTCGATCTTGTCGCGGGCTTTGCTAACGTCGTCATTCAGCTGGGAGTTCATCTTATCACGGCGTTCAATCTGGGACTGCAGGTCTTTGACCGTGCGGTCGACGTTCCGCAACGAACGCTGCTCAGAACTGTGCTTGGCTTCCTGGTCTTCAAGATGGGTCTCCAGCTATTTTCAAGAAAGTTAGTATTTTCCAGGGCATTAGATTCATCATTTTCATGTGGTAACTTACCTCCTTGATTCTCTTGTGTAAGAACCGGACATCCTGGCTTCCTGATGAGTAGCTCTTGGTCTCCAGATCCACGCAACGAAGCTGAGACTCCTTCAGCTGCTTCTCGAGAGCCGCCTTGTCCTTGAAGAGCTGGGCATTTGTTTCTCTCTCAGCAGTAACTTCCTTCTGCATCTCCGTCGCCAGTGCTTCCGCCCGCCTCATCTTACCGACTGCAGCTGCGGAAACATCTTCCTGTTGAGCAAGCTTGGACTTCAGTTCCAACAACTCACGATCCATGCTGGCAGCATTGCGCATCGATGGACTCTCGCCCTTGGCAAGGTCCTCCAACCTTTCGCCTGCTTCAGCTAACCGGGTTTCCAGCATTTTCTTCTCCTTCAGCAGCATGTCACGCTCCGCGGTCACGTCGTCGACGGAGGTGCGAAGAGTTCTCACCTGCGACAGGAGGGAGACAACCCTGCTCTGAGCTTCATTATGAGCATTGACTGCCTCGTCGCGAGATGTCGTCACGTCTTGAAGCATGATGTCCATTCGAGCCTTCTCCTTAGCCCAAGTAGAGCTGTTCAGGACTTCATTGTCCCACTTGCTCCGCAAGTCTTCAAGTTCTTCACGGAGTCGTGAGTTCTCACCGCGAACGTTAAGAACCTTTTCACGCTCCATCTCCAACTCGTTGTTGAGTGTTGTGAACTCGCGCTGATACTTCTGCCTGGTCTGTTCCATTGATGTCTCCTTGTCTTCAATATCAATGGCGCGTTGATTTCTGTAGTCTTCAAGCTCGTTCTGGAGGCGCTGTTTGGCCTGGAGGGCGCCTTGGAGCTCAGCTGCTTGATCCTCCATCCTGGCCTCGAGCGACTGGGTCTGGCGTTGCAAGTCTTCAACCAGGGCATCCATTTGTTTGCGCTCAGACATTATCTGGGCACAGGTATCCTCGGCCTCCTGGGCCTGAGATTTGGCGAATTGCTCTGCTCTGGTAGCCTTCAGAACTGCAATCTCAGCTTGTTCCAATTTGCTGAAATACTCATCGGCACGGGTCTTGTACAAGCTCATACTGGAAGCTAGATCGGCTGACTTCGACGTCTCCGCATCAAGACGAATCTGAAGGTCAGCAAACTCCTGGAGAAGCTGATCTCGGCTAGCAGCATCCTGGTCCCTTGCAACCTGCAGCTCCTGGAACTCGGAACGAGCGTCACGGAGTTCTACTTCCAGCGTAGCCTTAGCTCTCTTAAGCTTTTCGAATTGAGCTTTGGCATCGCTGAACTCTGCAATGGCTTCGTTATGCACCTTGAGCAAAGACCTTCTGGACTGCTCCTGCGAGTTAATCAGGTCGTACAGTTCTTCATGCGACTTGGCTTGGACGTCCCGTAGTGAAAGATCGCCTGACCGAATATTCTTCTCCAGAGCGGAAACCTTCTTTGAGGAGTCATCGAGCTGCTCGTGCAGGCGTCCGTTCTCACGCTCAAGCAGCTGCATGCGTCGCAGAGAAGGGCTTTCTTCCTGCCACATGTCTCGACCAGGTGCCGCTTGAGAAAGCTGGTTCTGGAGATGCTTGTTCTGCATCTCGCTCATTTGAAGCTTGTTCTGGAGCTCCTCAATCTCGGTCGCCAGATCCATCCGCTTTTGGTAGCCGACCGTATCCACGGTCCTGTCGGAACGAGCAGAGTCATTGGCCGTTTCGTTGAAGTTAAGTCTGCGGTTCGGCGTTGTAGGAGTGCCGAACTTCTTTGCCAGAACATTGTCGGAGTTCTTTCTGAGATGGGTTGGGGTCCGGGGGCTAGCCACCTGGTTCTGGTCGATTTCCTCCAGCAAGGCGCGTTTAGATGAGGCGTAACGTGCATCCAGCTCCTTCATCTCATCCCCATGCCGACGGCGCATTTCCGCCAGTTGGGCTTCAGCTCGACTATACTTCTCCTCGGTGACTTGCAATCTACTCTGTGTCGTCTGCAGCAGTTGTGCCAGATCAACCTTCTTAGCCAGACTAGGCTGTACCTTCTCCCAAGATTCCGAGTCATCAGACTCGGGCTCCACTACCTTGTGCAGCAACATTAATTGCCGGTGTAGATCCTCAATCTCCTTGTTTGCCGTATCCAGAGAGCCTTGAAGCTTGCGCGTATTTGCTTGTGCCTGGGTCCGGAGCTGTCTTTCGGTCTCAAGGTTCCTGTTTGCCTCCGCCAACTGAATGTTGGCAGTGGAAGCAGCTTTTTCCGCATTTCTACTGGCCTTATGTTCCCTAGCAACCTCATGATTGAGGTCCTCCAGGCTCAAAGAGAGCTTCTCTTTCTGTTTTTCCAGAGAAGTGATGCTGACTTGGAGGTCGCCAAGCTGACGGCTTATCTTCTTGTTGTCTTCTTCGAGCTTCGTTTTCTCTTTCTGAAGAGCAGTTATGCGCAGGCGCGAGTTGTCGCTGGCCCTAGAAGTCGATCGAGCTATGTCGAGATTCTTTTGCTGGATCTTTGTGAGAAGAGCTCGGTTATCATTCTCCGATGCTGTAAGTCTACCCTTGAGCGTCACCAATTCCCTCTCCAGGCGTTCTTTATGCTGATCATGGCGAATGCGGAAATTATCAGATTCAGCGATAGCGTGGGTCAATTCTTGGATTCGGGTGGAAAGACGTGACCTTTCAGCTTCTACCTCCTCTAGCTGGCGTGTCTTATCGTCCAAATCTTTCCGCACGCTCTCAAGGCGCTCGTTGGCCTGCTTCATGATGTTGCGTTCAATGTCGGCCTCTGCGTTTAATCGTGCATCTTCGACCTTCGTGAAGCGGTCCCGCAGCTGAATCAACTCAGTTTGGAGTTCCTTGCGTGACTGCTCAGCAGCAACGCGGGCTTCAGTGGCACGACGAAGCGTGTCCTGCTGGATGTACATCTCCTTTTCGATGATAATCTTTGATTCATTCAAGGAAGTGTACTTGTCCTTGAGCTCCGCAAGATTATGCTCGGCAAGCATTTGCACATCGTCGCGCGATTGACGCTCCCGGCTCAGATCTGCTTGTGCCTTAAATAGTTGATTCTTCAGTTCCTGGATTTGCTGCTCGAGGAGCTTTCGGCTTTCGCCAGCCTCGGCATCCTCAGAGATCTTTGCCTCCAGGAGCTTCTTGACATCGGCCGCCTCTCGCTCCAGCTGAACCTTCTCTGACTTCATCGCGTCCACCTCGGCTTGCAGTTCTCGCAGGCGTTCCTGCATGCTGCCATGTCGCGTGGTAAGAGAAATCTTCTCCGACTCTAGGTATCGCTTCTCCTCTTCATGCTTCTTAGCATCATTTCGCAGGACAGCCATTTCGCTTTCCTTCCGCCTAAGCATCTCTTCATAGCCTGTGGATGTTGAGGAGAGGTCGGTGATCTGCTGTCTTATTACACGGTTTTCCTCAATGAGCTCTTTGATGTGCTTCTTGGACTGATCTAGGTCTCTCGAGGTCTGGGACAGCTTAACTTCAAGATCTTGATCGGTCTTCAACAGTTTGGTCTCTAGATCTTGCAGTTTGCGCTCCTTCAAGCTGAGGTGACTCTGCAGCATCTTCATCTCCTGGCCCAGGTCCTTAATCCTGGCCTCCTTCTCGACAGAAGAGTTTTCGGCATCGGCAAGCTTCTTCTCGAGTTCCTCCAGACGTGCCTGCATCTCATGCTTTTCGTTCTCAAAGCGCTGGATGATCTCTCCTGCTTGTTCCAGTTGAGTTATCCGGAGCTCAAGCTCGTCATCCGTTCTTTTCTTGGCAGCTATTAGGTCGTCTAGTTGGTCTTCGAGGTTCTCCTGGTCTGCGATAGCACCGGCCAACTTCTCACTAAGTTCAACTTCTCGGACTTGGAGCCTCTTGAATATCTCCTCCTTGTCAAGAGCCAAGGCACGCTCACTCTCCAACGTTTGCTGAATCTTCTGTATCTCAATCTCGGTACGACGCCTCTCTTCCTCTAATTTCTGACGATCAGCTATATCCTGGTTCATCTTCGCTTCCAGGGATTTAATTTTCTCGTCCCGTCTTTTAACTTCATTGGCAGTGCGAGTTTCTCCCAGAAGAGGTCTCATCCTTGAATACAATCTCCACCATGGGTTCGCTTTTAATTGGAGGTAAGTCTTGAAGTTGTCCTGAATGATCCGTGTCGCTTCCGCCCGATACAAGCGTTTGTTGGAAATACGTCGCTGGACAAATCCCCTTGCCACAGATTGGAACCTGGTCATGATGGTGCGAATAAGCTGGTCTCGTTTCTCTTCCAACTCGGCCAGGACACCTGCCCTGAAGAATACCTTCGTACGACCGACTCGATACCAAGCAGGGTCCAGCCCGAGCTTTTGCAACATAACATGAGCGGCATTTCGGCCGTCGAGGTATCCCTTTGGCATGGCAGGGCAGAGAACTTCATAGCGTTGACGGAATTCCGAAAATGACAGCCGATTAGGGAACCCTGTGCGTGCAATTCGGATTCCTTCGAGTACACCGTTGCAACGTAGTTGATCTAGGACCAGGGGTGCATTGAACATCTTCGGGCGTTTTTTGTGGTTTGGTATAATACAGCGCACAAAGTGTGGATGCGTTGAGTTCAGCTGATTCATGAGGCTAGATAGTTGTTCCTTATGTCTCTGCGCAACGGTACGGAAAAGACCCTTCTTCACGCGACTCTTTGGGTAGTCGCTGTCATCATCGGCGTCGCCGCAGTCGGAGAACAGGGTCGCAACATGCTTCTCACCTGATCTGGCAAGGAGTCGCGTTATGTTATCGTTCAGTGGGTCCTTGTTCTTCTCCAGCCAGCCCTCTGTGCCATACTCTACCTCAGCAGCGTAGTGCGTCAGAACGAATCCCTGGCTTAGGCGAGAAGCACGATACTTCGGTGATTTCCGATCCCAGAGGGAGTGCAGCTTTTCAGTAAATGATTTGTCCGTAGCCTTCGGCATAACAGAGTCTTCATCTAGACAAGAAAAGATACCAATAGGGTTAGTCAACTCGATTAGATCGATTGTTGGTTGCAAGTCCTTTCCGAAGTCGATGAATTGCCACTCAATTTGTTCCCGTGCATATTCCTCTTGCTCCAAGACGAACATATGGTGGTTAAAGAACTGTTGCAACTTCTCGTTCGTGTAGTTGATGCACAACTGTTCGAAGCTATTGTTCTTGAAAATTTCGAAACCGGCAATATCGAGGACTCCAATGAAGAAGCTGTCATCGCTAGCGACAGTGCTGCGGTCAAGCTGGTTGTTGATCCTGTCGACAAGATTGCTAAATCCTCGTTCATAGATACCCTTGGCAAGAGCATCTAGCGCTAGTCGCACCTGTTCTGGCGTTTGAACCTTTTCCACCCACTCGCGGCCTGCTTTGACCTTGGGATGCAACAGTCCCTTGACGAATAGGTCAGGTTCTATACCTAGCAAGTGGCAAGCTCTCTCTACACTATTCAAGGAATCGGGACCAAGTGCAGCTTGGTCGGCTCGTAGGCTCTCCTTGACGATAGTGACATTTCCGAGATGAAGGACTGCTGCGATAGTGCGCAAGATACACATCTGGTCTTCTTCAGAGAAGTCCATGACGTGGAAAGCTTCAATCAACATTTTCCATTCGTCCTCATCAGAGACCCCGGCAATGGTATCGTTGCCATCACGAGTGTAGGCGAAATCTTCAATCTGCAAATCGGACAAAAGGAGAGCTTCCCTAAGCTTCCGATCTGCTCCCCGTAATAACTGGTAGAAGATATGGTAGTTTCTCTCATGGGAATTGGGTTTCACAACACGAGACTTCTCCAGTAGATACCAATCGATCGAAGCACCCGATATTTGGCCGGCCCGGGTGAACTCGATACGGATGAACTTGCCAAAGCGAGAAGAGTTGTTGTTCCTGACGGTCTGGGCATTTCCAAACGCCTCCAGAATGGGATTTGCTCTCAGGATCTGTTGCGACAGGGCGGACAACTGCTTTGTCCCAGATCGAGCGTAAGGAGTATCGGTTGTTGCAACAGCTGCAAGGTATTGTATAACCTTCTTGGTGTTCTCGGTTTTACCTGCACCCGACTCTCCTCTTCACGGTTGCATTAGTGTCTTGGGTTTGTGGCCAGCCTTTCAGTAGACTTACGTCACGAGAATGCTCTGATTCTCTCCTTCTTCGACCAGGTTTCGAAAAGCCTCATCAGCCATAGCAAAGATGTGGGGACGGCTTTCTTCTCTGTTACGACCCTTGTACATCTTCACATACTCGTTTGTGTAGATTGGCAACGGGCAATATGGGTTCACAGTAACGAGGAAGAGTCCCGAGTAAGTCTGTGTGCGACAAGAATTAGCTCTGAAAACTATCATTTCGTCAGCATATCAGTATAACTCACGTAAATAAGATCGGCTTGATATCGTGTGTGCAGGTTGTGAACCACTGAGGCTTCATTCAGATGTGTGAGTTCAGCCATATCATCTGCTTTATCAAACTTTGCCGGATTCACTTTGTCGACCTGGTCAGCGTCGACCTCCCTTTGCTGTGTTTATCCGTAAGCTCCTCTAGCTCAGACTTCGGTGCCATTGGGTGATTATACCTCTCCATTGTCGGTCTGGACTAGCATTCGGCCACCTTCTTGCTCTTCGAGAACTAGCCCACGCACGAATGCTTTTTCGGGATCGCGCAGCCAGACATACTTGTTGCCGGAGAAGTCATTGTCGCCCTCTTGTCCTCGGATCTGATCCGCACCCCTGCGTAGCTCCTCCGACTTGATGAATCCGGGCGCAAAGGTTCCGGATGAAACATCATTCCTTATTGAGCTCGATCTCGGGCGATGCGTTGTCCGTGCCACCAACGGAGCTGGTGACTGTGAGATGGAAGCAGAGTTTCGAAAATGGCCCCGGGCCTCTTCGAATTTACTGGTGGATGTAACAACGGCCGACTTGGGGCGAATACCTCTTGTCTGCTGAGTCGGGGAGGGAGTCGGTGACGGCGATGCGCGGCTGAAAGGATTGGCCCGCTTAGGGGAGCCATTTAACTGTGATGGAAGCATATCTTCGTTAAGGTCAATGAATCATTATTCAGTGAGAAGGTCGTAATCATAACAAAGATCTATGAGAGTAATGGAGACTCAAGCAATGAGCCCTCGGATGATGTTGCAACGAAGCATCCAGGCCAACTGAAGTGGCCAGGGAAAGAGTAACGATTCAAAGACAAGGGAAGAAGAAGGTAAGGAAAGGTTGGGCAGGTGTATATTAAATGAAGCTGCAGCATACCAAGCAGCGGGAGGTGCAGAATGACAGTCACCCACTGACCATCTGCTCCCTCTGGGGCCCCTTCGGGTTCCGCTGTTTGTTTACATCCGCCGTTCCTCAGGCTGCGGGCGCCGATCATGCGCTAGGCCGGATCGGTCGTGCACCCGTCACGTGGAGACCCGCGGCACGAAACTCGATCTTTTCCGGGTTGGTCGGTCGTTTCCCCGTTTTGCTTGTCGCTTCACGTTCTTGTGCTCCGTTCCTCCAAATCTCCAGCTCATCTCACCTTCCTCACGTCGCGTTCGCATCTTCGCTCTCCGTTGCCATCTGCTCGGCAGGTGCAGAGCTGCCTCATCCACATATATTCACCAACGCGCCCGACCTCATGTATAGCAGAGTGTTGTGGTTACTGATTCTATCCATTTTGTTCTAGTCTTATGACTTTTGACTTGGTTCCTGCTCATTTTAGCTTGAAACGATGTGGGATGCCTAAGCACTCGCTTTATATGTGACGAGCTAGCGTTTTTTGCTTACTGGACGCAGACATTATACTCACCTTGCAAGCGCGCACGCGGTCGCTCTTCCCCAACCATGTCTAATTATCCACCGACACCGTCATTTGTGGGACCAAATTATACACCTCAGTGGCCTCCATCAGATCCGTCTTCCTCGACCGCCATGCCATCCTTGTTTCCTCCTAATCTAGGCTTTGGCCAAAATCCTTCGCCCGTCCCTCAACACGCGCAGGATGGTGCTACCCGTCCGTTTGATTATAATACCGACACCTACAACGCAAACACACGTCTACCGGGATTAGGGGTCCCGAGCGCCGCTGGTCCCTTAGTACCGCCGCCTCCATTCACTTTCATGCCGCCTTTTCCTTCCACTCAGTTCCCTCACCCTCCCTTTCCACCACTACAGATGCCACCGTTACGATACCCCTCGATTCCTGTACCACCGGTTCACGGTTATGAACCGGTTCGTCATGCAACTAGCGACTACCAGATGAATAATTCCATCCCTACTCCGCCGGGTCCTCAGCCTGCCGCTGCTGCCAACTCGGAGTCAGACCCAGACCGAGAGGAAGGCGAGCTCACAGATCGTGAAGAATCTTCGTCGACGCAGCCTAGGCCACATAATTTGAACCCGGGACCCGGGTCAGGACATAGCTACGATACTCAGATGGCTCGAGCTATGGACGGTAACAACGATTTCATGGAAAGCGATCGGACAGTGAAGCCAAATGGCACTGGTAGTCATGATTCACATAACTCTCACTTGTTGGCGATGGCCACCGTAGGCTCAGCACCAGGATATTCGGAGATGGATAGAGGCGGGGCTTCACCAGAAACTCGCCTATCGTCCAGAAGCAGTGGGTCACGTATGTTATTCCCGCATTATGCACGGTCCGGTTACTGACTTTCTGCAGCCTATAATCCTGCTCCTCCCATCTCTACTGAGCCACCGGTTTCGGACACCGCACCAGAACCAGAAGTGCCAACTTCGTCAATCCCGCAATATGAAGCGGACCCCGACAAAGGAGTGAGCAGCGCAGCTTCAACTGACCCGCAGTCAATACCCGGCAGCGGTAGGTCATTGGCACAACTTCGCGTCCAGGCACAGGGGGCACTTCTGAGCTTGGCGCCTCACAACATTCGATATGCCGAGTTTGTCGGGGAAGGAATTAACCCGGTTATCCTTCGTCAACTCTATGAAGAAGTTGGAATAAAGATTGCCACTCCGGTACAGGGCGTCTCAACACCTCCGTCCAGTGCAACCTCCTTGGAATCCGACCGTTCGTCGACTAGCCAGTCCGGGGAACCAGAGCAAGGAAGCCACTCAGTTCTCAAGTCAGATGCGGATCAAAGTTCGGCATCGCAATCCAAATCTACCGAATTGCCACCGGATACCACGAAACCCATGGAGCGGAAGGAGGTTATTGCTCGTATGCTTGCTGCAAAGGCTGCAAAGGGTTCCGGGGCGCCTGGACAAGTTCAAGTGCAGGCGACCAAGGAATCTAGTGCGTCCGAAGATTCGGTTCTGCCGAATGCTGACAAGAATGCGGCAATTTCCTCCCAGGACTCGATAAAGGAAAAGGAGACTCGTGTCAAGGAAAAGAACAAGGCTCAGACTGAGTTGGCCCGGCAGCGGATTGAACTGCTCAAGAAACAGGGCTTGATGAGGAACGGTCAAAAATCGCAGTCGAATTCGGTGCCTCCCGAGAAATCCCAACCATCGATTAACTCCGGTACTGAATCATTGTCGACTTCGACCCCGATGCCAATCCAACATCCATTGCCAGAACGCCCTCCTGATCCTGAGCCCAATTCTTCGGCCCGTATACCTGGGCTCTTCATGACGGAGCAAGAGCCGGAGAATGTACAGACTCCTGTTTCCGCTGCTCAGGGTGCTACTGATGCGGTGTCACAAACCCGTGTTAATCAGCGCAAACGTCCTCGAGCATCTGATTTTGACGAACCTGTCCCGATCCCGAAGAAGACCTTCAACAACGGCGGCAGTTATGCCTATCCTGAGGCTCAGAGGCTCGTCATTGATATCAGCGATGATGACGAGTTCTACGGCGATGATGAGCACGACAACATGGATGTGGACCTGCCAGCCGGCAAGGAAATGCAAGATGTGGAGGGCTTGCTTCGTACTTACACACCAACCGTCGATATTCTGCCTCAACGGCCGGCAACTGCATCTAGTCAAGGGTTTTCTGCCTCGGCTACCCCACAGAGCCTGAGGAACAATGATCAGGAGCATCAGGAGCATCTTCGAAGAAAGGACCTGGAGATCAAAGCTATGCACAAGCGAATTGCCGAACTAGAAGAGCGGAAGAAAGCAAAGCTGGCAGCCAGCCGTACACAATCACCTCGCCCATCAGACGTTCCGGAACCTTCACCTCCTACGGACAAACTCTCGCCTACCGACGTCAGCGAAACACCGAAACTCCCTGTAGAAGCTGAGGAGGAGAATAAGTCCCCTGCCAACATTGATCTGACCCAAGTGGAGAGTATCAAGGTCAAATTATTGCGCAAACAGGAAATCGAAGATGGTATTCCTGCGCTAGATGCCGAGATAAATAAGTCCGAGGCGAAGTTGGCTGAGGTCAATGAGGAAGAAGCCAGGCTAGTGTCCGAAATTACCAAAGGGCGTGAAGGCCGGCAGCAGCTCTTGGATGAGTTGAATAACCTCAACGTGGAGCTTAATGGGCTAACCTTCGATGATGTGGAGGCTGCGATACGCCGCGCACAGGAAAAGGAACATAAGGAAGCCAAGGAACATACGCCCGAGCTTGAAGGTATGGCCATCAAGAATACTCGCCAATACATTTTCCCTTGGTAGTTTCGTTTGACAGTATCCAACTGACATGCTTTGTCTATGCTTTTTAGCCGCAGACCAACAAAAAGGTTCCGACATTGAACATGCAATTTCTGATCCCACGCATGCCGGTTTACCCGTCAACAAAGAACCCGAAGATGAGGAGCCGTCCCATCAATCCGTCGTATCTGAAGAAGTTCCCAAACCTGATTCCGGCAACGGGTCTAACATTGTACCTGATGACAAGGTGATGGATGACGTTAGCGAGTCTTCCGGAGAGGTATCCAGTTCTGATTCCACGGGTTCGGCAATGGATGAGTCTAGCGACAGCTCTAGTGATGAGTCTCTTGACGAAGAGGAGCTTCCAGCTCATACACCCGCTCCAGAGACGAACACCCCGTTGGAGTCAGGCGGACCCGCTGAAGATGGACAACCAGAGCCAATTGAGGCAGAGGCAGGCATTCATCATGATCTTCCCGAGCGCCCGCGAACCCTAGATGCGGAGCCACGGGCGGAGCTACCTTCTGAACAGGTTGCCGATGAACAAATCATCGAGGACGAATGCCAAGCCTCCCGTGAATCTTCCGTCTCAGATGCGTACGAGCCTCCTGAGCCAGAAGAGACAGCTAGCCCCGCTGATTCCAGCTACTCCCCACCTTTCAGCCCTGCATCTCCCGATCCTGTTGACTCCCTTGAGGTCTCCACCGCAGATGAGACGAGACAGGCTGACGAGCCACTAACGAGAAAGGTTCAGGAATGGGATAACCAACAACCAAGTGCTTATGCTCAGGTTGGCATTCTGGATGTGCGGTGCACCTCAATTCCGCCTAAGGTGTGATGCTGACAGGATATCTAGAATCCACGGGTACCAGAGCAGTCTGAGCCAAAGTTCTCACCTTACGTTAGTCCGCTGAAGAATTTCAAGGCTTACCGCTACCACCCAAACTTCACTGAAAATGTTTCGGGTGGCTATCGTTCTCTAACATACAGCCACAACATCGACCCTATGAGATATCTCTGTCCATTTGAATCTTCAGGGGGAGTATGCAATGACCGGTCGTGTGAATTCCAACACTTTCGTGATATGACTCTCAGCGGTGCGTCGACAGATCTGAACCATTATTTGCAACATTTTCCCATATGACCTTTGGCCATTGTCTCCCTGGACCTCCTTTTTTCTGTCGTGCCTCCTTTCAGTCTCGCGCCTTCAATCCCCTTCTCGTTAAGCGTCTTGTTCCATGTCTTTTACTCATTTGTTCTTCCCTTCGCTGTGCGGATGCTGACAGCCAGGCTTGTTAACTGCCACAGATGACAAGATCCTCGTCCAGATGGGATCTCTTCGAGAAGGCAAGACACCCGAAGAGAAGGATGAATACATTGCCGGGCTGAAACAAATCATCAACGATATGCGACGCGACAAGGTGAAAGATTTTAACACAGTGGCCACGGAAATAGCCGCATACCGTAGACGCTTTCTCCAAGACCCTTCGCGGGTACTTCCGTTGTAACAACTTGAAGAACTTGACTACTTCACGCTCTTGGAGAGAGCCACTTCTTACTTTTTGACAAGGTGAGCTGCCGGCGTCGAGCACCGGCGAGTGCAGACGACCAGTCCAACTAGCAGCGGCTGCTTCTGGCTCAGTACCAGCAATGGCAGCGATCCCTTCTACATCGCGCCAGCCCTCCTTCCTGACCTGGAGGCTTCCTTTCCCCTCCCTGAACCTCATTGCCTTTCTTAGCGTGGTCCACACTCTTCCTTTCTGATACATGAGATCTGGTATCTCTTTCTGAAACGACACAAGTGGGCATTTTCCCGTTATCTTCATTATCTATTACTACTTGGCGTACAAAAGCGAGCCTGGAGTTGGAGGATCACATATTTCTACCCCTTAGGAAGTGGGCGTAAGCGATTTACCCACACTACGACATCTGGCCTGGCCAGCAAGGCGGGGAGAATTGAGTCTGTGACAGTTTCGATTTTCCCTTTTCCTCTAGCCTGGTCTTCAAGGTATGGGATGAGATTCCTTAACACGGTTATGAGCCCATTGGATGGAATGGGACTGTACAGCAGGGCGTCAGGGCATAGGGAGTACATAGCGATAGCAAATCATAATTATCTTCTACCATGCCTCACTTGCGTGATTTTTTAGAATCCTCAACGATAAGCAGTAAGCTAGACTAGACAAGTAAATGTCGCAAAAGAAAGAGAAAACCGCGCACTTTAACCGCGCATGAGAACTAATATGCCCCGTTGACAGAGCCGCGACTAAGAACACAGACACCAAACAAAACACTAGAACCTCTCAGGCTCGGACAATTGGTACCGCACTGGACCGGGCGTCTAGCGTCTAAACCGGGGCAAAAGCACACCCACCCCAAGGCGGCGAGGCGCAGACCTATGGACCTACTCCTTACTAACCCACAACAGCTAGCATAATTACACTACTAGCTAGATAGATGGATAGATAATAGATAGGAGGATAGTAGTGTAGTTTGTTAAGCCAGTCGAATACTAACTAGTCAGTTAGTAGCAGCTTGCGCCCCGAATTTCTCCGCACCCGTTCATCCCCTAGATACATACCCCCCTGTCTTTCCAAACACATACTCAGCCTACCGTTCATCACAATATTTTCATCAAAGTTCATCAATATTAGAATTAAGTTCAGAAAATATATTAACCGATCATATGATCAACTACGTGAAGGATGAGTCAAAATCGCGCCCATACCTGGTTAAGTTAGTTGGTAAAGTTACTGATGTTGATGTGGCAGTGCTGACGTTCCTTGTTTCTGTTCCCCATGTCACTGGATATAGTACTAGATAGTACTAACTAACTGGTGTTGGTAATGGTTGAATATTATCTAATTGGTACTTACATAGTAGTGATGCATGTATGTAAACTATGTAGTTACTTATGTATGCAAGGTTGAGTCAGTCAGGAGTCTGGCAGTCACCTGAACTGAGTGGAAATATATTGTATGTTGGTTAGTACTACTTACTAGTACTAGTGTGTGTGTGGCTTAAGTGACTTCAAAGTATATGGTTGGTTGGGGAACATTATTCAAGTTCAAAGTTCATGCAAGGTATGGGAGTCATATGTGGTCTTGTGACTCAAATGACTAGTAGTCATAGTCACTGGGTTTTTCTGACTCAGGCAGAGCTGAAGCTGAAGTTGGTTCGTTCGGGGACGGAGAATGGAAGAGGATTATCGGGAACAGTCGGGGAACGGGTGCGGACACGGAGGCGGAGACGGGGACGGGGACGGGTTTCGTCGTTGCTTACCTACTGCATACCTACTGATGATTTATTATGTCGGTCCCGAGGAGATACTTAGTATGCACATAAGATACTGGTTACTAGATAGGTATAGCCTGGTTAGTGATAGTCGATGTAGTGTAGTGTAATAGTTATGCAGGCAAGTGGGCTGGGTTTCAGCGAGTGTGTTTCGGGGTTATGCATAGTTGGTGAGGGGGGAGGGGGATTTGCAGATGGGTTTTCTATTGATAGTAAGTGATATGTTGGTGTCGGGTAGGTACTTTGCAGGCGGGGAGGGTTAGTTATGTTGTATGTATGTGATGCATGCTGGGAATGTTGATTGGTGAGATCATCGTGGAAATAAGTAGACAGCTGCGATAATCTGTTGCGATCGGGTTACTGTACTAGGAAGGGATCGCGACAACCACCATCTGTATTGGGGTAATGCTGCGAGACCGAGAGGGGATGGGAATGGAGAGAGGTGGTTGTTGTTGATGAATATAGAAGGTAAGCAGCCAGGGTAGTTAGTGATGGTGGTGATGCTTATCCTGCATAGTTACGTAGTATTTGTCTAACTACGAAACAACGATTGACCATGTAGATGTAGGTACGGCACAGTCAGTGCTAAGCTTAGTCCCAAGTGACGCAGCAGTACCTTGGAGATGCAGGTAAGGTACAGTCAAAATCCCACAGGAGACAGTGCGGCATGTAAGGTGTAAGGCTGTATGTAACCAGTAATGCGAGTGAAGATGCAAGTACCAAGTACCTACTTACCCATCTGTCAGTCTACTATCTACTAAGTGAGATACATATACACCGGCAGTGTGAGCATGTAGGAAATGCCAGCTGAGACATGCCGCGAAGGATGAAAGCGCGCAAAGTGGGGAGAGAAAGAAAGAGGCCCCCAAGCTACTACTGTACTAAGAAAGTCGGAAGAGTTGAGTTGGAGTGGAGAGGGTGCCACATTCCGTAAGGCTGTGCCATGGAACTACTACTACTAGTCTGGCCAGTAGTGGATAGAAGCAAGCAAATTACTCCTCGAAAATGGGCCTGGCAGCTAGCATGATGATTACTATACTAAGTATCACTCGCGACGCAGTCTAGCCGCCAGTCGGATACTTGCATGGGCCATGATCATGGTCCAGGGATTGGATGCTGCTTACATTACCGGTGGATCATGGATTCTGGGTAGTGCTGACGGGAGTGCCTTGTTGCAAGCCATGGAACGTGGTGGTCAGGATATGTGGTTGCTTGGCGGGGTAGCGTGGGCTTGGCCGGGCGGGTAGAGAGGATGATGATGATGATGATGATTTATTTTTATATACTTTCTCGAGTCGGGGAAACGAAGACGGAAGGATTATTCAGCCTTGAGAAGGATGTGAGGATTTTACACTATGTGGAGTGTGAATTTAGGTTCGATGGGGGGTGATACGGAGAATTTAGAAGCATGACTGCCATGCTATGCTTTTGCTTGCTTCTAGAGTTAAGAATAGATCTCGAGTCCGACGCTCGGTCGTAGTGAAAGCGTGTTAGATTACCGGAATGGGACATTTGAGGTTGTACAGAACGGCGGAGCAAGAGAGACAGAGAACAAAGACATTTGAGACAACTTTAAAAATAACCCTCGAGGAAAAGCAAAAACCAAAAACAAAAGCAGGTCAGTGTTCAGACGTGATCCTAGTCATCGTCGAGGAAAGAGAAAGGAACGTTAAGCGTAATCCCTACCATGTCTCATCATGCCATGTGGCCGCTGGCATTACGGGGGGCCGGGCTCTGGCGGCCGTTTCACCCATCGCGGTCGCATCGTTGGCTGGCAAAGTCTAGGATCAACGGCTATGGATGGGTGGCCCCAGTTTCAACAGCTGCCAGGGAGCTGAACGGCGGGGTTGATTGATCGCGAGACCACCAATAAGCAACTCATTCTGACTGAGGTACAGGACTTAGTTGGCAGTGGTCGGCAGGTGTCAAGGCACTATCATGACATTTCGAATCCTGCCGAGAAGGTGTCGAGCTGAAAAAGGATCGGAGTCACTTTCCTGTCCGGCGGTAGCAAAGCAGGGTGACCGCGCGACGGAACGAACACACGGACGCCATGACGAGCTCTACTAGGGGAGAGAAGCGGCACTTGCACTGCCCTTTCTAGAGAGAATCAGCAAAGTGTCCCTGGCACCCGTATCTCCCACACGCCAATTGGCGCAGTCAAAGTGTCATCCACCGAGCTGAGCGGCCCGAGTCTCGAAAATGGAGACACCCATCATTCTGGCACTGGCAGGTACGTACCAAGACCGACCGCCAGTTCCACCGCCATCATAGGGTTCAGTGCATACAGATTCCCAGTGAAAGGGCGGTGGATTCCAGCGCCGACGCCAGGTGTGGCTGCATGATCTGCATGGCATTGGCTGACACGGTTCAATGATCCTCCGTGATTCCCCCAGCCAGTCAGTGCAGGCCCATGGACAACCAAGACTTTTGCGGCTCGGAGGGAAATGGGCCAGCCGTAGTCTGTATGGCTGTGTGAGGGTGGATATGGAGATTTTGTGGTGGTGCGAATGCGGCGCAATACGGGGTTCGTCCATCAACACGTGTAGTTGACAGTCCGTGTTCCCCTTTTTTTACCATTTTTCAATTTTTGGCCCGCTATAGTGTGGCTATTATTGCATCCCGAGACGCCGTACACTTGGGATATTCGAGAAGACGACCACTTTGATCTCGAGTACGAGATTTGGTCAGTCTGCGGACGGGGTTTTTGTCGCTTATGCCGTCATTCACGATCGGCCCCCGTAGGTTTGTTGTTCCTTTTCTGTTTTACTCCATTCTTTATTTGCTTTTACTGCATCGATGCCGAGTGGTGATTACGAGAGGATCTTCGTCAACCTGGTTCCAAAGGAGTAGTAAACATTGCTTATACATTGATGCACTCAAAACCGAAATCTAGTCTAACAGGGGGGTGAAACAAGAGATCGCATAATAGAAACCATAGAACAATAGTGGAAATTGATCGCGCGGGAAGAAAAAAAGAGCACCATAGTCTATCCATCCAGAAAAATGTCCCCCACGACCCACAAAACTCCAAGGCTTTCTTCGCGGCTGCCACCGAGCGAGTCCGGCTCGCTCAGGCGTGCAGCCGCCCCAACTCTAAGTCGTATCTTTAGTACAGTCATCCATGTAATAAAAAACCCGAAACCAATAACAGAACTAAACTCGACACTTGAGAATTTCAACCAAGATAATGCAATCGCTCATGCAAAAGAAAATCACCAAATAAAAGAAAGGAAATCAATAGCAGAAAGCAAATAGAGTAAAGAAAAAGGAAAGAAAAGAAAACCAAGACTCCTGGTCATGTCTGTTCCATGTTCATGCCGCTCATAACGATAACGCTCAGATAAAGTACCCGCAATCGATGGATTAGGTGGTCGTAGATCAAACAATGCGTTGACATCTGTAAAAGTCAAGTATTAGTCGTACGCTCCAACCAAACCGACTTTTGTGTTGGTCCTTACCAATTCATGTCACCATTCTCATGCTTTATTTCGCCGGCTTGCAGTATCCGCAAATGTTATGTTGGCAGATCACACATCTCGGCTGGTTGTCCCACAGCTTTGGTCCATCTCCACACTGGCAGCAGAAGTATAGGCTGCCATGGTTGACCGTACCCCGGGAGTCCTGGCTGTTGATCCCAGGCATGCCATGTTGCAATGCGTGGCTGTGGTGTAAGGAAGCACGGAGGATGGACTTGTTACATCCCAGCATGGACGGCATCTTTGCGACAAGGTTCCCCGACAGTTCACAGTTTTGGGGAGCTGGAGCGTGTGCGTAAGGCGACAACTCGTGACAGTGGTGCGAAACAGTGTCCTGAGTATCAATGTGGCAGTTCGAGCAGCGTGGTTGATCGCACTGAAGGCAGGTGTCGTCAAGGCCTAGCCGGTGAGGTCCAGAGGAGCAATCGCAGCAGTACCAGACTCCAGACATGATGGTAGATGATGTTTTAGAAGTAGCTATAAAAGGTGTAGAAGGTATGTTGGGAAGCTATGAAGAAGCAAGCTAGAAGGCAGAGACAATGGATTGAATCCGAAGCTGTTTATGTGGATGTGTTTGTAGTAGTAGATGAGAGTGAGTGAATCCATATCGAAGGCTGGGGTTTGAAGGTTATTTAAAACCTCAAGAGAGGTAAGAGAGAAGCACAGAGACGAGACGTTGTCACTAGCGATGATTCAGAGCCAGGCTCCAAGGCGCCCTCGCCATGGTTGTGGCTGATCTCACGAAAAGGCGCCCTCCTGGCCTTCATCTCAGTCATCAAGCAGGTGCAATGCCTGATCAACGTCGGGGCCATTCAGGTTAGGGTCGATCGACCAAAGTGGCTTGGCAACCCCATTTTCTTTTTGGGACCCCGAACTACTCGTACCTGAGCAATCAGCAGTCCCAGACTGGGTTGAATCATATTGGACTTGTCTCACTAACAGACATCGTAAGATATGCTGTCCGAATGTTGACTCAAAACATTCTAGGGTCCACCGGATACCTTCGCGAAAGGCGGAATCCGCGAGGCTTGGAGGCTCTCGCTTTTTGCCCGGGAGCGCGCGCCCACTCCGCCCATGCCCTTTTCCTGCTCTCTCTATGGCTTAATTCCTCTTTTCCTAGGAAATTGGATTATTATTCCCCAAAGAATATTGCTATTTTTTTTTTTTTTTTTTGCTTGCTTATTTCCCTCTTTCCCTTTTCTCTCCCCTCCCCCTTCATTGCTTCTGGATTCGCGGAGTATGACACTGGCACTGCGGGACCTGGGCACTTCCATTCTACGCTAGACTACAGTATGTTGCCTGGTTGCGGCCTTGAAGGGGGCTCCACTTTAGTTAACAGCGCGCGCAAATACAATTCAGGCAACATCGTGCCCTGTGCCTCGAAATTTTAGATGCCGCAGTTCGAGACTCTGACTGTGACTCCGATGTTGACCGTTCATTTCCCCTAGTTGATGGGGCACCGATAAGCCTATTCGTGATGCTTCCGTCGGTCAAGCGTTCGCGACTCCTGCTGCTCCAAGTAAGCAGGCACCCATACTAGTTCTGCCTAAGCCATCCAAGCCCTTCGATCACCTGGGCACATGCCCTGCCAAAATGACGTCTTGCTCACTTTGAACGATGACTGGGTGCATTACAAACCTCATGTTTAGGTTTGTCATCGTTTGTACTCTTGTTCTCTTTTGCACTTTGCTCTTCCTGCTTGATCTTTGACTTTCTTCCTTCCGCTGTTTTTCTTTCCTGTACCGCCCTCGTTTTCCCCGACTTAGTGCTTCCCCGTGCCTATTTTCGGCTTCTCCGATCTCCCGCATGAGGCTCCATGTCATGTGTAGCCAAGACGGCCGACGCTGACTCCCTTCGGCTCCATCTCCAAACCACTAACGAACATCACCCATCACTAGCAACCGGCACTAATGTACTAACGTGTCCGTGTCTGTTCAGAGCTGAATCTCGCTACGAACTAATGGGGGCCTTATCCTGAGGTTCAGCTCTACATGGTGCACCACCTACGGCATTGTCCGTAATAACGGCACAGCAATGGTGCAGCAACTGCGGGGAAGCTTGTCATGGCCAGTTCTAGCTCTCCATGACATATCCGACTAACGATCCTGCCACAGCCATGTACCCTTTTGACGTTTCAACGGGGCCGTTATTCCCGATGATCATCACTCTCCTCAGCTGTAGATGTCAAACTAATTCGTGATCTCACTGTGCATCGGACCATCCTGGCGAAGTCTGGAAGCCTTCACAACAACGGCGCGCCGCATTGCAGGATATCACACGCTCTGAAACAAACTGGAAACCGTCCCGCAGGTCAATCCATACACGTGTCGATATCTACATCGATGTCAGCGGACAAGACCGTCCCGATCAAGCAGGTTCGGCACGTATTGACAAGAATTAGCAGGTTTAAGGTTTAACTCCAGGTAGAAAAATTGTCAGTGACGTGAAAATACCTCAAAGCAGCACAAGACGGGCCGGCTATGAGTCAATCTGGCTGCTAAACATGGCTGCCTTCTGAATGGAATTATCTTGATGAAGACTGTCCCACATTCTCTCGTAGGCATCACATTGGATGGTATGGGGACATCGCGAACGTAGATAGCCCACCCCTTATCGGCACGTGATCTTGCACATGACATCATGACGGAGGTTTGCCCTGTTTGCACATGGTGCCTGTCACGTTCCTGGAAGCCTAACACTGCCAATGCAACCTCTTGCCAACTTCGACTCTGTCCCCCATCGTCGCATATCGCTTCACACGGGCTTGCTTGTCTCGCCATTATCTCGCTCCGTGGAAACTGTATATACTATATGTTAATATGGATACATATGCGGGTTGACTTTCCTGAAACTGGCTAGCTGACTGTTCTCCGATGCGGAGGCGTTTGTAAGCCTTCCACGTTCTGTTTCAAATGGCGCGCCCAGATAGGCGCGTTAATTTAGCGGTTGCCAGGACTATTCCGCCATTTCTATTGTGCGTATGTGTATATGCATGCTATATTGTCACCAAGCCGTTATGCAGTATGTGCCCCCTGAGCCAATGGCTTACATCCGCCGCTAATTGTCCGAATCAGTTGACTACTTGATCCGCCCTCTCCCTAAATATTCCCGAGGCAGTCGAGTTGGCGCTGGCATAGCCATTCTCGTTATCTTCTACGTACTCATCTTCGTCGTTATAATAACATATCTCCGGCTGTTGTATAATATCACCCGCAACCCCGGCTTCCTCCCCCGATCGTCCCCGCCGACGAAGGAACAGCAAGAAACGGAACCGTCGGAACGCCCTCAACGAAGGAAGAGAAAGCACCGGAGGACAAGAACTGCTGAGAAGCCAGATAAGGCGGATATAGACATCGAAAGAGGTGCAGACGGCAACGCTGACAGTGGTGCAATTCCTTTGGATATTACCGGGTTGGAAAGTTTTTATACAAAAGATGTTTTTGTTTGCCAAGAGGATGGGAGACCACTTTATTGCTCGACATGTTGTCGCTACAAGCCGGATAGAGCACATCACTGTCGAGAGGTAGACAGATGTGTGCTTAAGATGGACCACTTTTGTCCTTGGTGAGTTTAATTTCCCAATAGTACTGTACCGGCCTGTGATTAACACTCGATCAGGGTAGGAGGCGTGGTTTCCGAAACATCGTTCAAATTCTTCATACAATTCGTGTTTTATACTCTGATATTCTGCGTATTCAGTCTGATAATATGCGCAACCTTTACGGCAGAGATCATCCAAGATGTGAGAACGAGTCTTCAAATTCTCTATTATGCAACTAACCGTTATCTTTCGCATAGACTGGCGGAGCAAACGTTCACCTTGCCATTGGTATTGGACTGTATGTATCTCAACGTATCATTTAGATTCCCCGGTCGCCTTCTAACTATCAGTAGGAGCTCCCTATTCGGGCTTTTCTCCTTCGGAATGACTATCAGTTCCTTACAGCTCGCGATGTGGAATCTGTCCACAATTGAAAATCTGAACCGTCGGTCTGCAGTCTGGACTCTGGCTATACGCGTGCCAGATCGTATGCTGGCAAGGCTCAACCCCGAGTCACGATGGGCACCCACCTTCCGCACCATAACGTACCCACTGCCACCTGTGCCTCTATCTCCTGAGGCAGCAAGAGATTACCAGCCACCAGAGAAGCAGCATGTCTTTGCCATTCTCCAAACCCTACCTGGCGAAAATCCTTTCGACCTCGGCAGCCCCTTCAAGAATCTCCAACAGGTCCTGGGTTATTCCATCATCGACTGGTTTCTGCCACTCAGACAAAGCCCATGTGCAGATCGCACTACAGGGGACAGCTTCTACGAACTAGGACCGGTAGTGTCCCGCCTGAAAAAGGAGGCCGGACTAAACCCTCCACCCGAACCCCAACCCACTACACAGAATGACACCGAAAGAAAACACAAGCGAAGACGAAGTTCACATAGACAATCGCAAGAGTGACAAATTGGTTAACCCATAGATTTCATCGTTTATTCCATCATATACTAGCGCCCGCATTGACCTTCCCAACCACCCATCCCAGTTTTCCTTATTGCCCTTTATTTTTGTATTTTCTTGAATACCACCAGTCCTTTTGGCTCTCCCGACTGGTGACATTCTCCTTTTGCATACATAAATAGCTTGGGCTCTATTCTATCCATACATAACTAATACAGACTGATACTATCTCACAACAACAATTACCGGTACATGGATAAATAGACAGATAGTTGATAGGAAAGGAATGCAGTGGTATATTCCGATTAGCCCGGAGAATACACCCGCACGTGGCAATAGCCTCACAATTTTCCGTGGCGTAGATTTAACCCCTCCCCGTCTATAGTAGTATCCAGGGATCAAGTTCCTTTAAGTTCCGAAAATCATATGCTATACCCGAACTTTATCTGCACTTCAATCTTGTGATCGCTTTCAGACAGTAGTAGAATAAACAATATTTTATCTCAGGTTGTTATCATAGTATTGACCGTCTTGGCGATTTCCTGGGATGGATCAAATCAAATCCAAGTGACTACATGGGAAGTCCTATAAGGAAGAAGAAGAAGAAGAAGAAGAAAAGCATACTTTAGGAACTAAAGGAAGAGATCGGGGCGATTACTCTAGAGTAGTAACTACTAGTATTTAGTGGTACTGTATGGAGGACACGGGTTTGTTGGGGGTGGAACTCCCGACTAGTTCCGTTATATATATAACTACTTTACTAACTTACTGCCACAGCGAAAACCAGTCGTTAGAGGAATCATTTCGACCCAACTATTGGAGTCACTATTACCACAACTACTAAATGTTTAGTCACAAATTGATTCACATCATGCATAGTAGATTTGTGCAAGATGTAATACGATTGTTGTGAATGATCTGCAAGAATCTATACATGTGCTGCCTAAATCCGTCTCGAGTCGGCAGGCAGATAGGCAGGCAGGCAGCAATGAGGAGGCCTAAACACCACCCACTACAAAGTATAGTTAAGCGTGAACATCAGAACCGAAACCTTAACCTTCCTAAAGTACACGTAGTAAAATGACAAAGCTAGTGTACAGAAACCCGAAATCTATCTAATATACAGGTAACCAGTTGACAAAAACAAGAAGCAAAACCTAAACATGCCCAGACCATCTATCATACATTGTCGAGGATCATCACGCGCAAGGGATATCGAAACTGAGGGTATTCATGATCGTACAAATCGTAAAGGCTGACATATCCATGAGAGTCGTGACTCGTGCGATTAAGGATACACATAGACAGAGGATGGGTCGATGTATCTCAAGCAGCACTGCAGGAAGTGCAACGGGTGTGGGAGTTGCAGCTGGTGCAACGGCCAGAGCTCAGCGACGGGTTGTTCATGTTTTTGCAGTTGCAGCATACCCACCAGCCGGCCATAGAGGGTCTAACGGCTGCGTGGACTATGGTGGTGTTGGCGTTCTGGACTTGGTTGGTCATGGTTGCAAGACTGGGGAACGGTAATGAGATCTTGGGACTGTGGTTGGGAAGGACCGGAGATAGGACCAGCTTGGGGCAAGACAACTAGCCAAGCACAGGAGAAATTGAGAGTGGAGAGGGTCTGTGGAGTGGTTCAAGGGCCCTGAGGTTGTATATAACGGTCCAAGGAAAGCGAGGTGAGTGGAGAAACACTTGAGTTCTTGTTGATAGTCTGAGATTGACTGTGCGATCGAGGACAATGAGATGGAAAGAAATAGTTGAACAGAGACATCGATTACGATGCTTATATGTAGAATCAATTGTAACAACAGATGCGCGAGTTCATGTAACCTTGACAGTCGATGAGTTGTCCAGGCACTGCGGGCGATATACCTGGGCAGACAGTCCCTGCAATTGAGGTGCCCCGGCCTGCATACATCAAAGACGAAGCCAGCAATGTAAAGCTTTTCCGATAAGATAGATGGCATGCGCGGACTCCGAATGGGTCACCTCGTGGTCAGGGACCCAAAGGGTTGGAACGGCCCAGGCACCTGCAGGCAGAATCCTATAGGCATTGCTCCATTGATGCAAGCAGATGGCCCGTTCCCTGGTGCGCTGAGCAACGTCTGTCCCGTGAAAATGGGGCCCAGGGCTGTGCGTGACTAGTAGACGCCTTATCCCAATGCTGCCCCGAAGGATTGAGTTCAGGTATGCGGGCAACAAGTTTCCAGGGCACACTAGGTGGCTTAGCTGGGTCGTGGCTGGTTGCTCCAATAAGAGTGCGTCAGATTCGACGTTCCCAGATGATGACACCTGAAACAGAGGGCCTAGTGAGAAAGAGTCATGAGCAAGTATCCACAATAGATTTGAAGTCGAACGAAGGAAGTGTGTGGCTGGCTACGAGGAGAGAGTAGACCTACGAAGGCGTAGATGTCAGAGTACTATAATCTCGTCAACCCCCAACCCGAAGACGAGCGCAATGAGAAACTCAAGACGACAGACTGCCTAAGGAGGTGTGTGTTACTATGACCTTCACACCACACCCGAAGTGTTTTAGTTCGTTCCCTGGCAGCGTGCTTGAGAGCGCCTGGAGAGGAATTTGCTTCCCCGTCCATTGCAGGATATTGCCAGGGTGCTGAAGGGGCCCGAAACAAATCGCGCACTCCCTTCGCTTGTCCGGTGAAGCAAGTCAAGTAGCACTGGGGTGGATAACAACCGCCGCAAGGACCTTCAACCGACCAGAGCACGCCCGTCCCATTGTTTCAAGGGGGCTAATTTATGCCCGAGGTTATCTGCATCCCTTGGCTTGCAAGAAGCGGGAGACGGGGTGCTAGTTATGGCTCAAAAAGAGGACGAAAATGATCTAACCACCCCGGGAGGGCACAGTGTAGGCAACTTCGGCGGCTGATCAAGGTTGAAGCCGCCCGAGACGTTACGTGGCTCCCAGCGGCGGAACTGGCAGACGCCATTCTCGCAAGGCAGATGTGTGCCGGACTTCCGTCGATAACTTCATGGAAGGCTAGCAGCGCCCATTGGATCGACAGACAGTGATGGTTGAACCATTCTTCTAGAAATTCCGCCCGACTCCACCGGGATGGCCATTCAGAGCCCTTAATCTTACTCGGGCTGGCAGTGGGCTCCATACTGGGGCCACCGAAAGAGTGCCGAATGCCTCAGACTCGTCCGGGATGACATCATCCGCTCCTAGCTTGGCGAGGCGTAACTGAAGAAGGTGGATACGAGGCCACGGATGATTTGCCCGGGCACCCGGGTGGGTGGAGGGCAGCGGTGCTGGAGCGCCTGAGATGGAGCAGGAAAGTCATACAATATCGGCTGTTGAGACCGGACTAATAAAATGGTCTTCAGACTAAGGATATTAGTACACACGGTAAGTAAAGTAATCCGTGAAGAGGGTCTGTGTCTTTACACCACAGACGGAAGATGGCAGAGGGAGGTAGGCAGAGAGTGGGACTGACACAATACTGTAACTGGCGTCATTCTCAGCTGGGGATCACCGACAATGCTTGAAGGGGGTTGACAAAAAGGGCAAGAAAGTCAGAGCCCGTGATACCTATCGACGCCCAGTCTCCAAGCGGGAGACAAAGAAAAGCGAGATCATGATGGACATGATGGGATATGAAATGGGGATGGAAGAGATGCTCCAACCCCAATTAGTCCAATTAGTCAATCAAGGCGGGCTGCTGAGATAAGCCGGTGCGGCTCCCACCCGAAAACCAGCGATTGCGAATCCGTGGTTGGCCAACTGCCATTTCCACAGTTCTGACTAGTACCGAGTAGTATTACTGCATCTACTTACTTTCCTTCCTATTCTCTTCCACACTTCTTTCCTGGACTTACTTACACTACAAACAGACAGTGTTGTATATCAGACAATAATAATTTTGGAGTCCACTGCTCCGGACAAGTACTACTAGTGCTACGAGTGGAGAAATTCATCCTTCCATCGACATTCGTCCGTGTTTCGGAACAATAGTACTGCTTGGAATCCGTGTGCTTCGGATTGGTTTCTGGTGCTTTTTTCTTTTCTCCCCCCTCCGCGCGCATCTTGCGTCACACGTCCTCCGCCTCAGATTCTCGAAGATCGCTTCATCTTCATCTCTTCATCTTCACATCAATCTATCTTCCCCTTCTTCCTCCCCGCACCGAGTGGAATCTCCGGCACTTGCTTTGATCCTTTCATTCTACTCCCTTCTCCTGAATTCCACTGTCCACTGTTTGGTTCCATCAATCAGTGAGCGCCATCCCCTTCAAATATCGCCCTCTATTCCCCCCCTCCGGTTGGTCTGTCCTTTCGGGCATCGGCCTGTCAATCGCTGTCAAATTCCTCCCTTCCGTTTGTTTTTCTTTCTTTCCTTTTTTCTTTTCTGCATCTTTGCCCCTCCCCCTTGCTTATCACGGGGTCATTTTGCCCCTCTGGCATTATTCTTCTTTATCATCTACTGCTCGTCTCGTCGGGTGCCTGAACGGCTTTACACCCAACCAACCCCCACAGACTTTTTATCCTCTCAAAAAGTCCGTCTGTTCATCCACTTCTCTTATCCAAGTCCTCTTTTACTTTTCTTTTCCACCCTCACTGCAAGTTCGGCCTTGGAACCTCCTGCGGAGCTTCTGTTGAACGACTTGCGCTATTCCAACCCCACACTTCCTCGGTCGGAAATAGCGTTTCGCAGCCCATTGTTAATCTGAAGTAGCTGCAAGGGTTCAGGATGGGTCCCGCTGCGCGTTACCGACCCATGTCTCCCAGCGGATCGCGTATGATCGATCCTATGCGGGCCTCCACCGGCACCGTGCAGCTCAGTGCTTCCTACGATCCTTACCACTCTGCCGGCCGTCCGCCATACCCGGGTTACCATGCCGATGTCAACTACGCTTCTTCCTACGAACCTCGCCTGGTGCGAGAACCCCGACTGGAAGCACAACCCATCTCTTCCACAACATACCGAGACCCCGGCCATTCGACCAAGTTGAGGACCGAGTACGCCATCCGACCGCGAGTGCGGAGTAGCACCATGTCTGCGGTGGATCCTCGCTATTCCTCCGGTCGGTATGACACACCTGCATCGCCCTTGTCCCGGGCCTCCCCCGTCATTGTCACCGGTCACCAGCGAACCCCTAGCCCGCGTCGAGACCATGACCGTTACGTTGTACCGGCCTCCTCGCCCCGACACCACCGGCCGCATCATCTCTCCCACATTGATTATGCCAGCGATACTGGGCACTTGGACCCACATGAGGGAGCAAGGCAACGAGTGCCTCATGGTGGATATCCGGTGTACGAGCATAGCCCTCGTTTGCGGTATCCCCCCACTGGCGGTCTCCGGAAAGGCGAGGATATCGACGACTATGATGCTTATTCTTATACCAATGCATCGGAGCAGATGGAAAAAGACTCAATTGCCAGGCTGCGCTACGAGCGAGGAGCTTATCCAAGGAATCGACCACTTAGTCTGACTGGCCTTGATGACCCTCACTTGCTGCCTCGCAAGGAGTCACGAGCTGTCGGGCCTCCTCCGTCTCAGAGAGGCTTTGACAAATTGGACCAAGGCGGCCGTGTGCGGCGTTCCACACACGGCTCCGCTGACAGTGATGTAGATCTGTCGAGTGCCCGGCGGCGGTCCTGGCAGAGGACCCCCGTATCCTTGCACCAAGATGTCGATGAAGGTTACTCTTCTTATAGGGATGAGTACGACCATGGTCCCCATCGCCGACACCGGCGACATGATGACGATGCGAGTAGCCGGCACTCCTATGACGATCGTGCCTCAAGGCGAGCTTCTGCTAAGAGCGCTGCCGCAGCTTCGGGGTCGAGCACCGGCCTAGGAACCGCAGTGCTCGCGAGTGGTTACTCGGACGACTTTGACTATGATCTCTCACCCCGGCCCGACCGTCATCGCTCCCGGGACCGGAGCGCTCGGGATCTGGAGTATAGAAGGCATCACAGTCGATCGCGCAGACCTTCTAGGCGTCGCTCAGGAAGCGAGTCTGATGAGCATACCTCGGATGAAGACCTGAAGAAATACCGGCGCGAGCCATCGGCGCATAGGAAGCCTGATGGCTCGGATGTGTCAGCCAGTGGCAGCGAGCGACCGTCTCATTATTTGACAGTCGATCGCGCCCATCGCCGGCGGTCTCACTCTCGTCACCGCAGCGAAGATTTGCCGCGTCACAAAGAAGCAGATGTCGGCCGCCCAGACGAGCTTCAGAAGTCTGAGCAGGCCACGTCGAGAGATCAGGACCCACCTGCGCCCAAAGGAATCCTGAAGCGTCCCCGTGAGAAGTTCCCGGAGGAGCCCAATCCCGTACGAGAAGGCGTGGCTCCATTGAAAGATGCGCACAAGAAGGGCATCCCTCCTGGGGCCCGGTGGACGAAGATTGACCGACGGCTTGTGAACCCTGCTGCCTTGGAGCTTGGCCGAGAGCGGTATGAGGAGCGAGCGGAGTATGTGATCGTGTTGCGAGTCTTGACCAAGGAGGAAATCCAAGCGTATGCGGTCAAGACGCAGGAAATTCGAGGTAAGTCCCCAGAGCTTCATGGATCACAATGCGTACTAAACAGGTGTGTAGATGCTCGCCGACAAGAGGTCATGAAGGAGCGCCGTCGACGTCGGGAGGAGGACCGTCGCCACGGGCGTAGAGTGGACAGTTCCTCGAGTGATGATGAAGACGAGGATGACGAGGCTGCGACTCCTCTTGCCATCGAGGGTGCGCCTGACACGAAATCGGGGTCCAAGACCTCTACTGAACCCGTTAAAGCAGCAGTATGATCATGTTCTGTCTGTGCATCTTTTTGTTACTATGTTGTTTTTGTTTATTTGGTCATTTCCTCAGTTGCAATACCTCTATTGTTCACGTGATTACATGCTGGTCCAGATCACGAGCCGGGAGGAATAGAGAATGAGTGTACAACAGCGGACCGGCGTTGCTCGGGATTGAAGGAACAGGAATGTATGGTTTATGGCAGTGCCTATTAGACGCAATGACCTGGATGCACGCGCAACCAAACAAGTCAAGCAATTACAATTGGAAGCGTTTGAATTTCAACTGGTTCTACGGCATGTGGTGTACACAATACGGAGTAAGTAGTAAATAGGAAGTAGTATGTGTGCCACTTCATCCACCTTAGAAAGGGAGACAAACCAGAAAAAAGGAAGCAGAAAAGGTAACTCTCTCACATCACTAGCGCGAGATGTCAGTGCAGTGGCAATGCGCGACTTCCCAAAACAGAGAAAGAAAAGAAAATAGCAGACCAAACTATCCTGAGTAGTTAAAGAGCACCCCAAACGGTCTTCTGACTCCGTCCAAGCCCTGGTTACACTTCGTCCTACCTGAGCCTCTTTCCTCAGTGGTTGATCCAAGTTTTCTGCGCGTGTTCAAGGAAAACTACTTACTTACAGCCTAGTAGACAAACTTTTCCCACCTCGTCAATGTGTCATGTCTTGTGTGACCCTTTTCTTCTCTGCCTGGATTGGGTATCATTCTCTCCCTGCCTAGAGTAGCCCTCCTTTTTCTTCTCCTTCTCCCTCTCCCTGTTTGTTCTGTTGTGTGTTTTTGTTTGCTGTGGCAAGTTACCTTTTGTTTCTACTGGCTGGTTGGGTGTCGTGTCCTGTCTGCTGCATGTCATGGCATGGCTGTGTGTAGTTGTATGTGTATGTGTGTCATTTCTTCATTTCTCCCTTTTCCTTTTTCACCGTTTCTTTTTGCTACTACAGTAGGTATTTCCCCTGCGCCACTGGGCAAAACATTACTGTGAATATGGGTGATGAACATAGGTATAGAGCATATCATGTCTTGACTGAGTGAAAGAAAGGGGCTGAAGGCAAACTAAACTCTCTTTAGTCCGGATTACAATACCTCTCTCTTTATAAGTTCTGGTTCTGTGTTTACGTCTATCTGCTTGTTTCCGATGCGCATGTGAACCTGAAACAATAAACAGGAATATTTGGAAATGAAGCATGACGAATCTGCGTGGGGTGGGTTTAGGTCGGGTTGGTTGGAAATTTAATAGTCAATAGTAGACTTCTTCTCTAATTTAATTACTTAGGAGTTACTTAGGAGTTTGAGGAATCGGGTTTGGGCGTGTGCTGTTATTTAGTGATGGGAGGATGTAGTCAGTTTGAAAGTGAAGTATTGTAGTCCACTGGGGCTTTGATTGCGTCGGGAGAAATGATGGGATACCTGTCAGGTTGATGTAAGTAGATGTCATGGCATGTTTCATTCGTCGGCCGATGACTGCATTTATGCTTTGCTTCAAGTCTTGAAAGTATTATAGTATAGATGGCGATGTAGTGGTTGGTGTGCTAAGGGTATACTATGTCATGTCATTGCCACCTGATCGTTGATTGGGGAGGTGGTCGCAGGACTCGGATAAAATAGGACGAATGAGGGATGAAATCATAGTAACTATCTTTCTAAGTACCTGTCTATCTATCGATCATATGTACATACACCCTTCATACAAATAATGCATGCGCATCCATCTACGCATCACAGAAGGATAGATAGATACATAATCCAGACAGACAGACAGACAGACAGACAGACAGAAGAAACTCAATCAGCCAAAAGTCACTCCCACCATTCAACATCCAACAAAGATAAGTAGAGCAAGCAAGTGTATACGTACCTCAATAATAGATAATACTAACCATATAATATGACTTCAGTGGCGTCCTCAGTTTTCTTTTCGCCGAACAAAGCCCTCCCAAGGCAACCCGAGCAAACAATCAATCAAGCAAGCAAGTAGGCAAGCGGGCGGCGCCTCACCTCTTCTCTTCCCCAACCACACCAAATCAAACAGATCTGGTCAGCTTAGTAGCCCGTCAGTTCAGACAAGACAGGTTTCCGTGTTCTATTTCTTTCTCAGGACATAATGTCCCATGATCAGAAAGGAGAATATTCCGGACAAAGCAATAAAATCAAATAACGGGCTTGAGTGATTGAGTTTATGTGTTATCCGGCTGGTTTGGAAGTGCGGGAAAAAGAGGAAGAGAAAGAATGGATGAAACGAGGAAGGTTTGGTGGTTTGTTTGTTTTCTTGGGTGGGTAGAAGAGGAGAGGTGAGTGCGTATGTAGACAGATAGGAGTATCTGCCACTGCCAGTGTGATGCGGTTCAGTTAGTCCCCTAGAGACAAATAGGAAGGTAGGTAAATGGGCTCTCTCTGTCTGCCTTGTGGGGTGATGAGGGGGTAGAGTAGTATATGGGTGATAATATGCCTCACTCTATAGTGAGTGGTTTAGTAACAAAGTATCTCGTTGGATTTGGCTAATCTAGTAGGGAGAGACATGTTGGCTCAGGACATAATCTCATAGGTTGGTGGGTTATATTGGGATGAGGTGATTAAATGAGTTAGTTAGTTGACCTCCACCGTAAGGCTCTCTCCTATATGCATGGGTGGGATAATAGAATGGTTCTACTATTACGATTACGATTACTATACTATACTATACTACCACACATATACATAATCTATCTAGGTTTTCAGATGTGATGTGTAATGGGGTACGTAGGGCTGCTTCTGCCACAATTAATCAGTAAGACAAGTCTTAGTATCTCGAATTAGAGGAACCCATATAACTACAGACACCGGACTACCTTCACCATCAAAGTATATACCTTGGTAACAATCAATACCTACAGTAAGTAACAACCCAGTCCTGCACCAGGAAAAACAAGTAAGCAAGCAAGCAAGCAAGTAGAACCGTTCCCAACGCTTCTGCATCATTGTTTCATTTGGCAGCAACAAGAGAAGTAAGAAAAAAAAAGCGCATGTCGTCCCGAGTCACCCGAGTTAGAGTTTCCGCTGCGCCAGATCGAGTTTTTGAGAAAAGGATAAGGGAAAGTAAGGGTAAAAAGGTTGATTTGCTTTGTTTCGTGTGCTCGGATATGCCATGCCATGCTATGCCGTGTGCCATGTCAGGTACGGAGTACACTTTGCTGTATGTATGTAAATATGTATTTGGTTTACGAACTACTTGAGGGCCAGTTAGTAGTATAACTACGAACTACTTTGTAGTAAAGTAAATAGTATCTGGTCTAGATGGGTTGATAGAAATCCCTAGTATCCCCTGACTACTGATACAACTAACCAGATCACTAGCTAGTAAGTAATAAATATAATTTCATCTGAAATAGACGATCTAGACAGGCGTCCATGTACGTACGTGCCTCAAATTGTCCTAAGCAAAAATGCAATTTCCACTACCTACGGGATGATGATGATGAGCAACCAAACAAAAAAGTTAAGAAAAAAAAAAGGCTCGGGAAAATCCACATCGCGAGGATGGCCGACAATCACCCGTTATTAGCTGCCGTCAGTGCGTGGGAAAGAAAGAAAAAAAAAAAAAAAAAAAAAGGGAAAGGGAAGGGCGCGAGACAGAGTCAAGAGAGGGAAATTAGACAAAGAAGCTTCCACTTCACACCCCCTCCCTACAAGCTTAGAACATAGCTAGACTCACCACCAAATATCCAAACTAACTAACTACTAGATAGGTTTAAGTCCACTTTAGTTTAGTCCGCAAGTCTAGGTTACATACCTATCGTTGGGCACGAAAAAAAATAAGAAAGTAAAAGAAAAATTAACCAACGGCAACGAATCACAGCACATCAATTTAATTAGGACCTACATGCCCTATGTACCTAGTCATGCAGGCTGTCAGGCTGGAGAGGAGGGGTGAGTGATTGAGTGGTATTGTGTGTGTATGTGTGTGGAAAAAATGCAGGTGTGTGTGCGTGTGTGTGGTAGCTTACGGATAAGTTAGTTAGTTAGTGTTAGTTCGAGAAGATGAATCAATCCCATTCATTTCATTTCCCCCTCCCCTCTCCAATTCCATCTCCATCTTCCCCTCCGATCAACAGTTAGTAGTCCCGTCTGGACCCGGCGTGACATCCTTCTGTTTGTGATCATGATGGTCACCACTACTTATTGACCTCTGTATTCTTTTTTTATTTTATATTTTTTTTTACCCTTCTTAGTCATTAGCTAAAAATAACCCTCTCATCTATCTACTAGCTGAATAGTACCAACTACTTAGCGAGTAACAAACTAACTAGTTAGTTCCCTACACACACACATCCAGACTCTCAATTTCCCATGGATTGTTCAATGTTGCTCCATCTTCGGCGGCGTCGGATGGTGGGGCCGGAACACCAGACAACAACAACCACCACCACTACCACTACTACTTATAGTTTAGTCCGGAGGAAGAGGGCATGAGTCGTTGGGCCACTGGCTGGCTGCTGCGCCGGCGGCGGCCAGCCCTTTAGGGCTCAGATCACATGTTTCTGTTCTTTACTTACCTTACCGGACTAAAATCTGACAGCTATGTTGTATTTATGTATGGCATTGTATTGTTTGTTCGTTACATTCCACATGGGAGGGAGAGAGAATATGTGTGGGAGAGTTAGTAGTTATACTAGGTCGAAATAGGCAAAAAGATAGAGGACCTTCTCTCTATGCCAATTAAGATTCAAAGAAGGACTTGTCTACAAGTATGTATGGTGAATAGCACCCTCCCGTAGATAGGCTGAATCCTCCTTCAACCACTTACGTATGTCCAATTTAACGCGGAGATTGTTGCTTGCTTGATTGCTTGCTTTGCTGAATATCCGCCCGACGGGACATACCCATTGGGGGTGAAGTAATCTGGAAGCCTAGATTTGTGTTCTGGGTTTGGGTTCAGTTTGTTCTGGTGATGGGAGGGAGCAAACATCTGTCATCCTTGGGAGTTATTTGACAAAGTTGAATCAAGAATTCATACGGGATCATTATTAACAGTGTAAATATAAGCAATTTAAAGAAGCATTACTACTATGTACTTATACTAGAAAGAGACAAAAGCTACACCTCCGTAACCAAACAAGTAAGCAAGCAAGCAATCTACGGGCGGCTCTTAGCTAACTACCTACCTACCCATTTCCTCCGTAGACTTCAAAACCCGGCCCCGTCATTCCATCCATCCATCCATCCGTCTGCTTGCTTGCTTGCCCGGTGCGGAGAAAATAACCCCCTCCTGTCATCTCAGCATCCTGTCATGCGTGGTTGGACAAGGTTGATATTATCGGGGGGTCTGGATTGGAGGAAAGGGAGGGAATTACATAAGGGGTGTGGGAGGGCAGATTTGAGTAGTGATCGGCATGTAGGGTGACATTCGTGGGAGTTAAGTACTATGATGATGGCTGTTGTTTTGATTGTTTGATTTGATTGTATGTATGTATGTGTTGGTTTGGGTATTGGGTGTTACGTTACGATGGTTATGTTTGATGGGTTTTGAATCGGGTGTTTGGTGTGCGATTGTTTGATTAATTAGGGAGATTGTTTGAGGTAGCTACTTGTAGGAGGTTATGAGTATAGTCTTATTATTTGGACTGACAAGATGATCTTCTATCTAATGGAGGAAATCTATATGTGTCGTAGATGAAACAAATGAGACAGACCTCCGGCCGAAGTATCTTCCCCAGATACAGAGAATAAATAACTATGCAGTACATACAGGTGAATAACTCGGTTTAAAACCCAGCGCTGTGCAGTAGTAAGTATAGTCAGTGACAAGACAGCACGCATACATACATACATACAGTTACTTACCTAGCTACATACATCGGATGTAAGTCCACGGTCGAATATCGGACATTTAAGCTTCCCGAAGTTCAAAGAAAAGGAAATGCAACTATATTATTCTACTTATGAAGAAAGGGGTCAAAACATCGAACCATGGTTCATAACCCCCATCTGATTTCAAATCAGGGTAACCATGGAGCGAAGAAAATGAAAATGAAATACGTGGGCGCGAAATGTATTGGGTGACTTTTCTTTGTTCTTCTTCAATTTGGTTTTTTGCTGGCGCTGCCTTGCATCTCCTGCCAAGATGGGTCCAGCCGGTTGTTGATCGGGATTGTTTTGTCCATTCTTTTCTCTCTCTCCATGGGGTAACTGCCTGACATGGGGGGAGGTTTCGCACTACTATCTTAGTAGATACTCTGTTGGTAGATGGTGTATGCATGTCTTGGTGTATCAACTACGAGCTTGGTGGTGGAGTGGATGGACATTGCTCACTGCTCAGGTACGGCCATCAAAAAGTCTAGGTCGCTCGAATCGATACATCCCACACACCTTCATCCACTTTCTAGTCTAGATACCTCACGGACTATCGGACTAGATACAAGGGAGATTTAGTGTCAGAAAAAAGAAAACAAATAATAATAAAATAAAAAGAGGTGATGCCCTACGTATTAGAGCGGCAGACCCACTCACACATGATATAATTACTCGACACGCCAAAGTTAGTAATGGTAGTCCCCCAACGGCGACTCGACCCTCGTAAGTTCGTTCGTTCGTTTTAAAAGAATTCTGCATCAAGCTAGACCAGCGTTGTTCTGGACGTTGCAGGATGATGTTATAATTACTTTTTTCTCCCTTTTTGCTTTTCGACGACTCGGCCTTCAACAAATTGAGGGTGGGAGCTGGTAGGTTGTAACGGGTGGAGTCGGACTGCGGGGCAAACATGGTGATTGCTGGCCCGTCGTGCTATTATTTACCGGTTCAAAGATCTCCGTTGCGATATTTTGATGGCTATAATATTGGCTGATATTACTTTAGCCATCGGGGGATGATGGAGACATGACATCGCCATTACATAAGGGTTCATGTAATAAACAAGATCAAGATCAGAGGCAGAAAAAGCATACTACTTACCTTGCAACCCGCACACTCCAAATTAAGAGGCACATCCATCAACTGCTGCACTCGAGATTTTCCATCCGTGCTCCGTACATAAGGCGGAGAGGGTGTCTTGACGGCACAGACACTTATGCATGCTAGGGAGCTGATCCATCCAGGTATCCTTGTAGAAGACTACTTTGACAAGCTCACTATCCGTAGATAGTTGATCTGTCGGACAAGGATTGTTCTTAGTACAGTCGTTAAGAGCAGCGGCCAACCTGATGTGCATACGGCCCCCAGTTGCCGATCACCACCTGAAGCATGCTAGCCATGATAATAATTAAGTGGGAAGGGAAACGAGCCAGAACGGGTCCCACCGCAGCTGGATGCGTCTTTTTCTTTTGTTTTTGCTTTCTGAAGGTGAGAGAGTTATGGAGAAGATTGATGCGGCGCAGTGATTGCGCGCTAACTTTTCAAAATGGGAGGTTCGAGAAACACATGCTAGTCTAGTACAAGGAGAGAGTTAGAGACAGCCAGACAAGCTTCGCATAACCTGCCTACTTAATACTGGGGAACAGAATTCGTAGGCTGTCGTGTCGTGTTCCTCCACATCCACTACCATTGGTAGGCAGTAAGTACTTGCGGTAGCGCAAGCGCCGGAGTTGACCTCCGTCTCAAGCGAGCTCAGCTCGACGGGCACCAACCACTACTGCGTACGGACTTTACTCCGTAGAACCAGACCGTGGTTCAATTCAACCTGTAAAGTGTGAACAACTTGCTGTGTCGGCTCTTACTGCTTGGTTCTATAATAATAAACACCTCACTTTCCCCCCAGTCGATCCGATGATATCAAAGGGAAAAATTGGGTGATCCACCCAGGGGTTCTGATTCCCTGTCGGAGTCGGAAACGGAGCCCCCCGTGATTCGGGCTGAAAGTGGACTCCCATTTTAGTTCCTGTTTTGCGATCTCAGTGTGGCTCCGCTTTTGTTCCCTGGCACCCAACCTGCCTTTCCTTGGTTTCGTTATCGGTTTCAGCTGGAAACCTTCTGTTCCATCTGCTAGTCCACAGCACTATGAGTAGACTACGACAAAGTATGTGGATGTCATGAGAGACATGAAGCAATTGGGCCCGACGGGTTCCCCGATGTTGCCGTGCTCCCGAGAGAGGCATTGATTCTAGATTCTTGTTTCATGGAAGTACTTAGGTTCGTTCGTGCGATCTTCTTCCGAGGAGAAATACGAGGTTTCACCGCCCTGATCGAACCAGTCGTCGGTCCTTCGAACAGGTAAACCTTCAACTAGTAAGTATGGAGTAGTGAGTAGTTATCTCGACCTGTCGGAAGGTGTCGCAGCTCGAACTCAACCTCACCCATCTCGCATCGATGGCTCCATACCCCCTTTATCTAACCTACACCTACCAAACAAACTTCGAGGACCTGCCTTTCCTCCGACTACCATCCAGTTAGTCCCGCGCACTGGGGCTACCGTACCTAATCTATTCAAAGTTCCCACCCTCTAATCGACACGCCTGAATTCTCCCGAGCACGGCCTCCCGATAGGACCCATTCAAAGAAGCCGCTTGTTGGACTACTCGGTGACGGTAAGTAGGCGATGATTGTGGCGGTCGCGAGGTCTGGTGACTGCAGAGCCTACCACCAATTGTAGATCAGGCAATGGCTGAGACGCGATGAGTAAAGTCTCTACAAAGAGAGTCTCACTCATCGCCATCCAACGTATCCAATATGGTTCAGCATCAGGTACGCGGAGCACCATCAACCGCCCAATGCTGGATTGGATTCGTAACCCTCCGGTCGTCACATCGCCCGGCTCCGCGCCCCAATCATTCGCCAAAGCTTCACTCCGCTCCTTCCCCTCTTTTGTACCTGCTTAGGTTCCATCGCAAGCTCGGTGCTACTTACTTGGTCCAAAGTCTCGAGTCTCGACAATGGTTGTTCAGATGGGTCTAACGTCGCAGTATCCGTACTACTCACCTACTCGTGGTAGTTCTGGAACTGTCCTTTCCAGAGCGATTACTTAGCGAGGTATAGTAGTATTTTCCGGGGCCGAGAAAAGAGACCAATCAGAAGAAACAACTCCTGTCATCAGGAGAGTAGCAGCAAAAAGAGGGGATATGGTTGGAAATGAAGGCTAGAATCAGAAAAGGCAAGTCAAAATAGTAGTAGTAAAGTGAGACAGGAAAGAAGCACGAAATGAAGAGCGAGAAGGCGGAGACCAGGAGAGCGACCGGGGGGTCACGGAACTACCACATAGTGCGAACGCGGACTTTAGCACCCTGCATCGATCACAACGAGCAATGCCAATGACAGGGAAGGAGGAGGTCTGACACCGTTGCTTGCGTTCAGCCCAAGGACTCCACCAACCCGACGCTAAAGGCAGCTAAGGTGGTGAGCATGCCACACACATGGCTTCCTGGAGGGTGAGATTTGCGACTGGGCGGCGCAGCAACTCAGCGTTTGCGAACTTGTCCGAAAGAGGGAGAGCTTGGATTACGACGACCTTTTCCACTAATCCCCGTCTGGTAAGTCTCCTGTGTCCCTTTTCGGTTCTCTGAGGGAGGAGACGACACCAGCTACCCACTCAGCAATCTTAGTATTCCTGCGATGGCGTCAATGATATGTTATGGCCCGAACCGACGGGCTAACAGTGGATTGAGTGGACGGAGGATGAGGAGAAGACGGAGCAACAACAGCAGCAGTAGCAGCATGTTAGAGACCAAAGCTGAGTTGGAGCTCCCCACAAGCTACACCAGGTCCGGATCCGACCCCTCCTTTGTTGGTTCTCCACGTACTCCGTGCTCGACAGCTAGGGGAGGTGAAATCAAAGAAAGTGGTGCTTCGACGATTCTAGCCTCCCGGAGAGCAACTAAAGCAAACTGGCCAGATAAGTCAAGTTACTTTCTTTTCCCAGCCACACTGTTACAGCGCGATTCTTCTGGCCCATGCCCGCCAGAAAATGGGGTTTCCGCTGTTCTTTTCCTGTTCGAGAAAAGCATAAGAATGTCCTCGTGCACCCACTCCCATGTGAACTTTGAATCGGACGGCATAGAAGGGCCTCCCGTTATGTTTGTCTCGGATGATATGTTTAAAAGGGGGACCGGCCGATGCTGTGTCCGCAGCAGCACCACCACCAGCACCACCACCAACAATGGGAAGGTTTACCACTTCCTCGACGTGCAGGAGCTAAAGTAAGCATGCCGTGTACTTTGCTGCAGCCAGACTGCAACTGTTGGGACGCCTTTTGTCCGATGGGTACAGTGGTGAACTACCACCTCTGTGCGGCGTAGTAGATGAAGGGGACTAGCTACCACCCAATCGCCAAGTCCCACTAACGGTGGAGCTGCCGTCTGATTGCACGGAAGCCTCAGTGGAGCTGTCCCGTGAATTCTGGCAGGCTGACTGAATGAGCGTCCCCAGCTGAGTATGGAGAGAAGGAGAGAAAGAAAATTTGGGCCGCGCCCCGTCAACGAGAATCAAATCATGACCCTTCCTTACGATAAATAAAGTCGTGTTGTGGCCACGGCCCCGTCGGCCAATCCGGGGCGTACCGGCTCCTCCTGGCCATGGACACTGCACTTGGCTTCAAGGATGATTTCGATCGCCCAAGGGTAAGAGTAGGTTCATCACTTCTCAACGTATGAAGGTGTCTTGGGAAGCATGATGCAGGAAGCTAGTCGCCGGGAAGCGGCAGGATCAGGAGCCCACCAAAGTGCCAATGATGATTGATCGGCCGCTTTCCAGCTCAAGAGCTGGGGTTACACCGTCATTACTCTCCTTTCAGCAGCATCATCAGCAGCAGCAGAATCATCATCATCATCCGCATGAGAAGGGTGAGTAATAAAATATTCGACCGGACACCGTTAGGCTGTCTCAAGTTTATTTGAATCGGGCCGAGGAGGGACGGATAGGATTGGACGGTTAATGACAGCATCAGTTCGCAAACTGCCAAACTTTCGTCATCCCGAAGAGAGAAAGGGAAGAACAATTAAAATAGGAAAAAGAAAAAAATATGAAGAGAGTAAAAAATGAAGCAAACGTGAATCTGATGGGGCGTACGGGATACCTCAAATGCCACTGGTCTTTGTGTGTATGTGTGGTGGTGGTAGGAGTAGGAGTTGATCTTGATTGATGGGGGGCTCGGGAGGGGTGCCATTCGTTGAGTGGCGCCAGCAGCAAGTCAGATCGGTCGTTCTCATACCGGAGTGTAACCAGATCGAGTCGCGTATTCCGTATTATTGACTGGATGTCCCGCGAACGAAGAAAAACAGGCAGACAGATGGGGTTAAAATTCTCGGAGAGGAAACAAATGGCGAATGAAATTGACAGATTAAGATTGTGAAAAAGGGAAAAGGAAAATCAAAACAGAAAATAGGCCGCGATGTTGACTGAACCGGAATTATTCAATAAAGAGGGATATCAAACAAACAGTCTGGAACAATTTAACCCATATCAGCAAACGCTGACAACGGCAACGACGAAAATAACGTCCTCCATGACACGATCATCAGCACTATCGCGGGATCAATAGATGGCTAGAGCTGTGGTGAATGGGCCGATCCATCGAGTCAGCGTCACAGGCCATGTCTACTAAGTGGAGTTGGGCTGGGCTATTCAGGGCATGGCGATTATGGTTTGTCAATCCAGGGTGCCATTTTAGCAGCTTTATCAATAACGATCACCATTGTGAGCTCTGAACTATGACTCTTCAAGCATGGCCAGGGGGTAGTCGGCCATATCCTAGGCAGCGACTCGTGTGGGTGGGAATCAAACTCTTACCCGGTGGTACCTGGATTGAATCTCTGAGAGATCCCACTCCGATGGTGGACTCGACCAAGTGGTTCTCCCAAATCCATGATATCCAGTTATTTCCCGAGGACGAAGATTATACTTCGCTTCTATAACAAGATGTTTGGACGGTGCCGTTCAATCCGACTACCTACCCATCAGACTAACAACGGCTACTGTACTGTGCCTAATCCTCCCGGCGCCAATCTTCATTAATCCAGACCATCCATTTTCTGCCCTTTCCTTTCAAACCTAAAAACACCTGTGTGGGTATTGGAGCCCAACATGCCAATGGGAAATTTTCTTTTTCTACCTGTTTCCTTTTTTCCCCAATTGTTTTCTTGCCTTTTTTATTTTTCCCGTTTTCCCTTTTCGTCCAACACTAATCATTATCCTCGACAATGTGAATGCCTTTTTCCCTTCATGCTTTTACTTCGAGATTTTTTTTTTTTTTTTTTTTTTTTATTTTTCTTTTTTTTTTTTTTTTTTTTTTGTATTAGCAGAGACAGCAGCTCCAAGATGACTGGCCAAATGACTCAAGATAGCGTTGACTGGGCGAAGTTAATGCAAAGAAGAAAAAGGAAAATGCCAACGAAGAAAAGAAAAAGAAAATGACAGCTGATTAATAATCCCGGCCAACACGATCTGTCACGGCCATATTGACACTCACCCGGCCGGATGCACACACACCCGCACACCCACTCTGCTCTTAGGGTGGTGTGGGTGGCAGGTGCTTGCTTCTTACCTACTACCAAGTAGGTAAAAGTAGCTGCATGTTCTCCCTCCACTGCCCATGCCTCCTAAGTGGCAGCTCGCAAGCCACGATTGTCACAGTAATTCCATGAGATTATTTCCCGGCCTGTTATAATTAGTCGTCTGCAGCATGATAGGCTAGAGAAGCCATGCGGATTATCACTGACCATATACCACTTACTCTCTGTACATACACCGTTCGACACTCGGTTGATCAGTAGATACTTCTCCAGACCTAACCACCAACTGCTCCCTTTTTGGATCACCGTTCTCACTGGCGCATTAGTCTCCGATCCATTTCTGGTCGTCACAATCTCAAGTACAAAAACGCAAGCGAAACAACGGAACCCCATCTGCTTGACCTTCTCAAAGTTTTGAGATCTCGACGCTTGGCGGCTGTTTCCGATTCTTTGTCTACTGTCTTTGTTCTACCTTTCTTTTTTCCTGCTCTTTAAGCTTTGCCCATCATCCCTCATACTGCTGCTACTCTAGTCCAGTTGCCAGTTTTGCTGGACAGTTTTTCCTAGTTTGAACCTCGACGGGCCAAAGGTACGTTCTATTTCCTTGCCAGTTATCCCTACTACCCACGGTTCTTGTCGTCAAACAATTCCCGGGGTTGCAGCCATGTCAGTGGTGGCCTACAGGTAAACCGTCATCCGCTGCATCTCATATTTCTTTTTTGCAAAGAAAAGTCCCCTACTGTATGCCGTGCTCGGCATCTAGTGGCTCTCTCTCCCTCTCTTACTCTCAGTCTCTCTTCCCCAGAATTCTCACCTTTTTTGTCCCGTTGGTTTTTATGATTTTACTTTTCCCACCATTTTATTCTTGGATTTGACTCTGCCACTGCATGCTGCAAACCATCCCCCCAAAAGACAATTCATCGAGTCAGCCATCTCTTTCCTTTTCAATTGCGCCTGTCTGTCGTCAGGAGTCACTCTGTTCGAGTCAATCCTCTTCAGAGACCCTCAAAGTGTCGCATTCGCGTTTTTGCTCCTGCGTCCTGCATCCATCCTGGTCAATATTACACCACCTTCCCGCTAGTTACAAGCTCATCCTGATATCCCCACTAGTCAGTGCATCCCTCTGACGCTGTCCTGCCCTCCGTCACTTGTCTGTTTTCTTTCCCTATTTCTTTTTTTATTTATTCATTTTTACCCTTAATCTTTTTTATTATTTAAATCCTTTTTCTATTTTTCCTTTTTTATTTTATTCTTTCCGCCCCCCTTCTCCCTGCTTTAATTTATTTCTCCCAGACTTCTTCATCTCCCCCCATACCTGTTCCGGAATAGCTAGCTGGTGAACAACTTCTCTGACTGAAGGATGGGTCTCCAGCGCAGCTAAATAACGACCCTGGACCCTCCACAATTACACTTGCACGCTCGCATTGCACCGTTTATCCACGCCCATCATCGCCAGGCCCCCTTCCTTTCCCACCCTCAACCCCCCCCCTCCCCTCCCCCAGTTCAGAACCACACGGACTAACGAGCCACTACCGTTACCCTTCAGCCTCTCATTAGCTTTCCTTTTCATAAGCTCTCCTCTAGTCTAGTCTAGATATCCTTTCCACCCCCGTTTCTGGGACCCTCCCTCCGGACTATCTTCTTACGCGCATCCTTTCTTCTCTCCCGCACCCAAGCTGAACTTTGTTTTATGTCTCTCCTCTAGACTTCCCTCCCCTTGTTATATGAGCTGAAGCCATTGAAGGACGAAAGCAAAGGAAGTCCAGAAAAAAAAATAAAAAAGGATTATCATCCCGGACCATTCGAGGTCAGTCATGACCGGCATGGTTCAGACTGACCTAGCTCATCCACCTGCACCAAAGTACAAGGACGAGCCAGTGGAAGATCCTGTGAGTGTATTCTCATCATTTCTTGAGTGCTAGGAACCCGTGCTTTTTTGCCTGTTATGTTATTCTTTTCTTTTCCAGTATTTTCTTTTTCCCTTCTCCGACCTTTCTATCTTGGTCTTTTGCCTCTCATGCCTGCATCATTCCATGCTTTTGCCCTTCATCCAAGGTCAACCTGGCCTACTGCGCATGAGTGCTACGGGGGAGAACCCGGGAGTATGTGGGCATTTGGTCCTCAGTAGAGCAGGCCTCCCTGCTTGTTGAGACCGTATACGATAACCTGACCGTGTCGCCTGTTTCCACTGCGATGACGTCTCCCGCAATGCGCCAATAATCAATGCACGGACGCCTTGTCTTCCGACGTCCGTCGAACACCCTGTGGTCTCACCCTCGACATTCGGAATATTCTTCAACGTCCTGCGACACTGGAGCCGCCAATGGGGCTGGAAAGTTTCTTCAGCACGGGTCATGCCCACATCTGTCATGCTCTCTGGCCGCGCTTGCAGAAAGTCATCGCTGACTCGGCTTTGACTGTTCGACCAAACTATGAATCTGATTCGAACCCCACGTGTCTTGCTTTCACGTTCCCCTGGAGGCGATAAAGGAAGGTCATTCTTGTTGCCTGAATGACACGACTTACCAGCAGGATGGACAACATACCCACCGAGGTTTTGGGGGATGCGAACAGGTCCAGAGTTGCCAACTTCTTACCAACGATGCTTGCCTGTGGCAGGTGCTTTCCTTATTGCCTCTATGCCACCATATACGCATCGGGCTGCTTCCTACAGATGCTCAACCATATGTGTGTTTGGGCTTCTTGCTTATAGCATAAGCAACTCATTGATTTGTGTTCCCATGTGCAGTTTCTGATTCAACTACATTTTATTTTGTCTTGCACATACTTTCTTAATCATTTCTATGGGCATATCGCAATCTGCAATATACGATCACTCGGGTTCTGAAACTTGTTTCGAGAATAATTCAGGTTCCAGCGCTAACTGTCGTTTGACCCAGCATCGCCATCCCGGCCCGCAACCGCCTCATCTTCAGCATCCTCGACCAACTCTTCTGGTCCAGCCACAGAAACAACCAGAATCACCACATCAGACTTCAACTACCCTACCTTCTGGTTCATACGCACCTCACGCCTTAGGCAACGGAGTTATACATCATCAGCACTCCTACGGCCCGCCATCAGAGCATTCGTACTATTCATCTCATTCCTCTTATAGTACAGCAAGCGCACCCAGTCAGTACTCATCAAGTGGTAAGTGCGGTGTATGGGGTTTCTTTGGTGTTTTTTGGTACAATGTTATTCGCAGCAGCAGTGACAACGATATGCTCTAAAGGTTGCTCCGGTTAATCCAAGCCACAGAGGCTGATTCATGTTCAGGACCACCAGAAATGATGGCTACAGCCACGCAAATTCAGCGGCCGTATCCTCCAATTTATCATACGCCCCAATCCAGCTCGCCTGCTTCAGTAGCTTCCCAAACACACGAACAGCATAATCGCGGCATATACACACAGTCGCCCCAAATGGCCTCGCAAATGTATGGCTATCCGCCATACTCACCCATGAATCCTGTGCAGCCTCCACCCTATGGACCGAATACATCCCCCCAACAGCATCCTCTTACGACACAGCCACTGATGGTGCCCCATCCAACAAGCACTGCGCAGTTACCGCATCATCCGGCTCAGGCTCCAACAGGGAACTTGTCAAGTAGTCCAAATTCAGCTGCGGCACAACAGCCAACGCCCCCTCAGAGAACGATGCTAAACCCTCCTCACTCAGCAGCTAGTGGTGCACCTTTGTCAGCCAGTGCTGTTCACCATCAAAACTCTAATGTCGGGGCCAGCTCTAGTGCGGCACCAGGACCAATCCCTGCCACAACTCCCCTGGTTGTCCGACAAGATAGCAATGGTGTCCAGTGGATCGCGTTTGAGTACTCCCGGGATCGTGTAAAGATGGAGTATACAATCCGCTGCGATGTTGAGTCGGTTAATGTGGATAATTTAAGCCAGGAGTTCAAGACTGAGAACTGCGTTTACCCTCGAGCCTGCTGCAGCAAGGACCAGTACAGAGGCAATCGGCTGGTGTACGAAACTGAATGTAATGCTGTTGGATGGGCATTGGCGGAGCTGAACCCGGCACTGAGAGGCAAGCGTGGGCTGATTCAGCGGGCAGTGGATAGCTGGAGGAATAGCAACCAGGACCCTCGACTTCGAAGCCGGCGTGTGAGGAGGATGGCCAAGATTAACAAGCGGCAGGGGATGCCTGTGCCTCCGCCTCACATGGCGCCTTCCACCCCTGTTGGCCCTGGGGTGCCAAGTGCTAGTATGCCCGCCCCCGGTCCCCGTCCCAGCCTGGGGCCATTGCCCATGGGCCCGCCTCAGCTACATCACCACCATGCCCAGCCAGATGGAAGTGCAGGCCACGAAGAAGCTAGCGGTATGTTCCACCACACATGATGTGCTTGTCCCTGACACTGTTTGAATGAATCGACGGTGCTCATGTCGGTTTGTCTTGTATTGTTTGATATTTTTTTGCCATGTCTCAGTAGGCAGATCGCCACCGAACGGACGTGAAATTGGTGTGCTTTCTTCCAAGAGATATGGATACCGTACCCCATGTATTTCTATTTGGTCTGGAGAGGCTCTTGTCGTTTTGTTGCTTGTTGTTTTGCCCATACCCTGTTCATGTTTCGCCTGTTATGCTACGTTGACGCTGTACCCCGCTGTGCTTTCAAACATGACGTGCCACCTGCAGTTTTGCGTAGGCTAATTTATATATTGTCCTATCATACATAATAGGTACCACTGACTATACGAACGGTACCAGTCGTCCACCTGTCTCGGATGGTCTGCAACCCGGACCATCGCCAACGGACATCCGCACGGCGCAGGTGTTCCATGGCTATCCTTCCTATCCGACCCCCGCGACGGCCCCAGGGGGACCAAGGGGTCCCTCAATACCACCACTACTCCGAGATAATGGCATCGGGTCTCTCGGGCGCCATCCCACCATTGCGACATCCTCGAACCGGATCGAAGAAGTGGGCGATGACGATGACGAGCGCAATCCAAGCAGCGATGCGCTCTTTGGCACACTGCCCGAGGGCAAACGCCGCAAGTTCATCCTGGTGGACGATAACCAGCGGGGTTGTCGCGTGCGAGTTAAGGTCATGCTGGACCAGGTTGATATGGACGAGCTTCCAGACTCCTACAGGATGTCTAATGCGGTATACCCCCGGACATACTTTCCTGTTCAGATGAGGGACCCGGGTCGAGTCGTGCCTGGGAATCGTTATATCAAGGACCACGTTGGGGTGGATGAGGGTGACGATGCCGATGATGATGACAGCCCGACCGTTGGAAGGATCATGGTTCCTGCACCACAGATTGATGGCGAGGGAGAGATCGCGGTTCCCCGGCTGTCCCGAGGACGACGGAGAAGAGAGGTACTGTTGAATGACCTGGGCTACCGAATGAGTTGGAGCCAAAGTCGAGTGTTTGCGGGGCGGATGCTGTTCCTGCAGCGATCTCGTGCGTGATCTTCCCTTTCCCTACATCCCTTGCGTCGCCTGCATGTTGGCCATGCAGTCCCCACCTCGGAACACCGTGAATGTGACTAATCTTTGACCCGTGTCGGGAATGTAGTTGACGCGTACCGAAATAAGATGCGCAGCACGATGCTGGCGGCCGGCCAGGAACCGACTTCCATTCCCCGGCATTTCGAGACGCGGGCGGGCAAACGACGATTCCTCGAGCGTAAGCGACGGGCGGCGGGGGGCCCGACTCGGCATGCCGGTGCCCATGGGGTGTCTGCCTCGCAGCGCAGTGCTGAAGAGGTCGAGGCTTGACCCATGCAGCTTGGAAATACACCATCTCCTTCTATTTTTATTCAGTGCTACCGTATCCCTGAAGATTGTGTCAGGGAAATGTTTACGTTGACCGTGTCACTCGTTTCTTGTCTCAGTTCGCCTGATCCTTCTGCCGGGTTGTCCCTCAGGGTTATGCTGACGGGGCCGACAGCGATCATGGACCGCTATGTAAAGTAATAGATATCGGGAGGGAGTCCAAGAGGGGGCAAGGGGATATGGCGGTCTGTTGGATCGGGCGTTGGATTTCGATGATGATTTTTGTTCTTGACATGATTATGATGATTTGACGGCTGCCCTTACTACGAAAACAATATGATGATTAACTGATGATGAAACTCTGAATGTGAACGATGGTATTGTGGTTTTGTTCCTTTTCCTTCCTTCAATGGTGTCAATGAAACCCCAAAGAATACGGGACCAAACAAGGTTAATTGGTTGCTGCCTGCCGCATTCAGTGCATCTGGGCGGGCACGTGCAACCCCGATTCCGATTAGGTCGAAGCGGCAGTGGACCAACCGGGGAAAGACCCTGACCCGATGCGGCTTAGTGGCTGCTGGACCCTGGCGTTTAGTACGACGTTTGGCTTCCAATTCAGGGCACAGTTACATACACCCGCTCCATACAGCCATACACTATACAGTACAAGTCTAGTGGTTGTCGGGGTCACCGCCGCTCCTCTCCCACCCCCTCCACCAAAAAAGTAACTTCATCCATTAACCTTTTTTTGCTCGTCGCCATGGAAGCTGGGGTTCTTTTCTCCACTGCTTCTGTGCCGCATGCAGTCACTTTAACTACTACCAATCTTCCGACTTCCATCCATCTACTACCACCCACTCTAGGACCGACTACTCATTGTTTCTCTTTCATATCCGCCTTCTCCATCCATCCTTCACCCCCTCACGTCCCGAATCCAAGACACCCCGAAACTTAGTCTAAGATACGGGTTTGCATTTCAAATCTGATTGAGTTCGTGGCTGCGTTCCTTTTTCTATTTCGGCGGTATGCTGACAATTGCGTCGAAGAAAATATCCTGTCGCAGCTCACTGGTCCACGATATTCCGCCCATCCTTGGGTGAACTTTCACGGGATCGTCTGTAAACGACGAACCGTGGTTCCGTCGGGCTGTCAGACTTGTTCTTGATTTAGAAACAACACCCTGCGACGGTTAGGGTGCCATACTACTACTACCACCACCTGCCTGCCAGGAGACCGCTTTTTCTGCCCTTGCCTCGTTCGTCTGGCTGTCTTACTTGGGGTCTTGCTTGGTGCTCTCTTCCTTCCTTTCACTGCTCCTACTAGTAACTCTTCCTCATCTATCGCCCTCTCCTCCTTCGTCGCCAGTTAGCTCAGTACCCTATTATTATACCTATTTCGTCTCCTATTGCGATATTTCCTAACAGTCATTCACAAAGAGATCCTTGTCACATGTTCCAGCATGGCCGGCGTGAACCGGTCCTTTAGTTACAGTCGCGGCGACGATGCGTTGTTGAGAGATGATGAGCGAGAGATCTCACCCCTCCGATCTGCAGAAGACGGTCTCTACAGTACATCATATGGCGACATCTCCCCGCTATCTGCTGGATTTCAAGCGCAGACTAGGCCATTCGACCGAGGTCTGGTGTCAGTCCCGGAAGGTCAGAGCCTGGAGCGCCACATGACCTCGACGCCGGGGATGGATAATCTAGGGCCGGCCTCTGTGGGTGGCGGAATCAGTGGTATCGCTCTTGGCGTAGCCAATTCTAATAATCGCCAGAGCGGAGTTGACGCTTTTAGGGAAACAGATGTTCCAGTACGCAATCTCCCTGCTGAACGGGATTTCAACACCACCGGCTCCGATAATCCCTATATACCTGCTCCGCCCGATGGAGACATATATCCGAATTCGGAGACGATGAGGTATCGCGACTCTTACAGCTCGCATACCGGGCTTGGTGCTGGCGCGCCTTTTGCAGAACATAGCACGCCGGGAACTACGCCATCCCAACGTAGCTTCTTCGATAGTCCGTACCAAGGTGTGGATGCTGGACCGTATCAGCGGCATTCGGCTTATAGTTCTCACGACTATCCGCTTGTCATCAATCCGGATGATATTGCTGACGATGGCGATGATGGATTCCCTGTCCACCCCAAGGGAGCGGCGGACTACAGATCGAACGGAAATGCGCCTGCTGCAGGTGTCGCTGGCGCCGCGGCTGCCGGGGGGCTTTTAGGGAAGTTTCGGGCGCTTTTTAAGAAAGAGCAGCCTAGTCCGTATTATGATTCTGATATTGGAGGTGGGTTGGGAGGAGCTGAAAAGGCACAAGGAGGTAGGCACATTATTGGAGGCGGGAGTCGCAAACGTGGGTGGATTGTTGGGCTCGTATTGGCGGCAGTGATCGTGGCAGCTATTGTTGGGGGCGCTGTCGGTGGTATTCTGGGCCATCAGGAGCATGACGGCGATACATCTTCGTCGTCATCATCATCGGGCACAGGGTCTGGTGGTTCGGACAAAGGAGATGGGCTGCTCGACAAGGATTCCGACGAGATCAAGGCGCTTATGAACAACAAGAACCTCCACAAAGTGTTTCCCGGAGTCGACTATACCCCGTGGGGAGTGCAGTATCCGCTGTGTCTCCAATATCCTCCGTCGCAGAACAACGTTACGCGCGACCTGGCGGTGCTCACGCAGTTGACTAATACTATCCGACTTTACGGCACTGACTGCAACCAGACTGAGATGGTCCTCGAGGCCATTGACCGCTTGCAGTTGACTAACATGAAGCTCTGGCTGGGCGTGTGGATTGATACCAACACCACGACTACGGATCGCCAGATTAGCCAACTGTATAAGATCGTGGAAAGCGCAAACGACACCTCGATATTCAAAGGAGCTATTGTGGGTAATGAAGCACTCTATCGAGCAGGCTCCGACGTGGCGAGTGCAGAAACGAATCTGATCGGCTACATTAACGATGTCAAAGACCACTTCAAAGAGAAGAACATTGACCTCCCGGTGGGCACCTCGGACTTAGGCGACAATTGGAATGCACAGCTGGTCAGCGCAGCCGACTTTGTCATGTCGAACATTCATCCGTTCTTCGGAGGAGTAGAGATTGATGACGCCGCCAGCTGGACATGGACATTCTGGCAGACGCACGACACCCCACTCACAGCCGGAACGAACAAACAGCAGATCATATCAGAGGTCGGATGGCCAACGGGTGGAGGGAACGACTGTGGGTCCGACAACAAATGTCAGAATGACAAGCAGGGCGCTGTAGCGGGCATCGATGAGCTGAACCAGTTCCTGTCGGAATGGGTTTGTCAGGCGTTGGACAATGGGACAGAGTATTTCTGGTGAGTTGCAGACTGCTACAACCCTAGGACGTGGCTAAGATATATGCAGGTTCGAGGCTTTCGATGAGCCGTGGAAGGTCCAGTACAACACGCCCGGTCAGGAATGGGAAGACAAATGGGGGCTGATGGACTCGGCTCGCAATCTGAAGCCGGGCGTCAAGATCCCTGATTGCGGCGGCAAGACTATTACGTGAACGCCGATACGTCTCTAGACCTCCTGATGAAAGTGATGATGGATGAAATGTACACAACATATCCGACATACATCATGTGTTATGATGCACTACGACTGATCGATCTCTGCTGTGCTTCCTTGCGGTGTTAGAGCTTTGTCCTGGGACTGTATTCTATTGAGCTGTGCATGGGTCGGCTGCCATCGTTCATTTGCGCGGCATTCTGACGAGTGTCACGACGCCATTCTACGCAAAGTGCTATTTGGCGTGTTTGTATATAGCGTGTGTGATCCACATAGGGCTGACATTACGACCCTTGTTGCATGCATGCCGATTCGGCATTCGGAGCGCATGGCGTAGGCGTGTAGCAGTAGATGGTTGTCACCATAGCAGCCATTCACCACTATTATAAGGTGAGAGGCAACCATCCCCATCTAGATGATATGATATGATACTCCCTACTACTCCTCCCCCTCCTTCTCCAATGGATAATAAATCCGCATATTCCAAAATGCATGCTCCTGCGCCTCAAATAGCGGCAACCTGACGGACCCCCTCCTCTTCACAAACGCACTCACCACCTCCGACTCGACATCCTCCAACGGTCCCCCAAACACAAACGCCGGATCCAGCGCCAATAACTGCTCAAGATGTGTGCGCTCCGCGCCAGGACAGAAGAGGAATGTACGAGGAGTTACTTTCTCGAATGCGAGGGGGGACTCGAGAACGGTGATGTTGAGGGAGGAAAGGAGGGATTTATCGAGGGTATTGAAGACAGGGTCTTGGGCGTAGGTTTTTATTGTTGGATCTGTTCATTGAGAATGAATGATTAGTTGGGTGAATGAGATAGATAGGATATAAATATACTCACCAGCAGAAGAGGAAGAGATGGAAGCAATAACGTCCACCAACGCCGCCAACTGATACAGCGAAACTAATCGTCGATCAACCCATCCTCCACGAAGGAATCCGCTCGGACTGCCGAGACCGATGCAGATGATGGAATCAATCCCTAATTCATTATGCTTATTCTCTATTGTTGTATGCGATTGTTCTGTATTATCCGTATTTGACTCTCGTAATTGTAATTGAGCAAGGAGGATATTGTGAAGCGTCCTCACTACCACATCGCACGTAGATGATTCTTTCCATGTGCGTTGGATGATCTGGGTGAATTGGGATTTGAGGGAGTCGAGGGTGGTGGTGGGTGGGGCTTCGGCGGGGTGGAATAATGATTCTTTTTCTTCTTCTTTTGTTGGCGATTGGAATTGGGATTGTGATTGTTGGTCTTTGGTGGTGCGCGCACAGCGGCGCGCTTTGCCGCTGGTGGTGACATGCGTCCAGCCGGTAGTGGCGTCGGTGATTTGGAGTCGTTTTTGCGCTTGCAGGGTGTTGTTGGGGTGAGGGTGTTTTTTGCGCGAGGTGTGGGGCATTTTTGCTTCTTGAGTTTATACTAAATATTTTTGGGTGTTGGGTTTGAGGGGTTGGTGAGTGGGTGGGATTAATTGGTGCAAATGGGTTCTAGTGGTGGAAGGAAGATGCATGAATGAATGGCAGAGAGAATTGAATGCGACGGAGGGGAGGGGAGGACCGGCGGGCGGTAAGTGGGTGGGTTTGATTGGTGGGAGGATCCTAAGTAGACACGCTTATAAGGCGGCATAGCCTGGGCCCATCATTTGCTCCCCACCATCTATCTCCACCAGTATACAATATCTTCGAAAGCTTATTGCTTCATTTCTGTATTAAGTATGTCCAACACGGAAGAAAAGCAAAATGTGCAGTCTGTTGGCTCTGGGCCCAAAGTCAATATCCTCTACTCAGCCCCTGGTTTCGCAGTACTCGATCCAGACACTATCAAGACAATGGCGAACCCCAGCAATACCATATTCAGCTGGGGCGGCGTACAGATAGTGAAAATATCTCCTGAAGTTGCGGTCAAATTTGGCTCTCATGTCACATTACACGAGGCTAAAAGTATGTTGTTTGTTAATCAGAATACAGAAACTGTACCAGTGCCCAAGATCTTTGCTTATTACTCCTACGGTCCAATCGACCGGGACATCGGGGATTATGGGAGCTACTATGATAATTATATCTTCATGACTTATGTGGAGGGCCAGAGACTGGATAAGGTCTGGGACACTTATGATAGTGTGACAGAAACTCGAATTGCCGGCCAGTTGAAAGGGTATCTCGATGAGCTTCGCCAGATTGAGCACAGGAATTACATAGGCTCTGTTGATCGTGGGCCGCTTCCTGATCCAATTCTAGGAGAACTTGAGTACAAGGGTGGGTAGTGTCACCAATACCTGTCACTGATACTGACGCTACGAAGGACCCTTTGATTCAGAAGATGACTTCAACAATGCAATTATCAATGCATATCAAGACACGGCACCAAAACGTCATGTCAAGAATGTCCCGGTTGGTATGCTTGCGTCTCAGAAAAGACATAATATCGTTTTTACCCATGGGGATTTTCGTCATCCCAATATCATGGTTAACGATGGGAACGTCACTGGTATCGTTGATTGGGAGTTCAGTGGCTGGTTCCCTGAACACTGGGAGTTTGTCAAAGCTCTCGCGGTATGGAAGTGGCAGAATGATTGGACTGGATATTTGGCAAAGATTCTCGAACCGTATTATACTGAGTATGCGGTGTTTTTGTTCTTTCATGAAGTTCTCTGGATGTAATAACCGTCGTTGGGTCTGTAAGCCTGATTGGAAAGAAAGCTGTGACTATTGGACTAGTCCCGGTAGACCTGGTGGATGCGAAGTTGGAAGACAATCTCGTAAGGACCTTGGACAATTTGAAGAAGTAGTAGCAAGCCATAACAATTCCTATTGTGCCAAGTTCATAGCTTTTAGATATCGAGATCACGTGGTGTTGTCGTAGATGATGTCTTCCTGAGCCTAGATCATGATCAAGCCAAGGACATGCAGCCAAAAACCAAGCATGAGGAAGAACAGCGGATAAAGACATTACCTACAATAATCCCTGTCATGCAAGCTTGATCACGGCGCTTCAAGTCGGACCAAGATGCGTCGCCTATACTATGGCGGGGTTGGGCGCTTAGCTACACATAAACATATGAGCAGGCTGAACACCAACAGTATCAGCATTCGTCCAACTCACAACACAAGTTGCATGGTATATTCGTTGGAAATGGAAGAAGTGATTATCATACAAAACAATGAATGCAAAGTATTTGGTTGGTTTTGGTGTTCACTTAATGTGATTGGCTATAGCAAATCGTGCCCCAACACATCCAGAATCGGGGTGATAATGCGAATCAGCGTGAAGGTTGACAACCATTAGAAAGTTCCGTAGTAGCGCTGAGACGGGGCTATACTAGCAGAAGGAGATATTTACCTAAAAAACTGCAACGAGACTAATGGACAGAAGCTGCATGCGATCGTCCCGTCACACTGCGATCACCTCCCCATCGGCCCCTCTGAGTCGATCTCTAAGCGCCCTGCCCGGATAGCGCCCGTCGCTCCCCCTCTTCTGCTTCCTCCTGTGCCCTCTCGTGCCCTCACCCAACCCTTGCTCGGCGCTACCAGCAGCTTCCTCTCCGCGAATGACAGTCCAGAACTGCTCCCTGTCGCTGTGATGTCTCTTGCAGCCCGCCTCCCTGATCTATCCACCCAGCCAATCTGCTTCTTGCAATCCTTCGCGCGCTCCCCAGTTGTAGTCTAGTCTGATCCAGTCTTGCTATCAGCTAAACTTCTGCCGTTGAAACCGTCACTCATCCCATCCCATCCCCCAATCGCCGCTGTCCCCTGCGGGAGTTGTCACATCGCACATTGCGCTGTGACTCGTCCATATCGCTTGCCTTCCCCGCTATGCCGGTGGCCGTGAGCGCCATTGCAGGAACCGGCCATGGCCTCTTCGTCTCGACTCAAAAAGTCATGGCAGCCCTCCCTCCCGCCCAGCTGCTGGAAGGCTTGGTTTCATGATGATCATTCTTCTTCCTGCAGTGCTGGATCGCTTGCCGTGACTGTTTTCGTGTGCCTCTTGATGAGTCGAGGTTGCTAGAGGTTATTTCTGTTCCATCTGACCTCCTCTGGCGCACTCTGTATATCTCCTCTTACCTATATCTCCTTCCTCTCTTGTTCTACCCACTGGTGCCCTCAGAATGAGATTCTTCAGCGACTCGATATCCCGCTGGACAGCGGCCCTCACCCTCCTGTGGCTGAGTCTGGTCAATGCTCACACCGTCATCACTTACCCCGGATATCGAGGTAACAACCTGCACACCAACGGTACAGTCGAAGAGACCAACGGTCTGGGTGTCGCTTGGAAGAACGGCTCCTACGTCTATCCCTATGGAATGCAATGGATCTATCCTTGTATGTATCCCACCATGCCTTGTCCATCTCCCCAAAGAAGGTAGCCAGCTGACTGTTTTAGGTGGCGGTATGGCCACCTCCCGCAATCGCACCAAATGGCCCGTCACCGGCGGTGCTGTCGCCCTTCAACCTGCCTGGTTCCGCGGCCATGAGACGGCCTTCGTCTACATCAACATCGGCTGGGGTACTGTCCCTCCCAACATGAGTAACCCCATGCTCTCGGTCTTTGAAATCGAAGGTCCCACCAACAACCCTTACCCCGGCACCATCTGTATGCCGCAAGTGCCACTGCCGGCCAATATGAGTGTGAGCCCGGGTGATAATGCGACGATTCAGGTGGTGTTGGCGGCGAAGCACGGTGCTGCTCTTTATGATGTATGCAACAGCCCCTCTATATATCCACATACATCGGATTGATACTGACTGACTTAGTGTGTGGACATCACCTTCGCTGAACCTGAGGATGTCGAGGAAGTGACAAAAGACAACTGCTTCAACTCGACAGATATTGCCTTCAAGTATGTCTTTGCCTCAAAGTCACTGACGACTTCTGGTGCACTGGCGCGGCTGAGTAGTCCCGGGTTGAACGCCGTGGTACCGGTGCTGGTGATGGTGTTGTTTGGACTGTTCATGATGTGATGTGGTGATGTATTCTGAAGTTGTTTTGTTCCCTGGTTACTCGGCACATACCTACCATACATACCCTTATACTCTCCTTATACCCATACCCCGTTTGGCTGTGAGCCGACGATGATTTCAATGTTTTGCAATGAAGTTGCATGTTTAATGTTCCATCATGGTGTTGTGGTAATATGGTACTCATTACATATTTTATATCGAATCAATCTCACATACCCAAAACCCTAACATCTACGACAACTATCTCACTACTCCTCACTTCTACCTCCTACCTACACCCTGCTATATAACTACAACCCCCTCACCACCCCCAAAATGACCTCTACCACCTCCCCCGGCGCCTCCTGCGGCGCCCAATGCCCCACCCCGGGAATCAACCTCACCTCTCTCAAATCCCCACAACTCGTCCCATTGCGCATATTCTCCAGCGCCCCCGGCTCCTGATACACCCCCCAATCACTCTCCCCGGAGGCAAACGCACACGGAATCTCAATCCTCCTCCCCGCAAACACCTCCCAATCCCAAGTAAATTTCCTCTCCGGCGTCGTCCGCACCCGATACCAATTCAACGCGCCCTGGAACCCCGTACGCGCATATTCCCCTACATACACCGACAACTCCTCATCACTCATCCACTCCTTACTCCGCGATACTCCCTCCATATCCGCCTGCCGCATCATCTCCTCCACCGTCTCGGGCATACTCAACCCCATCGGCATGATATAATACCCGGGCATTCTGGCTAACTGTTCCCCCGTCCACGAGGAAATAGGTCCCATATTGGAAGGGTCATTCCCTTCCCAGCATCCACTCTTCAGATGGAAATACCCCCGTAGGAAATCGTGGAGACCTTGCGCGGGGTTCTCCATCTCTGGGCTGGCGTTTTCGGTGGAGTAGTACCATTTATAGTGTTTTAGACCGAGGGTGCTTAGGTCGCTTTGTATATCTCCTCCTCCTCCTTCTTTAGTTTCCTTACTCTCATTCTTCTCCTGGGAAATAGCAGCCGGAACCCCCGGAAACGGATGACTTAGCAGCACGACACTCCGAAACATATCGGGTCTAGCGACGGCGCAAAACGCCGCCGTCACGGCGCCTGCATCATGACCTACTACGCATTCCACGGTGGTGTAGCCCAGTGCGTGGACTAGACTCACCACGTCCCGGACTAAGGATAGGCCTGTGAAGGTGGTGAGGTTCGAGTCGGGGTAGTTGGCGGCGTCTTTTTTCCAGCCTGTGGTGCGCCCGAAGCCGCGTCCGTCTGGGGCCACGATGTGGTAGTCCGGACCGGCTTGGATGGAGAGTTGGGGGAGGATGTGGCGCCAGGAGTAGGCGAGTTCGGGGAAGCCGTGGAGGAGGAGGATGAGTTTGCGGGGCCGTGGAGGAGTGGTTGTTGTTGTGGGGGAGTTGGATTCGAGGATGTGGGTGGTTAGGGTGGGAGTGGTTGGGATGAGGCGGGAGGTTATGGAGGGGGGGAGGGGGAGGGGGGATGGTGATGAGAAGGACATTGTGGTATTGGGGTGGTGATGATGGTGATGATGATGATGATTATAGTTATGGTGGTGATGTTATTAGATGGATGTGTAATATATTAGGGTGAGATGGGGAGTATAAGGTTCAAGGGGAGAGGGGAAAGGGAAGGTTAAGTATTCTGACAAAGAGGGGGATCAGATGTTAATTAATGGTTGGTAATATGGAATAAGACCCGAGGTTAAATTACTTTATAGTCTACATATCTTCTTCATGATTAGTATAGTTGCTCAAATGGTTCATGTTCATCAAGATGAAGAAGATCAGTTGGGAAGCAAACGAAGAAAAGGATCCATCCGGCTTGGCTCCATGACGCAAGAGCCCAACTTTGTTTTCCGACTTTCTGCTTCTTTGGCCAAACTTTACTTTTTCTCCTGTTTGTCCCTCCAACTGCTGCGTCACTCATTCTTGTTCTTCTTTCTCTACTTCTTACTTCTCCTTCATCTCCGGCCTGCATCCGAGCTGCATCCTTAATTCCCTCTCCTGCATTCTCCCTCCCCTCCTTGCTCGTCTCCCCTCGCTAATCTCGCCGCCCTCCTTTCCTTTCCCTATCTCCGCCTCTCGTTCGCTTCCCCGTTGCTTTGCTGCCTTTTCCTTCGTGCCCATATCAATAAACACTTTTCGATCTTCACATACCAACGCCTGTTCGTTGCTATTCTCTTTCCATTCATCTCGCATCCACGACGTTTACGATTTACAATAATCTACAATTAATTGCAACTTCCTCTCCCTCCGGCCTCGGGCATCGCCTGAGCCATGTTCCGCAGAAAGAGGAGCTCCTCTCAGCATCAGGTGAGTCTCCTATTCCGCCGGTCCTCTTGACCTTCATCATCCCCATTGACACGCCCAGCATCCCCTCTCTGCCTCCTCCTCACAATCCGCCCAATCCGCCGCAAGCCATGCCTTCCTCAAATCTCAACCCTCCTCCAGCAGCCTGTCCTCCGCCGCCGCTGCCGCCGCCCTCCGCAGTCTCACGCCGACCCCGACCTCTGTCGAAAATGTCCAAACAAAGCGCATGATGCAGCGGAGGGCCTCGGTCTCGTCCCAGGCAAGCGGCGTACCCAGTCTGCGTCCAACGAGTCGGAATGGCCTTCGTCGCGCCAATAGTTCGGCTTCCATGTCCACCCGTACATTCCGCGACCAGTCACCGCGACGCCCGGCCTCCAGTTCCGGTCCAGTCGAGGTTGCGCCGCCACTTCCTTCCATCCCTCAAGTATACTCCGCACGAAATAGTAATGTCCATCGTTCGGCCAGTGTCGGGCCGTCGCAGCGACCCAGCCCTCGCGGGAAGACGCCGGCAGGACGAGGCATGAGCGTTGATCGCGGTTTGGCTACCCAGCCCGCTATGCGCGCGCCAGGGTCGACCCAGTCTCCCGAGCTTCGACGACCAACAAGTCGGAATTCCGTCAATTTCTCCTATCCGATGAACTCTAGGCCAAACTCCCCGGACGGGTCCATTAATGCATTGGATAGGCGCGATGCTTCCGCGAGCATCTCACTTGCAGGTCAGCTCTCCTCGCCCGAATCTCCCAAAGTCAAGAATGCCAGTCCTCGATCGGTCCGAGCGACGAAGAGCATGGGCATGTCCCCGGGCAGCCCTGGTCGTGGTGCACAGTCCTCCGGCACTGCAGTAGCCGCTGCGCAGGCTGCGGTGGTGCCCCGGGTACAAGATGTCACTCACACCCAACCTCCGGTTTCTACGGCCCCTCGCATCGCTGCCCCTCGCGAGCAGACAGTCCCCGACCAGGCCCCTAGTCAGCCTGCTGCTCCCCCAGAACACAAGCAGCCAGTCCGCCCGCATATAGTAAAACGACCTTCCACAGTACCTGAGGATGCCCAGGGCGAGGAACGTGCCGAGTCAACTCTTCCTAAACAGCGGCCTGTTCCACCCCGAGGCGGCAGTGTGACTCCCGATACACAACCAACGGTCGCATTCCCACCCACACCCGATAGAAGCAAGGATCAATTACTTAGCCCGCCTATAAGTCCCAAGCTGCCCACACAACCCACTGAGACTGGCCAGGATAGCCAGCCGTTAGACATTCGCCAGTCAGGTAGTCCGGGCAGATCTGCGCACTTTTCCCGTCACTTGCTGGTGGCAGCCTTTGCCGGCGAGCAGCTGCACCAACCTCCCCCTCGGTCCCTGTCACCTGCCAAGTCAGCCATGAAGACTCCGCGCAAGATCTCACTTTCTCCGGAGGGGCGGACTGAATCCGTTCTCCGGCCGGGACCACCGCTGAGCGAGCTATCTGATGGGACCTCGGCAGCCTCCGACGAAGGGTCCAAACCAGGAAACCGGAGGAAGCCAATTAAGGTCAGTTTCGATGACGAGGCGGAGGTGGTAGGGGTTGCTGCAAGTCCACCAACATCGCCGGAGGAAACGCCTCCTGAGCCGCTGCACGAGAAGCCCAAACAAAAGACTCATTGGTTGGGCGGTAAGAAGAAACCAACGCCGCTGAATACTGAGTTTGACGAAGTGCTGAAGCCGCGGCGAGCTCTCCCATCTTTCGGCAGTATACGGGCCGGTCGGGATGGTGAGACGCAAGAGAAATCCGTGCCTGAGTTGAGCGACAACGAGTCAACAACGTCGTCGGACTCGCCTGCGGAAGCACTGAAGTGGTCTTTCTCCAATGACCACGCTATTGGGGGCCTTCTGACCGAAAGTCAATCGAAGGAAGCAGAGCCCCGCGTGGCGCCGCTCATGCTTGCGAATGCAGCCGAAAGCGAATCCGAGGCAGAGAAATCGCCACAGGAGAGTCATTTTGCTAGTCAAACGAATCAGCCAGAAGTTCCTACAGGGACTGTTGATGTTTCTTCTCATGCTGGGCAGGAGCGTACCGCGGAGACGACTTTGTCAGTACCCAATATTATGGTCCAGCCGGCGTCTCCCATGCTTGAGAAGGAGCGTCGGAGTCTCGAGTGGTATGAGGTTCCTGGGGGTTTCCCTCGCTCGTCGTTGGAGTTCGAGTCCAAAGCCCATGGTAAAATGAAGGCGAAGGAGAATTCCACGGACGCTACCAACAATGCCACCATAGGCCCTGCCGATGACGAAAGCGGTGACGAGTCGGGCGACAGTATCTATAGTGATGCTGAGGAAGGAACCGAAGGCAACGGCTTCGGGTCGATCAACGCCATCGTGGACGATGAAACAGCTGCTACTTCGGCTCCCAAGAGCGCAACCAAGATACCTGCAGAGACTGGTGGCACAGGGCGGTCTCACTCACCGTCTACCGACTGGCCAGATATACCTCAAACATGTCAGATTGCACGCACGGTGACTACGTTCCCGGATAAGGTTATGGAGCCGATCCCAGAATCCCCCGGATTTTCCCACGAGCCTCTTCCGTTTTCGTCACCTTATCCCCCGTTTCCGATCGAGCCGAAGAACAGACGAAGCTCTTCTCAAGCCGACATTTCACGTTCCTCCTCGGTCGCTGTTCGTCCAGCCAGGCATTCCATGCTGGTAGGAAGTAGCGACGCAATGCCTAGTAACAAGGCACCGCGCGCTGTGAATGGGTCAGCTGTAAATGGGCAGTTGGAATCCCAGCCTGAGCCACCTAGTGTGAGGCAGCGGCCTACTCCAGACAGTTCCCAGAGACAACCAGTTTCATGGAGCCCAGCTCTTGCCGACTCCCAAGACCTGAGCCGTACGCCGCGCATTAACGGCAAAACCTCGCCGGCGTCACCAAGACCGTTATCCAGCGGTAGTGATTCGTCCAGCAGCTTCAAGCGGGCTAGTCGACCGGCGCGCGCAGACTCCAACTACACCATGAGACGGACCATGCGAAGTACTCCGGGCCGCTTGGCCTCTAACAGAGCAACGTCCCCGCCAGTGGATACCCGCCCGGTGTCATCCGAATCTGGATTTGGCACCATGCGCACAACCTTACGGGCAAATGCTCCCAAACGTGAGAAGCCCTCGTTCTTCTCCAACAACAAGGCTCAAAAGTCCAAGCTCACAAAGGTGCCGGGCGGTGGTTTCGCCTCCCGGTTCCCTGACTCGGACTCGGACGATGAGGGGTACGAGGCCTGGAGGTCACGGCATCGGTACGAAGATTCCAGTGATGATGAACAGCGGAGCCCGAATGCCATGCGACCCGTCCGGGGCATTCCTCGTCGGCAGGGCACGCACGACGGCGATTCGACAGAACTGGAAGACAGCTCAGATGAGGACCATCGTGCACCCCCACTAGCCAATCCGCAGTCCCCAGCGAAGCCGAGCACATCTCGGGACCCTGCGCTAGCCGCTGTAGCTAAAAATCGCGGCATGACGGAGGAGGAGCTCGACGAATTCCTGCGCCAACCTAATCGTGGTCGGAAGCCTGGACTTCTCAAGCGTTTCAGCATTCGAAAGTCGAAGTCCCCTCTGGATAGAGGCCTAGTCAAGCCCGGGATAGACAGTCCCGTACGCAACGGAGGGCCTGCAGAGCGGCCCCGAGTGGATCAAGAGCAAGCACGAGGGGAATCTCCCTTTCCCGGGGCCGAGTCGAATATTGTGACGACCATCACGGCGACTAATCCCGCCCCACCCCCGTCCAAGCTGCTTCGCAGGCCTTCGCAGCGGTCCTCCCGCAGCGACAACTGGCCATTGCGCTCCGATCGGAAGGAGAGTCGGACAGGTTCACCCCTTCCTGCGAATGGCCCTGCAGAGCGACTAGCCACCGTCGATGAAACTCCTCGGAACGGCAGTACGGTTGTTTCACCTTCTCAGGGATCTGTCAAAGAGAACGTGAATCCTTCGACTGGCGTGACTGCGGACAAGAGTGAGGGACGGCCGACCAACGTGGCGGACGTACCGATCTCATCTTCAGGACGCAAAAAACGATTTCCCCGACTCCGGAAGGCGTTTGGCCTGCGCGATTGAAGTGAAGCGAACCTTCTCTTCTCATATATATACATACGATCTAATACCTGGTCTTGCTATCTTCATCCTGTCATTTTCTTCTCTTCCGTGTCTCTGTTGAAAATATGTGTTGTAATAGCTTGTTGATTTGTTACGATCTGACCTAATTCATGATCATGGCGACTGCCAGCCATCGCAGATGATGTCTGGGGATGGGCGATGGGCAGCGACAACGGCGCAATAGAAAGCAAGAAACATCAGGGCAGATAGGTTGATAAGGCCTGACGAGGATACGGACTACTCGGCGCTCAGAGATGGGGTATTGTTTGAACATTTGGGATTTCATTTTGGACTTGATTGATACCCTCGTTTAGGTTGCCATTCCGGCCGAGCGGTCGAGAAGAGGTGACAGGCCATGGCCGATAACTTACATAATCAATATTTATATGAGATCTACACTACGTTTTGGCTCATATTCTCTCGCATTGTTGTCCTTGTTGTAGATTTGCATCTTTCTTCTGTTTGACTTGCAAAGTGGTGACCGGGGAGGGGGAAAAAGCAGGTGGGGAGTCAGCATGTGAGAGGTCCTTCTGCAGATTATTGTCCGAGGACTGTAACCTTGTGTACAACACGAGTAATCGATGCGGCAGATTATTCGGACGCGTCCTCCACGGCGATGGCGGGCACAACACTACGGAGCTCCCGGTTCACCCAGGAAGCGACCGGAGATGAGCAGTCACAGAGCAAACAGGCTAGGCAGCAATGGCCTCGAACCGACCGGGTATTAGTTTCCCGCTGGGAGCGCCTAGACCCATATGTTGCATCCAGCCGAGGAAGCTCAGAGCAACGAACTGGAGCTGGGATCAGGCAGGGTCAAGGAAAATCGGCAGGCTGGCGCCCGCCCGAGCCCATCAACTGCACATACGATCAAGCCGAGCGAGAGGCTGGTCAAGCACGGACGAATGGCTGGGAATTGAGACACTCAGAGCTTGGCCGGAGTGGAGACGAGAAGTGAGACCGGCTGGGGAGCAACGAAGCTCGATTCGCCAATGGCGGGACAACACGATGAGCACGGCGCACAGCTGCAGCAAGCCGTGCTGGGCGAAGAGCAAGCTGGATGGTCGATGGGGGAAGCTCCAGGCGAGTCAGCTCCACGCATCGGGATTAATCGAGAGGAAGAAGAGGAGGTGGCAAAAAAGAGAAGAGAGAGAGATGAATTGACTCTCTAACCTTCATGGTTTCTCAGGGAACCGGCACCGAAGAGATGGGGTTTGCGGTTTCTGAATAATGAACGAAGAGCAGCAATATCGGCAAGGAAAAGCATTGGGCGACGATCGGTTGGAGCTCAGCGGGATCCAGATTGTCCGATCGAGGTTGTTGCCATGGGGACTCGGCTGGGGGCGGCTGGCCAGCCTCGTGGGTGATGAGATTAATATGGTGTGAATGCGAAATGAACCCAGCTGCATGTGAAGGATGTGGTGCCGAGTGGAGACAAACTAACTGTAGTACTACTTGCGTTACGGGCGATGCGTTGGAGTCAGTGGAAAATGGAGCTATCGATCAAACCACTGTGATCGGTCTCAACGATGGCGTCAATGCGAGTCTGAAAGGGACCCTACAAATAGCCAGCAATTGGAACACGCGGGCGGGAACCGTGGATGGGATCAAGCGCCGACCGTGGATGGAGAGGAGATTAGGAACCTCGGGATAAACCTCCCCCCATCATTAGATTGTACATCCCGCAGGAGGCTGGAAGGGGCGGAGGGGGCAGGGCAGGATGATTAATCCAGTAGATACCAGATAACTAGTCAGTCACGGTTCTACTGTAGATACGGGAGAGTGAGTCGTGAGTAGAGTTTGGAGAGCTGAAGCACCCAGTGGACTGTAAACATGGCCCCAATCCGGCAAGGCGCGGTAAACAAACGCGTATCTCCAGCTACTTCAACACCGTCTTTTCCTCCTCGTCATCAAGCTGTTCTCTTCTCTCTCTCCTCCTTCTCTTTCTATCCTTATCCCCCTCTCTCTCCACCTTCTACTTCTTCCATTCCATTCTTTTCCCCCCCTTTCTTTCTTAAGCTTAAGCTTATCTTACATTCCTCTACCCCAGGAATTCTCCGCTTGATTTGAGATCGATCACAAAGTATCGTCTCAATCTCAACCCCACGTACTCCCCCGACAAAAAGACTTCTTCTTCCCCGTAACAAGTCTTTTCTTGTCTCGTCTTTCGAGTTGTTGCCCAACAGTTCGAAAGGCATTCGAGAAGAGACGCCCGAAGGACAGCCAATCTGGACTTCGACGCCCGCGTCCCCATCCCCTTCAGTGTCTTCCCGTCGTCGTACCGGAGTGACGCTGTTCCTGAAGCTACTCTCGCGGCGCCTGCCAGAGTAGAGGAAGAAGTCAATCTCGATCGCACTTCGCACGTCGAACGGGAAGATACTCGAACCTCTGCTCCTCTCCCGGACCCCCGTGTCTACGGAAAGGAAGAAGTCGACCTTCACGCTTCTTCTGCTTCAGCTTTTGTCGAACAGGATCGTTACGGTCCTAGACCCGGTGCTCCTTCTGCTTTCCGTGAGGAGGACCTGACTACTACCGTCAATACTGTTCGATTCGACGAGCGTGTTGAGACTATTCCCCCCGTTGGTGCTGCTGCTTCCTCTGCTGCTCCTCGGTATCCCCAAGTTGATCTAGCGCGTGAACGGTAAGCCACTATTTTTATTGGATTTTTCCCACTTTTTTTTTCTTTTTCTTTATTTACATGTGTATTATTTTTGGTTTGTTTTCTCTTTCTGTTACTGTTTTTGTTTTGTTTTTTCCCGGTGGCTGCCTGGCTGGGGCATAGGATTGGCACGGGGCACCACATCCACTCCAGCCTAAGTGGAGAGCGACAAGAAGCGGTGTCTGGCCGTGGCTTCACTACTAGTCGCGTCCTCCACTTCCTTCTTACGTGGCACCAAAACAAACAAGCCTCTCTTCCCCAACCCTCTTCTCATTTCCTCTTCTACTTCCTCTTGCTTTCCTGTTTTCCTCTTTTCCTTTCCCTTTTTCCTATTTCTTCCCACCCCATCCATTGCATTCCCACCCACTTGTGGTCCCAGCTTAAGCTTCCCCTTCCCACATACCACCCTCCCATCAAAAGTATTAAGTCCTGTTCCACCCAATCATCACACGTTCCCCTCAATCATACCCCAACCCTACTATACATCACATCCCCTTGCCTGCTTGTGTGCTTGCGTGCTTGCTGTTTGTCTACCTACCTATTACCCCATTGGACCTCCACCCGCCCTTCATACATGACCATTGCATTAGTTCCTCTTCTCTGACGCACCCATAGTTATCGTGAACCGTCGGTCCGTTTCCAAGACCGTCAACCCACCTACGATCAGGCTCTCCAGAACCAGCTTGACATCACTGAGCGCGAGTATCGTCGTCGGGTAAATAATCCTACCTACGACGTTCCTGCCTCTTCGTACGACCGCCGCTCTCAAGCTTCGGTAGATTCCTTCTCTGGTCCTCGCCAGCAGTCTAGGGACGTTTCGTACGACCGCCAGTTCAAGCAGTCCGAGTTTGACGTCTCGTACGACCGTGCTTACCAGTCTAAGCCTGTCGACTCCTACCCCCGCGACCCCTACAGCCGCCGTCAACAGAACGTTGAGCCGGTTCCCGAGTCTCCTAGCAGCTCGAACTCTGTGAAGGTTCTCAAGACCAAGACTGTCATTGATTCCCCTCCTTCTCGCAAGATGGGTTACTACGACGACGACGGTAACTATCACTCCTTCCGTCGTGGTGTGGAGCGCGCTGCCGACCGCATCATGCACCCTCACGGTCACCACGACCGCCAGGACGTAGTCGTCGCTGACGAAGGCGGTCCAGTTCGTTTCCGTGAAGGCGTCCGCGAGGATGTCCGTATCGTTGAGCCCCGTGCCGGTGGCAGCTCCTCGACCGCCGAGACCGTGCCGATCCCCTGCCACTTCATCCGCATCGGCGACATCCTGATCCTTCAGGGCCGTCCCTGCCAGGTGATCCGCATCTCGGTCTCCCCCCAGACCGGCCAGCACCGCTACCTGGGTGTCGACCTGTTCACCCGTGAACTCCAGGAGGAGTCCAGCTTCGTCTCCAACCCCTCTCCTTCCGTCGTGGTCCAGACCATGCTCGGCCCTGTCTACAAGACCTACCGCATCCTGGACCTCCGTGATGACGGCCGCCTGGTCGCCATGACCGAGACCGGTGATGTCAAGCAGGGTCTGCCCGTGGTGCCCCAGGGTCACCTGTTCCGCCGCATCCGCGAGGCCTTCGAGGATGGCCGTGGCAGCGTCCGCGCCCTGGTCATCAACGATGGTGGTCGCGAGCTGGTCGTCGACTACAAGGTGGTCCACGCTTCCCGCCTGTAAGCCCACAACATCCACCTTCCCCATTCGGTTTAGCTCCCGTGTTGTACCCGCTGGTTTGTTCCGCCGGGTATGATCCACGGGATACCTTCCCGAATAAGGTTGCCGGGCAACTGGGTGAGAAACTTTTCTCGACGATCCTTATGACATGACCTGACCTCGAGCTTTTTGTATCTGATGGATTATGCAATGATGGAATGGCCCCTTGAAAATGATGTATTGGCATGGCCTTGTTGTACTTAGGATAATGGATGTAGCTTATGCTGTTTGTATACATGATTTCAGTAAGCTTAATGTAGTTGGCACATTCCGCTGCAGCTTATATTTGGCACACATTCAAGAACAGAAAGTAACTCTCACTGATACTCTACCAGCAGATGTCATTTTACTCTTTCACGATGACACTGTAATCCCATTTATCCTCTTTGTCTCAAATCCCATGATGCCAAATCACACCCCGGTCACTCCATGCACCCTCCTACACCTTATATATTGTGCGTCCCCTCTCACAATTACATAGCAGTTGCAAATAACAGCGCAATATATCGATTGCCACTAATACTACTCCATAGATATGTTGATAAACTGATTAGTATATTTTGTGTAGGGGCAGGTGTTTGTATTAGGTAGAGTGCAAAGAAGTAGTAGGTCACGGATATGTGTGGATATATATCCCGATCATACGACGTCATCGTATCTCAAATTAGAACTCTACTTATTTGGTAATATATCATGAACAAACAAACCACTTTAATATGTCCAAGAGAACTAACCCTACTGGCTACGACCTGTCCCTGAAGAATCTTAATCTAAATTAGCTCGCTGCTCCTTCCATGGCGTCTGCAACCACCCGTGCGGAGCTTAAACCTGTCTGGGTAAATATCTCGTCATACTACTATACCCCTCGTTCAAGCAACAGCATATTTATTGTCCATAAGCCACAAGTTACCTCTCAAACTTATCAATCAACTATCCAACTCAAAATGTATATCTCTATAATCCCGCTGCTACCATTCCTCGTAGCCAGCCATGTCAACGGCCTGGCCCACGATTCCGGAGTATACGGGCCCTCGCTGGAGCTTATTCACCAATACTATGACCAGTTTCCCACCGGCATCGCTGTATCCTCCACGGGGCGCATGTTCTCCTGCTACCCTCTGGGTCTAGACGCCAACAACACCCGCTACCAGGTAGCTGAGCTTACGGACTCGACGACCGAAGTGCCGTATCCTTCTGCGGAGTTTAACTATCCTCCTGGTGGGGCTGTTAATTATTCTACTTCTCCGGCAGTTAGTCTCCTCCCTACCAGTAATACTACATGTCTGTCTATTATTGATACGTCCTAGACAACGGTCAACTACGCAGACCATCTCATCAGCGTCCAAAGCGTAGTGGTCGACGCCAAAGACCGTCTCTGGATCCTTGACACTGGCCGCGCTACCACGGCGAACAACACCCTCCTGCTATCTTCATATGGTGGTCCAAAACTAGTCGGAGTAGACCTGGCCACGAATAAAGTGTTCAAGACCATTCTCTTCCCCAGGGATGCAGTCTACCCAGACTCTGTATGCCGCCTTCTTTCCTATCAGATTACCACTACGTATCTAACCGAAGAATGAATAATAGTACCCCAACGACGTCCGCTTCGACCTCCGCCCCACCCTCCCCAACACCTCCGGCCACGGCATCGCCTACCTAACCGACTCCAGTCCAGAGGGCCGCAACGGCCTGATCGTTGTTGACCTCGGTACCGGCAAAGCCTGGCGGCAGCTGGACGGGCTATCTATAACGAAAGCAGAGCCCGACTTCCGCGCCTTCATCTGGGGCGACGTTGTCGATGTCTCCACTGGAACCGATGGAATTGCGCTCTCCGCTGATGGTGAGACGCTCTACTTTGGTGTTGTCAGTGGACGGGACATTTACTCTGTCCCTACTGCTGTCTTGCGGGATAATTCTTCTGAGGGACGGGCCAAGGCTGTAAAGAGCGTGACCAAGATAGTTCAGAAGGGCGTGAGTGATGGGTATGAGACCGACTCAGCGGGACGGATATACGTGGGAAGCTTCGAGTCGAATGCGATTAATGTGGTGTATCCTGGGAATGGCAGCGTGGAGACCTTTGTGAGGGATCCGAGGATGGGGTGGACGGATACGATGAGTGTGGTTAGTTTTGGGGGGAATGGGACGGAGGAGAAGGGATACTTGTATTTCACGGAGAATCAGCTGTGGAGGCAGGAGAAGGAGAGGCCGTTTGGGCTGTTTCGGGTGGAGTTGCCGGGTGGTGCTGGGAAGGTAGTTCTGTAGTAGGTAGTTCGGTAGGTAAATATTATGCTATGAATGCTCGGTCTCTGGAGAAATAAGTCCGGAGTAGCGGTATAGAATGGAACATCTCATGATAACGGTGTATGGAGTAGAGACTCGGTTTCTGGGGATAAGTCCGGAGGTATATGTAATGGGGAGATTTTCATGATGATGGTGTGTGAAGGTATTCAGCCATGGAGATAGGGATGGTATCTGCGGCTTCCAAAACCCTAAGTCCGGACATCCGCGGAGACAGTTATCACCGAGTGCAGCTACTATCCCAACCTTTGATATAATATACTACATAACCAAGATTCGTATATCCTCAAACTATAAAAGGTCTGAAAGAGCCACCTCATACAATACCTCATCACTCACATTTCCACCATCCTCATTCACAGTCACCACCCTACTACGAATCCACCACCTCTTATACTAAGAGTATACAACAACAATGTCCTCACCCACCACCACCATTCCCCCATCACCAACCAAAAAATCCCCCCTCTCCCACCACCGCCACCTCTCCCCCACCTCCTCCATCCGGATCTCCCCCCTCCAACTCGGCGGCATGTCCCTCGGCACCACCTGGAGCGACCGTCTCGGCGCGGTCCCCAAATCCTCCGCCTTCTCCCTTCTCGACAGATTCTACGCCCTAGGCGGCAACTTCATCGACACCGCGAACGCCTACCAAGCAGGGCAATCGGAGGAATGGATCGGCGAATGGATGGCGACGCGGTCTCCCACCCGTCGCTCGGAGATGGTCATCGCAACGAAATACACCCTCTCCCCTATCCCCCCACCACCATCACCACCATCCACAAAGGACCAAGATGTTCCTCCCCCAATCCAACAAAGTAACTTCGGCGGCAACGGCACCAAATCCATGCGCGTCTCGATCGACGACTCCCTCCGCAGACTGCAAACCACCTACATCGATGTGTTCTACGTGCACGCGTGGGATTACTCCACGAACGTGGAGGAGTTGATGCAATCGCTCAACCATCTCGTGGCGCAGGGGAAGGTGCTCTACCTGGGGATTAGCGATGCGCCGGCGTGGGTGGTTAGTAAGGCGAATATGTATGCGAGGGTGCATGGGCTCCGCGGGTTCAGTGTTTATCAGGGACGGTATGGCGCTACGTGTAGGGATTTGGAGAGGGAGGTTATTCCAATGTGTAGGGATGAGGGGATGGGGGTTTGTGTTTGGGGGGTGCTGGGGAATGGTATGCCTCCTTAGTATCTTCCTTCTTCTTTTGGTTTCATCTTGGTGAATGTGGTTGTTGGGTTTGCTAATTGTATATGTGCTGGATAGGATACATCCGCTCCCCCAACAAGGAATCTGCTTCGAAGAGAGTTCGAAACGTCTCCCACCTACTTACCGGCTACGAAGAGCAGGTTTCGTTGGTGTTGGATACCGTTGCAAAACGTCATGGGGAGGGAGTTTCTGTGACGAGCGTGGCTATTGCCTACGTGTTGCAGAAAACACCCTACCTTTTCCCCATTATTGGCGGACGGACGGTCGAGCAGCTTGAGGAGAATGTGCAGGCGTTGAGTCTGGAACTTACTGCGGAAGATGTGAAGGATATCGATGCTGCGTATCCATTTGATGTGGGGTTCCCGCATAGTTTTCTCTGTCCCGGGGGGTATCGTGATGGTGGGGGTAGTCCGGGACCTCAGGATGTGGCGTTTTCGAGGACGATGGGGGAGTTTGATTATGTTGAGGGGGCGAGGGCGATTAGGGCGGTTAGGGGGTGAATATGACTATATTGGGGGGGGGGGAGGTTTGGGTTGAGTGTATGTAGTTGATGGGGAATGGACTTGTTTAGTAGGTGTGTGGCTTGGTTGTTTCCTTAGTCATGTTGTTGTGATCTTATGTTATAGGTAGTTTGTTTCTCAGGGATTAGCAGAATGGTATTATACTATCCACAGCAATGAACATTAACCGTATGTGAAAAATGAAGCCATATGCAGAACCATAACAGGTGATCAGCTGCATATGGCATATACGCACGCCTGAACTCCAACCGACATCAAACATATCCAATTCACGCCTCAACCAAGCAAATCGACTAGATGAGCAGGGTACTTCCATAAGACTCGTAACGCCGACTGTCCTCAAGATGCTCCAGAAGCCATAATATACATGTCCACACTTTCAGAAGAGACGAACCGGGTATCGTGCGTAGCAAAAACTCCGAGCCAGCAGTTGCCAAAGAAGAAACGGATCTGCTGTAGCTCCGTCACCGTTCCCCAAACTTGCCATACTCCTGCTGCCACTTCAAGAGATGACGAGTCAACACATCCATCATCTCCACGCTGCTGAGGTCCTTGAAATCCTTCTCTGCAGCGGGTTGCGCCATTGAACCGCCTTCCAGGCCGGCGCTCTCGATAGCACTGGAGAGAAGTTGATTCTCGCTCAGAAGTCGGGTGATCCCGTTCGGGCGGTCATCATTACCCGGCGGGGTGGTGCTCTCCCCCGCGACAGCCATTTCCACCTGCATACGTGAAATGAACTCCAAGATCGCCGTCACCCGTCGCTTCATCTCGTTCATGGTAGTTCGTTGGTTCACGTAGCGGGGCCGGCTGGGCTTGCCCGATTCACTGCTGTTGATGTGTGTCCCGTTGACACCCACCCGCGGCGAATCCCCTCCTAGATCATGCGACTGTCCACGCCGCGGCGACCGTGTTGTTGAGTCGGTGCCGTTGGTGTCACGATCGCGAGTATATTGATTCCGTCCGATGCGACCGCCACGGCGTGCAGGCGGGCGGCCGGATTTACGAGTGGACGGACGCGAAGGTGCAGCTTCCTGGGCAGGGGCCGGCGTTTCCTCCGGACTGGGCTGCTTCGGTTCGGGTTCGCTCGCATTAGGCTTGGTTGGGGATCCTGCTTCATGGTCGGACTCGGCGTCTTTGACAGTTAGCCTAATGATATGATTTGACAATAAGCAGCATCACTCACCATCGCCCTTCTGTCGCTCCGAACGGCTTTTCCTACGAGGTGGAGCCTCTGGCTGCTCCGCTTCAGGTTCTTCAGGTTCTTTGGTTTCCTTATCACGCTGGCTGCGTGAAGCAGCTCTCTGCCGCCGGACGCCATTGGTGGCAGGTTTCTTCGACTCATCCTCCGAGACAGGCTGTGAAGCAGGGTTACTTTTCGAAACGGCACCCGGCGAGGGAGAGCTCGTGCGCTGTCGCTTAGTCGCTTGTTTTTGCCTATTGTCGTGTTAGCGTGATCACCAGTACGACCAACGAGCAATGTTCAACGTACGCTTCACTGTCGCTGCGACTTCTCTTGGGCCTCCGGGCCGCAATATCATCACCAGCTGGTTTATTATCCTCCTTGCTCTCTTCGATGGCCCGCCGCAGCTGCTCTTCTTCATCATAAGCGGCATCACGGCTATTCATCGTTGACCGTCTCTTAGGATTGGTAGGATCATTGTGTCGTGGTTTCGGTTCCTTGGCGCGTCTGGATGTTTCCCGCGACGATTCTCGCGACGAGGGAGCAGTAGAAGGGGGAGGAGCGACAGGAAGGTACTGAGACGAATATGATCTGCGAGATCGTAAGCGAATATGCCACATGATGAGAAATATCAAATAACCAGAGACGACAACACAAGCGACCGGCTTGAAAATTCAACTCTGGCAGCAGGTACCGAGTGAGAACGAAAGAAAAGGATCAGCTTACCCATTTGTTTCGCTGATGATTTTATGGAGGTCTTTGCGACACTCTTCACAAAAGTACTCATCGGGGCTCATAGCCTCGTCCATAATCCCCACACAGCCACCATGCTGCCAGACTTTGCACGAATCACATTGAATGAACATGCTCCCGATCTCGTCTGGCAACAAGTCTGATGCGTCTGCGGTAAGATTGAATGCCTCATCTTTAATACCGGTACGCAAACCATTGCGCCGACTTAGATCACGTCGAGAAGGAGGCAGACCCGGGTACTCCTGTTGTCCACAGAGACACCGGGTAATCTCTTCCTCTTCGTCCTCTTCTTCCCCGTCATCGTCGTCACCATCCTCAAGTCTCATATGGTGATCATTATCCTCCTCCCCCCGAGCACGCTGTCGCTGGCGTGTTTCTCGAAAGTCACTTTTCGAGCCTGTGTCGGCATCGTCGATCGACTGGGACCGATTGGTGGAGGAACGCTGAGGGGAGGAGATCTTATGATTCGACCGGGTGCTTCTTTCGCGAGCCATGGAATTGGAGGAGCTGGAGGAGTTTGTATGCTGAAGAGTAGCTGGAGAGGGCTGGTTGCGTGCACGAGAGGAACGACGAGGCGTCATAATGGAGGGAAGTTATTAGCGGGGGAGAGGGCAGAGCGACCGAACTCTGACAATAAAACGGTCGTAAGGTATGGAGGGGAGGGAGGTAAAATAGGATATGGGTTCAGAAAGAGAGTGGACAACGTCAAGGAGAAGAAACCTGCCCGTGAGCGAGCTGTCGCACACGGGTGGAGAGCTGAGGGAGTCGACCACGCCTCAGACAAGTGGTTAAGGATGACAAGAGATGCAGCAGAGGGAAAAAAGCCGGCAAGTCAAGGACAGAGGAATGCCAATTGGAACCAAAGGGGAAAAGACATCCAAGAACTGCGCCTGCGAGCTTGAACGAAGACCGAGGACTACATAGTCTGTGAAATTGCAGGAAAAGGGTTGGTGGGGAGGAGAAAAAGGAAGAGGAGGAGCGAGAAAGAGGGAAACGGACCCAGAATGAGAGCGTGAGTGACGGCCGGCCGCCGGAACGGGTTTTGAGCTGCGCGCCTTTGCGGTCAACGCGCATTGGCCGTTTCCCCGCTCTATTTCTCTCTCTTTCTCCCCTCTCTGTCTCTGCGCGCGCGCTGTTCTTATCGACCTTCACTCTTTCCGCAAGACTTATTGACGATACTTATGGGGTGACCCGTGTCTCACTAATGTGTACTCTAGTGAAGCCGTCCTCTCCTTTCTCATCCGCCAATAATGTCGATCGGTGATAAAGCTGAGCGGAATGCGATGATGACATTCATGCCAATACTGTCCTCCAAACCCCGCTCACCTCTCTGCGTTGCTTTGTGGCCAGTAACCCGGGATCATCGTCTTCCGTTTCGATATACATCTCTCTTTCATTCTATCTCAATCGTTGCCCCATTTCGACTGACGATGGCCCAAGCGACTGCTAGTACCCATCGCCACGGACATTACTGGGACAAGATCGGAAATTTGAGACCTTGCTGACTAACCCACACTGTGGCAGACTCGTGAGTCCACCATGGCGCCTACTATCATCCTTCATCTTCGTGTCGGTTAGAAAGGTTCTGGTTGATCCAGCTCAGCGATAGCGATTTCTTTGTTCCACCCCACTACTTCCGCGATCATACAGAGCCTACCAGACTACGCCGGGTGTTCGGGTGTGCCGTGCGGGTCAAGATACAGCTCACTATGAGCTGTTATGGGATCGGTTCACACAGTTTTTGTCATATGGCACGATAATCTGGGTATATTATGGCCTCTTCGAACAAGAGCTGGCTGAGGATATGATGAGTGCCACGGGCGAAAGCACGTGTAGTCACCGACAAGCGGATATTAAGAGAGGCATGGGATAGACTAATGGACCGAGGGACGCAAGGCATGTCGGAGCCTCCATATGCTCAACATTTGCAGTGTACCTGGACACGCCGACCAGAATATACATAGCTTAGTTAGGAGTTCTCAGGTCCTTGCAGGGAAGGAATAAAGGATGCGACACTGCAGGACAGGCTAGACACATTTGGGAGGAAAACTATTCCGCATCGTATGAGGAGAGCTGAACATGCGCGGTACCCCCCGAAAGAGATTGCCCGCGCACCGCGTCGTGTATGAACCACGATCGGAGGAGGAGAGACAGTAGTAACTCGACTTCGGAGTAGATAGTTGAGGCTTTGGGGCGCACTCTGGCCTAAACGGGACTAGCGGCACCACATGGAAGCCTTAGGCAGCCGTAGGTATCCGCTCGGCCCAGAAAGGAAAGCGGATTAGTTATGGGGAGTGACTTATTCATCTAATTATTATCCACGAGCCATTCGATTCCCACCCCTCCGCCATCTTCGTCCCCTGTTGCCTTCCCCTCTTCTGATTGCTAGTTTACTTGTTTAATTCCCCGGGATCGGCTATCGCTGCCCGTATATCTTTACACCCGTTTCTGCCCTTTTCCTCTGTCCCTCTTTTGCGTGGTCCGGGGTTGAACTGGTTTCGATTGTCGGTCCTTCCTTGCCGACACCTCGGGTTGAGTCGTCAAAAAGTCTGCGTGGGCGATATCGGTGCATGGTCTCCTACGTAAGTCCCTTGCTCTGTCCCGGGGATCCTACGAGTTCAACTCTGGCTGTTGAGACTGGCGGGGACCTTGGATGCCCTCGTGGCTGGTCTCCCTCCAAACTCTGTGTGGTTCCGGGTGCCAGCGTTGGGAACATGACAACTGACTTGTGGGTGCCAATTCAGTGCGGTCAAGGGTCATCTCCGTATTGCTCCTCCACCCCCCCTCCTCTTCCCTCCGTATCCACGCCGACCAGACGGAACTGGCTATAGAGTATCGTGTTGGAGATAGGTTGGCCATCGAGGAATCATAACCAAAATAATCGGAGGGAAGAGTTGTCTCTAAATTAAAGCAAAGGGAACCATCCGGGGAACTTGCCGGGTTGGGCTACAAGGAGGCAAACCACCATTCGGCTGTGGTTGTGGAGGTCGAGAGAGAGAGCCGAGAAACTGCCATCATGACTGCTACGCTGAGTATGTCTTTTACCAAGGATGTCTGTTCCTCCGGGGAAGTAGCGTCTGGCCTTGTTGGTGCGTACAATTGACGGGTTGTCCCCCGATGATGGATCCGCGAATTCCTGGGGCGGATCTAGAAATCAGGGTTCTGCTGGCTGCTCAGTTGCTGATACTGCTCACCTGCAGATGGGATGTTTAATTCGGCCCCAGATACACCGTCCCCTGTCTATCCGGATAGGCTCATCCGCCCTCTGCCCAAGCGTACCCTCCGCTCTCGCCTGTCCTCTGAAGCGGCCGACTCGATCCTCTTCCCACCGGCCCCTCCTGCCACTCAGCTGTTCTACGGAACCTCTGTGGACAGCGCAGACATAGTAAATGACACCAAAGTGTATGTGCAGCAGAGCGACGGTCGCGACCAAAGCCCTGAGCGTGACCATTTGCCGTATGAGAATGGGATGGAGCTGGAGAGCGGTGATGAGGATGGGCCCGTAGTTGTGCGTCGAAGTGCTGGTTTCCGCGGGTCGTCATTGTCCCCCTCTGCCGCCTCCAGTGCCCCTCCTCAGACGCTGCCCAGCAACAGTGAAGGGCCTCTAGTGAAGTCCTCCTCGGCGGGTCCCGATGGGTACGATGCGTTTGAGAACACCAACAACAAGAAGAAGCGCAAAATTCCTACACCAGGCAACCTCAGCAGTCACCACTCCACCCTCTCTCCAGAGTTCTCCAGCATGGGCCTCGCGACGTCTTTTCAGTCCCCTTCCACTGCTGGCGAAGGCAGCCATGTGAGTACCTTCTATGGCACGGGCAGCCCCGCGTCTCCGATCTCTAGCGGCATGTCCGGTGCGGGACGAGGTCGCCTTGGCCGCCAGCCGCAGCGTGGTAGCACGGGGAGGAACTCCTTATCGCTTCATTCTCCCATCAGTTGGCCTCGGACCCCTACGCGGCGCGATGGCCTGTTGTCGTCCCCGGGACCAGCAGGTATGTTTCTGTTGTGTGTCTGACCGAGTGTTCGGGCTTCGCTTACGCACGTTTAGGTGACTCCGCCCCGAAGCCAGACCAGGGCATAATCTCCGCCGCTATCGCAAATGCCGCCGCTTCAGCATTCTCCTCACCTCCTCCTGGACCCGGTCATGTCAGCATGCTCGAACGACAAACGCCTACGCCGACCAAGACTCAGTTCACCTTCACATGCGAGTCGGACTCGTCGAAGGGAATGGCCCTGCAGGCACAGAACTCTTACACTGCGCAGCATCGTTCACCCAGTGCTCTCACTGCAGCTGTCCAGAGCCAGCGGGGATATTCACAAGGCACCCAGACGATCCCAAATGCCACTTCGCAAGCCAACTCTTCAGGGGCATCTCAACAATCACAGCACTCGCAACCGCCGCAACTACAAAATGCTGGGACTGAGCCTGCAGCCACGGGGAGGAAGAAGAAGCGGTCTCCGGGTAGCCTCTATGCTCTGGCCGCGCGTCAACGCAAAATTCAGCAGCAGTATGCCAACCTTCACCACCCGCCCAGCATCGAGGACATCTGGATCTGCGAGTTCTGCGAGTACGAGAGCATCTTTGGCCACCCGCCTGAGGCTCTCATTCGCCAGTACGAGATCAAGGATCGCAAGGAACGGAAACGATTGGCGGAGAAGAAGCGGTTGCTCGAGAAGGCCAAGATGAAGGGCCGTAAGGGCAAGAAAGCGACTAAGAATGCCAGTAAGCACGCAGCGGCCCAGCACGCAGCCTATGACCAAGGATACGACCGAGCGTCCGTGGATCATTCTTCAACCGGAGGACCAGGGGTGCATGATGACGAGTATTTAGGCAACGAGTACGAGGACGAGGGGATCCCAACCCCACCTCCAGCGCCTCCAGGTACCGTCAAAAATGCACTACCACCAGGACATCCGCCCAAGCCAGCCGCAGCAGCAGGGTCGGGCGCTAAGAGTGCAGCGGACGGCGGGACAAGACCGCCCTGACAATGGAGCAACGGCTATCGAGCTAGCGAGCGGTGATAGGCCGTTGTTCACTCTTCCTTTCGGTTTTCTCTTTGTCTGTTTTCGATTTAATGCATGCCTACTTTCTTCCACAACTATTAATTTTTTCTTTTATTTCTTTTCCATTGCATGATTGTGTTAGCCTTCTGCTTTTCTTTTTGCCCATTACTTGCATGAATGAATCCCCGCTCCGGTCGATGAATGTCACGTCAGCGTCACACATGAATATTTCAGGTTCAGGTTGGAATTGTTGAGCAGCATCAATGCATATTGGAGAATATGATTGGAGGAGAGACGGATGGACGGACAGATGAGATTCAGGTGTGTTCGAGGTCTCGGTGTTATGCATGCAGAGAGAACATGGATGGATGGATGGATGGATGCGATGGAACTAATTGGTGATACTATTTCAGTCCGTAGCGCTAATGTAGATCAGATCCCACGATGAGAGACGGGATGAGAGAGAAAGAAAGAAAGAAAGGAATCCATGTTCTGCTCTGTTGAAGATTGATCGTTCCACTAGCCGCCAAGCGTAACCCCAAACCTCCCTGCCGACCAACCCCGTTCCAGACTTCTAAACTCCAAGAAGGGCACGGCGCTTCGCCCACCAACCATACACACCACTTCCCCCATGATCAACATATTTGCCGTCCCTCTGCAGCCCTGAAACCATGATTGCATGAACTGGCGCGCGCCCTACACAGCTGTCAATCAGTTACCCAGTTTCTAAAAGTAAAGTATACAGTTTACCGCCGACGGGCATGGCAGTTTCAGCCCATCGACACGAACCAAGCTTGTGAGTGTGTAATTGGATGGGTTAGGTTCTGCTGAAGATGTTGATGATGATAAAAATAGATGTTCTGGGTGTCTTGGTATTGGGTTGATGGTTATATAAAGAGAGTGCAGAAGGGATGGGATTGTTTGGATAGCAGCAGAAAGCATTCTTTATTCTTTATTCATCACCCTCTATAAGTGTCAGTTCTAAGTTCTTTCTTTGAGAATCTCCTTTGTTTAGACAGTGTCTATTGTTTCGACGTGAACGATCACTACTTACTACTATCTACTACTATTGCCAATTTTCCTCTCTCTTTGATTGACCACCTTTCTAATACTACCATTACTACGTGCTGCGCACTACTCGATACATATTTATCGTGATTGATCGTGATATTATCTTGCGCTGGCGCAATAATCTCCCATCTCGATACATACACACACATACATACATACACATCTCTCCCTCCCTACCAAACAACCACAAAGCACCACCACCACACCCCAAAACAAAAACACCAAAATGTACCTCCTCGCCTTCCGCCTCATCCGACGCATCTTCTCCAAATCCAAAAAATCCAACAACCAAGACCCCTCCGGCATCAACCTCGACTACCCACCGCCCCCCGCCTCCAACATCCCCCGCCGACCCCGTCTAAAGCACTACACAGAGCTCTTCCTCCACATCCTACAAGCCGTCTTCGGTCTAACCACCATAATCCTCTACGGGATCGACATCCACCACGCACACGAAAAGTCCGAGTCGGCAGATGCACGCTGGGTATACGCCATCGTGACGGGGATGATGGGGTGCGGGACGGCACTGTTCTACCTGGTTATGATGCATTGGGTGTTGAAGACGCGGACGCCGTTGGCGATGCGCGAGAGGTGGAATCTGCCGCTGTTTGTGTGGGAGGCGGTGTTGTGCGTGTTTTGGTTGACGCTGTTTGGCATCTTTGGGAAGTTGTATATTGGGGATTATGAGGATAGTAGTATGGTGACGAGGATGAGGCGTGCGGTCTGGGTGGATTTGGTGGATTTGGTGCTCTGGGTGGGGACGGCGTTGTGGAAGGGGATGAGGTGGTGGAGGGGGCAGAGGGGGGTGTTTGGGGTTGATGGCGTGGAGGAGAAGGAGGGGGTTTAGGTGGGTTTGGGTTGGAATTGGGTTCGTTGGGGGGAAGGCAAAGGGAATGAGATGGGAGGAATGTGAGAGAAGAGGAACAGATGGGTTATGAGATTGGTGGGAGGATTGTTGGATAATTATTGTATTTTGTATTAAGCACTGAGTGCATGCGTCGACGCATGAGTAATGTCTTGAAATCTTAAAAGATGGCCTTGTATCGCATATTGCATCTTTCTTTCTGATCGAGCTGTCATGTCAGTACTCGTTTTCTCTTATTCAACTACTCTCTAATCTCTTCAATGGGCTCTTCTGTCTCTTGCTGATCCTCTTCTCCCCCCTGCTGTCGACTCTGCTCGATCATCGCACTAAGCTGGCTTTGTCTGCGTGGCATTGAAAAATTGGTCAACACTGGGGACACTTCCTCATCCGTACTGCCCTGACTGTCAGTTGCAAACGAGTCATCATGGTTGGAAGGCCGCTGGGAAGAAACGGCAGAGCTTGGAGCCGTGGACGCCTTTCCGTGTGAGTCCCCAAACCGGGATGGGGATGGTGTGGCATTAGTGACGGTGCTGCTGGATTCAGCTCGTATTGGTTTGAGTGGTATCGTCTTGGGTTCGGTCTCTGGCTCAGGTGTTCCTAAAGAAGAAACAAGGACTTGTTCCTGGCGTACTCGATCTGAGAATCGCTTTCGGAAGTTCTTGTCGACAAGTTTCATGCTAGATGGTTGCTCGTAGTTCTCCGCCGACAGATATCGTGCATCATAGCGGCGACATCCAGTAGCTGAGAAGAAGTTGGGTTCAGGTAGGGAAGGTTCGACTGCATAAAATGCTCTGCGACTTGGAGGTGGCGGCCTAACATGTGCCTTCTCTGGCCGATCCGTGTCGAGAAGCTCTCTTAAATCAGATAAAAACAAATCTGGGAGTTTTGGGGGTCTTTCAACTTGTGCTTTTTCATCCTGGGCTGGATCGTTCTCGAGTATGTCGGCTGCAAAAAGGCCCTTGCCGGGAATTTCGGTCTTCGTATCTCTCAGGGATACGGCAAGGTCTGCACGAGATTCGCTATGGCTTCTTGTCAAAGGCTCCGTTTCATCCAGTTCATATGCACCAACGGTAGCCTTTGACGCACTGCCAAGTTCCTGAATTGGTGGGTTTGGGGTATATTCCAGAGTCAGCTGCGGTGAGTCTGGTGGTGGACTATGGACACGGGTAGAACTGGTACCAGACGCCTGCTGTGAGGACTTGCGCCGCATGATCACAGGCCGACGCTTGCTACTTTTTGCCTTGCTAGCCACAAAAACCGCTTTCTTTTGCGTCTGTCGGGGCGCAGTGTCTGCCATTGTAGGCACTGATGGAGGAACTGGTGTAGGGGGATTTGATGGTTTGCGAGTGGTACTCTGACCGTCAATATCTGTTAGGAGCAGACGAGTTGTTTTATGTGTTTCTCCGCTGGAACTTCCGTTTCTGGGCTTCTTGAGTATAGGGTGAAGTGGCGCCTTCCCGTTATTACCGGCAGGCCTCCCGGAGCCCCCTTCATGGTTTTCCTTGGATGACTGAGCTGTTTGAGCTGCTTTGGTCGCCTGTCAAAGTTAGCACAAGTTGGCATCGATGCCTACCTAGGCCGCGCATGAGCCTCGCAATATCCCTCACCTTGCTCAACTGCACCAAACTAAACGGGTTGGGCTCGGAAATACGTAAGAACAGACTGGCCAACGTAGTTCCCGGGAGGGTATGGTTCAGACAACGACTCCCCCATATCCTCCAGAAGAAGTTCTCCAGCCTGTATCCCACGTCGTCATCATGCGCTGATGGATTGGCACTGTAGACTATTGCGCTATGAGACACATTGGATTCGCGACAGGGGAAGGCGCAGAACAAACCCACCTTTCCAAAGCTGCACGACATCCCCAACATTCACCGGACCCACGCCATCCAGCTCCGTTGATACCTTTGTCGCCGTGGTCAGCAAGCCTTTGGGGAGACTTTCCATGGTGAGAGATGCCAAGGTCGCAGTCTAGCTCAAAAGTAAGTAAGGCCCCAACTCAGCTACATGATCAAAGGAACAACGAGACAGAAGGTTCGCATGTGAGAGAATGTTGAGGTCAGTACCAACAGCACTGCCCGGTAGATGCTGTCAGTGTTGCGTCTGGCGGTGAATTGAGGGGCAGGGTCGCCCGCCAAACGCAGGGAGGTGGGAGGAAAAGGGATCCTCCAGGAGGTAAAGTAATCGATCGCGATAAATGGCTGGTAAGAAGAGGGCAGGCCAGCGAAGAAGCGAGTCAGGGGAGATTCTGTTGTATTTGAAGAGGGCGTTGGTTGGTGGGCGGAACTGGGGGAGGGATCAGCTGCAAGGGCAGGAGCGAAGACACGCCGGAGATCTTCAACCTGCAGGGCTTAATAGTCGTTGAGGCAAAATATGGCCGCGTCCAGGTGACCCTGCCAGGCCCCATCCAGGCAACATCATCTCCCCTCTTCCCCCATTCATCCACTCGCTCCCCCCATTCCACTCATTCATTCATTCACTGGCGCCGCGCTGACTGCAGCCTGCAGGTCTGCATTCCCCAGGGGGAGGTAAAAGTTGACCTGTCCGTTTTGCTGCCTTACCCCGGAGCTTGCCGATGCTGCCCAGTGAATGGGAAACAAAAGAAACCATCCGAGACAGCACAGGCCATCATGAACAATAGTGCCCAAAATGGGTGGATCCCGCACCTCAAACTCAGTGAACTAGCTGTGGTACTGACCCAAAGCACAAATGAGTCGTCACAGAAAGATGGATCACACTGTTCGTAACCATGGTCATCAGCAGCCATCCAACCAGGACGGATGGAACCAGTGCTTGCCATTCATTCTTGTCGGATTTCCCAGCAAACATCACGACACCCGCTGTTAGCGCCCCCCGTGACCAACGGCATCCAAAAGAACTCCCAATTGGAGGCCCCCGATTGGCTTCGGGACCGATTCTCTCTCCCTCATACTCCGGGTTGCCATCGTTCAAGGGGCTACACTGGCAAGGATCCAGGAAGAAACAAACTGACGACCGACGATTTGTTGGACCCCCTATATATGACTAAGCTCTGCGCATGGGAGGGAACGCAAACATCGCAAAGAGGACACAGCGGCCAACTCGAGGACACCGCGTGGCCCGAATTCCCTGCAGGGACTGGCTCCAGGGTCTCTTTGTTCTACAACACCCGTTCCTACACGAGATGAAGTCAGCTTACCTCGCGCAATCTATGTACCACCACCAACATGCCGATTCACTTGTACTGGGTTCGCGCAGTGCTACCCTTGCGGATTCGAGGCAATGCTGAGAGCTCTTCCCGAAGGGATGAGAGTAATCCTCCTCTCGCGGTAAGCTGACAGCCACTCGGCGATGAATCTGCATTCTGATTCACACATATTCTCCGCTTTGGAGTCTCCGAGGAATGCAAGTCATCCCCACAGGCGCCAATGGGCTCGAACAAAGCATGGTTATTGGTCGTGATTCTGATTTGACGTATTACCAGGACTGACCAAGTCTCCCAATTTCGAACAGATCAATCTTCTCTACTCTCTTATGAAATCATATTGCGACCTATACTCTCCAGCAAGGTAGTATTGTCATAATTCCGCTCATGCTCCACGCAGATCAGACATTCCGATCACCTCAATTCCCCGATCTGACAACGATTGACATTGACCTCTTCAAAGATCCACCATTGAGAGAAGGGTTCCAGGACAAGCTCCAGAGTTGCGTCATCGAGTATCACGTCCACACAACGACGCCTTTAGTAATCGACGATCACCGTCCCCAAGCACTGGAAAACCTGTCACATATATTCTGTACATGACGTAGCATCACCACCTCAAGCCACAAAGCCAGTTCCATATAAGCTTAGCCCACATGCCACGAACAGGAATGCCCAGATTGTGAGGAATGGGTATTGCCCACTTTAAGGCTCGGGCCGTAAGAATTCAGTTCAATCTACAGGGATAATTTCTTGGTAACTCGCGGGGAAATCACAGCCGAAGATGAAGGTAGACCCCAGAATACACTTGGGGAGAAACAGTTTAGAACTCTACAAGTATCTGCTTCCACTGCAACACAGCATAATCCTTTCCAGTAAGACTCACTCCATCCAACCCTGTCTAAAATCCAGCCGAGACAGATAATCCACATGTCCAGCCGCCAGCGAAGCATACCGCCAGACATCAGGATACATATCCACCCTATCGGAGATCTGCAGACTTTGATTAGCGAATGTAAAAAGCACCTTCAACGGCACAGAATCTGCGTCCACCGAATCCTCGACGAGTCGCTGAAACAGGGCCGCTACATAGTCGATCTCTTCCCCTGTCATTGGGTCTTTCTCATATGCGGCTGTCCCGTCCAGGATGCAGATGACTTGTATATTTGGAGGAACCTGCAGAACGAGTCGTCTGAATAGCTCACAGAGCGCTTTTATGTTGTTGCTCTCGCAGGCGTTGATGAACCTTCTACCCAGAAATTGCAGGCTTGGCGTGGCAAGCTTGTCGCTGAAGAGAAGCTGGGTGATGAGACTTCGCATCATCCCTGTCGGGCCGCTGAGTTCGGGATCTTCTTGGTCGTCGTGTAGTGATGCGAAGAAGAATAAGGGTAGGCAGTCGGGACTGCTGATCAGGCTGTATATGAATGTTGAAACGAATATTGACATTGGAGTGACCATTATTGCTGGGTTAGTATCTAGACGGCCATCTACTAGGAGGAGTGATGATTGTGGGACCCGAAGCCATTCAGTAAACTCATCGGTTTTGGCAAGCCATCGCACACGGCCGAGGTCTGAAGATTTGAATCTACTGCCTTCTTGGAGGACGATCTCAAGGTCTTGGGCTGCGGTATGTGGTGAGACGCCCAATATCCCGAGCAGTTCGATTGGGGTGACTGTTGTAGATGTTGAGTCGCGAGAATTTGTGCTGCTGAGTGAGAGGGATGACTGAAGAGCTTCGTTTTCATGAGCCAGATCCGAGTAGGCTGGTCAGAGATAGTTAGCATCATCAAAGTATGATGCGCGTAGAGCGACCTTACCGCGTTGCAAGAGAAAGATTTGACCCTGTTGGACCTCATACTGCTCCCGAGACTCCTTACATAGAGCCTTAAACTCATATAGTAGCTCTGTCATAGCCTGTGCACCGGATTGCTCTTTTTGAAAGGCAAAGACCTCTCGATACTCAGCTCCAACCTGCTTCTTCACCTCAGTTACAAGGTCTTTGATGTCGCTGCGGGCTCCTTGAAGCTCAGTGTGAAGGGTCTGGATGTTGGTATTTGCTTCCAAGCCCAAGCGGTGCGATTCGCTGCTGTGGTAGGCCGTAGCAGCAGTGATCTTGACTTTCATGCGTTCCAGTCGCTCTTTGATGGTTACGAGATAACGGTTCCAGTCTGAGAGCACCTGGTCGACCGTGAGAGTCTCTCGGATCCTCAGGGTGAGGGACTCTGTGACCTTTCGGTACCCTGTTATCAAATCCGTGAGCTAAAGACCATGCCAAATGGAGGAATTATGAACCCACATGGCTGCCTCTTCAACAAAACATCCAGCAATCCTGGTAATGTCCTCACAAGGGTTCTACAAAACTCCCTACACAATTCCTCGTCATCCGCTGTGGGGTTCAAGTAGTTATAGGCCGTCTGGATTGTCAGAACAGTCTCGGGCACGGTCTCGAAGGCTTCCAAGATTTTGGCCCGGTTCTCTACTCCTCGTTTCGCAGTCTAAGAATCAATGTCAGCGAAAGCAGTCTGCCGCCAATACAACAAAAAGTTACCTCGAATACGAGTCCCAACACCCCCTTGACAACACTCAGTCCGTATTCGTCAGGTATGGCATCTTTCAAGGGAGCTAACATGCCAAGGCCCTGGACAGCAGTAGATGTATAGTCTTTGCGAGATGATGCCACATCCTTTGCTTCATCTAGTGTCCTCAGAACCATCTGCCATGTGTAGTCATAGAATCTTGGCTCCTCCGGAGGCGCGATGGCATCATGATGCTTTAAAAGTGTTTCAAGATCTCTGTTGATGCATTAGACCATGCATACGTTGAGCATCTGCATGCACATGTATCATTATGGATGGTCGCACCTAATTGTCGCCAGCTCGGCGGGAATGTACTTCTCTTGTTGCTCATCGAATTCGCTCTCCACCGCAAAGGCGGGGTGGAAGTCGCGCCCCCGCTCCTCAATCCACGCCCGACTCTTTGCCGTCCCCGTCTTGTCGGCTGGGAGCGACTTTGGTTTTCGGCGATTATGGAAGAAGTGTGTCATATCGGGCGATGTTACGCATCCAGATGAAGACCTCCATAATCCTGCGGATCCCTGATGAATAATATGTAGAAATGGGATGGGGGCGTATGTGAGTCTGTCCTCCGTGCTCTAGCCCCCTGCCCGAGTCATGCTACTATCAAGCCTTCTGACTATGTTTGCTTTTAGATACGAGTTTCATAAGCCCTAGTGCCCGTAGTTCTAAGCTCATCCAATCGATGCATGACAGGTATGAGCGTTTAACAATCAGCGCAATAAAACCATGTGGTTATTGCGTTCGTGAAGGAGGTGCTATGACGGCTTGGCCCCTGACGAACCCTTCGTGAGCACTAGTATAGATCCCGCGTCTGGTGACTGGTCGCATTGAGCTCGCAAATCCACTTCATCCCTCCTATCACCGTCTTCCATTTCTGCAGCCGCGTTGTGGCAGCGGCTTCCCCCGCCCCTTTGGCGTCGATACGAGGCACTGAAGATGCCTGATAACGAACATATAAATCAGTGCGAGCAATGAAGTGGGTGAAAGCATTTCGGAAAACTTTCTCGGCTAGAAGAGGTCACCAGGCTCAGGGCACATCTGCGTGCGATGGAGGTCGTAAATCAGTCAGCGCCTTCGGAGCGTGTGCCGGCATCAGAGGAGGACGCCATAGATGGGTTTGGAGAGGCGGAAATACCTGAGGTTGTGACTGAAAAGCAGGAGGCCAGTACTCAGACTATCCAGGACAATAATGAAGAGCGAAGATCTCACCGTGAGGAGACGGATGATGACGACGATAATGATGAAGATGACGATACCAACGAGGAGGACAACGAGGAAGACGACAGCGACAGCGATAGCGACACGACAGACGATGAGAGCAAAGCTGATGATGATACGTGGCTCAATGGATCTGCTTTCAACGAGCGGAAAATAAACGTGGGCGTGAGATACTATGATTACCCATCCTTCATGAACCGGTCAGTGGACGACGATGCAGATTATACGATAGAAGCCCTGATCAGTACTTCCGACTGGTGGAAGGACCTGGAACGGGAAAAGAAACGGCGCGCTGCGAATCCATCACCGTGGACTGAGACTATTGAGGTGGCACCGCCGACGGAAGGAGTTGCTGAGACCTTGCAACTCCAACGTGTGAGGATCCGCTCTCCAGAGATACTTCGTCGGCTTTCTGAACTCGGAGAGTGGAACGAAAGCAGCATGGTTCCCCCCAAATCCGATTGCGTATTCTGCCGTCCGTTTCACGCTCTCGCCTACTTTAATGGTGAAATAAAAAAGCAGCTGGAGCAAATAGAGTCTGACTTGGAAGACTCAGACGCAAGACCTAAGCCCTCAGAAGACAATCAATTGGATGATTCGCGAAAAACTTCAGAATCTGCTATTCGGGACGAATTGCGATGCTATGTCACCTTTGTGGAAGAGAAGATTCTACCTCTTTGGAAGAGGTTTGAACATGTCACCAAGAATACCCCGAACAAAGTCAGATATGATGAGCTGCCTTTTCTTTTCCGCCCGGGCGATCTTGTCTTTGTTCCATCTGTGGCCACCAGTTCAAAAGCACGTCATCAGTCTGCTATCCAGAACGTCTTTCGCCTGGCCTCACTGCGGCCCGAAGACCACATGTGGCAAACGGACCCAGGTGGCTGGTTTGTCCCGAATTCGCTAGCGAGGTGGAGCATCTATTGTTTTGACCATGATGGAGAGCAGTTGAAAGTTATATGGCAGTCTCTAGAGGTCCCCCATTTCGCCGGCGAGCAAGACATTACTGCCTTGCCATGTTACCCTCTGCGTTACCATCCCGATCATGCGACGATTTTCAAGATGCAGGTTGAGAGTGGAAAGCTTTTCAAGGAGCTCGTGAAGCCAGAGAACAAACATCAGTACTATTCTGGCTGGAACCTCTCAACAGGTATCTTCAAGGAGAGCATGGAGCTCGCTGAACCCGAACACATAGAAAGTGAGGTCATTATAGATGTGAAGGAAGCCTCGCGATACGTTACTGAGACATACCCAACCGACACTAAGCGTTATGAGGAGACGTTCCATGATTCATGGGCTACGGTTGTGGATGAAAATGTCTCATATCGGCTATGGAGAAAAGCTTCGCCCCATTTCGTCGAGAAAAACGAAAACTTGCTTGTCCGAGAAGATTTTACATATGCAAAGGAAGCGCAAGCCTACATGAAGCAGAACCCATACATTGATAACAATGACACATTCTCAAAACCAACATGGTCCGATGAAGATCTGGCCCTTCTTCCACGGAGAGTCCTTGGATACGTCTTACGCGAGAGGAGGTTCACGCGCTTGGATGTTCGCGGCTTTGACTTGCGTCGGGTATCTGAAGAGAGGATTACCCTAGACCATGTCCAGATAAAGCCTGGACATCGGAGGATCATCCGATCGACTGTTTCTTCTCACTTTACAAAGATCCACCATGAACGCTCTCGTGATGCCATATTGTATACGCCGGACATGATCCGGGGAAAGGGACGAGGCCTGGTGATCCTCCTGCACGGAGCGCCTGGGGTGGGTAAAACTGCGACCGCAGAGGCCGTGGCATTGGAGTTCGAGAAACCTCTGTTTCCCATCACCTGCGGTGACCTAGGAATAACAGCGGATGCTGTGGAGAGATCGCTCAAAGACATCTTTCGATATGCCCATCTGTGGGATTGCATTCTGCTACTGGATGAAGCAGATGTCTTTCTCACACAAAGAGATCGAACTGATGTTGAGCGGAACGCCTTAGTTTCAGGTACGCCCATATACTTACCATTAGTTAGACCTTACTGACTTCATATAGTATTCCTCAGAGTATTAGAATACTACAGCGGCATCCTCTTCCTGACCACAAACCGAGTCGGGGCGCTCGACGAAGCCTTCCGCTCACGGGTACATCTAAGCCTCTACTATCCTCATCTAAGCAGTGAAGATACCATTTCCATCCTCTGCAGTAACCTGGCCCGGCTCCCTCGAGCAGACAAGGTACCCAAGGGAACAACGATCGGCAACGGACATATCCATGTCATGGACAAAGAGATCATTGAATTTGTCCGATCGGAGTACGAGAAAACCTACAGAGTGCACAGACGCGGTCCATGGAATGGTCGCCAAATTCGCAACGCTGTACAAATAGCATCCTGCCTCGCCTTCTTCGACCAGCGAGAAAAGACCCCGGGTAATGACCTCCCGGTAGTTCTTACAGCAGAGCACTTCCGCACAGTGAACGACACAATCGAAGAATTCGACCGCTACCTAGTCAAAGCCCGACGTGCCGACGATCGTAAATTGGCCCACATGGAAGGAGTCCGATACGATGGATACGAGTCCGGGCCTACACGAGAACCTGCCGTCTATGATGGCTTCAGCGGTTACGAGTCCGATCACGTCCCGGTTGAAAGAAACCCTCGACGTGGTGTGCCAGCCCGCACCCCTCAGCGACAATCTCAGTACGCCGGCACCTCGGGCGGCCGAGTCGCAGCTGGACGATACTCCGCTGGTCGGAAACGCGCAGTCATGGTCGAGTCTCAGCATTATGCAGAAGACGACTTTATAGATGACGATATGCATGCCCCAAGTCCCTCTACCGGGCGCAGATATGAAGGCGGACCTAGTTCGCGTATGGAGCGTCGTTCCAGGGCTCGGCCCGGACCGTTACCTCGAAAGGATGAGGATGTGTACGATGAGGAGTTATATCCGGATGTCGAAGATCATGTTGTGGAAGACGAGTACCATCTTGCGGCGGAACCTGATGCTCCTAGATCCTCTCCTCGCAGCGTGAAAAGAAGCCCCAGATACACGGGTGATTACTCCCCTGTTCCTGCTCGCAGGACTAGAGAGGCGACTCCCAGGTCCCAGCATCTGGAGGTGGAGTAGAGCATTCCCATATAACATGCGTGCGCATAGCGATACTATTCCACGCCCTACGATATCCCTTTATGAAAGCATTTTTATGTATCGTTTCATCAGTTACATTGCATTATATCTCATTATCTACAAACCCCCTTTCCGTGATTGCTTTGGTATAATCAACTGGTATATATATTGACAGCTCAGCAATAATCATCAATCCTCCCCGCCCCAACCAACTGCATCACCTTGCCCCCCTCCGCAAAAACCAACAAATCATCCGACCCTTGCTCAAAAGCAGGCCAAGCAAAATAACTCTCATTAGTCGGATTCGCCGGCGCATTCCCAACAGCAAACCGCACCGGGCCCCGCGACGGATCCTCCACAAATGAAAGCCACAGTGCTTGCATAGCGTAACTCACGTCCCACTCATACTGCGTAGAAGAACCACCATACTCATAATGCGTACCGAAGAGTATAGGGAGCTCGGCGCTATGATACGCCCCAAACCAAGGCAGCGGTGAGATGTTGGTGAAATTGCCTGCGTATTGGTACCGGTAGGTGGTGAGGTTTGCTAGATTGCGGTTCTTGACTTCCTCTGCGACGGGACAGGCGATAATTGATTCAGTTATTTCGAAGAGTGTGGACTTGCTGGGTCCCAATTCGGTGAATGATACGAAGCCGGCGCCTTCGTTGGTGTTGCTTCCTGTTATAAGGGGCTAATCAAAGGAAGAATGATAGGTTAGCTGGTGATTATTGCTACGGGTAGGGGAGTTTCTTACAATCTTTGCGACCTTTCCTGCAATAGCACGCTCGGTCCAGTTTGCAAAAAAGGTCTTGTTGTCGACGGCTGGTGTGAACGAGATGGATGGCGAGCCGGAGTATGTCGAGAGAGCGGTTTGCAGTTTCCGAGCGGACACGTTTCGCATGCAGCTGAGTTCTTCAGTGGATGAGAGCCCGTCGCAGCCTACTAGGCTGGCCAGGAAGGTGAAGTTGGTGTGTGCGTAGTCTTCGTTGTCAACTATATTTGGAGCACCGGAGTCGGCTATGAGAGCGGCGACAATGGGGTCTTCTGGGTATCCGTATGAGTAGGCTGTTACGCTGGCCGCTCCGGCGGATTGACCCCATAGGGCGATCCGTGCGGGATCACCGCCGAAAT